AGCAGCAGCAGCGCCAGCATCAATATTGACGGCAGCAGTAGTAGCAGCAGTAGTAACAGCAGTAGTAGCAGCTCCCGGGTACCCTGTCCCGCTGTGACTGCACGGCGAGCAGCTCGAGGGGTTTCCTTCATGGAGGTCGGCAGCTTCGGGGCAGACAGCGGAGCCGTAGATTATGTAGAGTTGGTTAGAGGGACCCCTTGGGCCTCCCGCTCTTCCCAGCAGCAGCAGCAGCAGCAGCAGCAGCAGCCTGACCTCCTTGTCCCCACCCAACAGACAGATTTCTCATGGCATTGGACTAGGGCCCCTACTGCTGCAGCAGAGGCACGCAACCAAGATGCCTCAGGGGCCCCGGGGGCCCCCATGCTGAAGCAGGGGGCTCCGGGCGGGGTGCGCACCTGTGGAGGGGTGGAGGCGGAGGCTCTTTGGCTGTTTGCATGCAGCCAGGAAGTGGGTATGAAGGTGTTTAGGTTTATATGGAGTGTAGAGAAGACTTCTTCTGGGGAAGGTCCATCAGATGTTCATGGGTTTATGGGGCAGTGGCGATGCGTGCTGACGATACGCGGGAGGTTTCAGCTGGTGTCGTTGGACTTGAACAACGGCATGTTAGCTGTCTGTACACCCCGAGATTCGAGAGTTTGCTTCGTATACTTCAGTGTAAGAATACAGATAGATAGCTGGAGACATCACCCAACCCCTGTTCCTTACCTTGCTTACAGGCCACAGGAAACGCATATTTACTTGTGACTCAACTAAGGTGTACAGTACAGTACAGTGTTGTTTTTTTCGTTCTTCTTGTGGCTGTAGACATATGACGTGTCTGTTGTTTTTGTTTTTCTTCTTATCTCTGCATTTGTTGTTCTAGACTTATACTGATGCTGTTGTTTTGTTCTTATCTCTGCCTTTGTTTGAGTAGATATCTCCATTTCAGCGCTGTGCATACATTGAGGGAGTGGACCGTGGGTTGGTTTGTGGTGCGTGTTGGTGTTTTGTGTTGATGCTGTGTTCTGTGCTTTGTTTGCTTTGCTGTGTGTATTGTCAGCATCTTCTGCCTGCTCATATTTTCGTCTCCCCTACGGCAGAAACCCCCGTGGTGGCCGCTGAGGATCTGTGTAGGTTTGGTCGCTATGGGTTACCGCGGCCGCAGCACGTGCCCTTGGGGGGTTATTTGCCGGTGGCGCAGCAGCAGTTTGCTGCTATGCTGCTGTCACCTAAGGAGTGCTCACGCCTGGAGTTGCTGGTGGCGAGGCGACCTTCGTTCTTGCAGCCATTGGGGGGCCGACGGTGGGTGGTAGTGGATGGGTCTGTGATTCGGGTGGTACAGATGAAGATTCGAGATGCATCAACAGGAGAAAAACCAACAGGAACAACAAAAACCACACAGAGAAAACACCGAAGCACAGCTGACCAGGAACGCATGCATGCAACACTGATAGGATCTTCTCTGGATCAGCTACGGCAAATGCGGCAGCCGTTTTCGCAGCAACCAGAGTCCTGGTGTATTCTTCCCCCTTCTCGTCCGGAGTTGCAATCTATGCGACTGTGCGTGTTCTCTCATCCTCGCTCAATATATCAATGTGCATTTGATGGGGTAAGACGATTGGTTACTATTGACCTGCAGGAGCTGTTGATGGTCTGGGATCTTCAACGATATGCAAAACTCTTTGGGGTGGATCTGATGGCAAGGGGTGATAGACATAGTGCTGCGCTTTCAGATAGCCAGGAAGAAGATGAATACGATGTAAATTCAGAACGTATCTGTCTCAACAAAGATCAACTCGATACAGATTCAGAACGTGAACCCCTAGCACGCAATCTCACCAGAAGAGGTGGAAATACAGCGGGAGACCTACCCGGAAACGGCACTAAGGGGGCCAGAAAGGCCGGCAAGATGAGTCTTAAGAAACAATTCGGCAGTGGATGGATGCAGAGACAGCTGCAAGCACACACCAAGACCAGAAAACATCATGCAGCGCATGCAGTCCATGCATCTCATGCAGCACATGCGGCACATGCAACGCATGCATCCCGTGCATCGCCGATCGCGCTTTCAACGCCAGCCGTATTTCCTCCGGAGGCACAGGGCAGTCAGGGTCGGGGGCAGGAGGGAAGTGGAGCGCTAGTAGGCGGCATCTGGTTTAATGCGAGCTCGCTGGAGCCTGCAATGCAGCTGCAGCAGCTCTATGACGCACAGAAGGAAGCAAGTGGACAGACCAGATCGAATGGAAATCACAGCGACGCACCGTCGCAGCAGCAGAACCAGGAGCACCAACAGCAGCAACAACAGCAGCAAGCGGAAGCTGGGGAATGCAGCGAAAATCTGCCTGCAGACGCTGACGCAAATCACGTGCTGGATAGAAGCGATAACGGGGGGGCCTTGTCCCGGGCAAGGCGGGGTTCAGTAACAGCGGGGACCCCTCCTCCTGAGCTCGCGAGAGAGCAGGAGCGACCCCCCGTGGGGCCTCCTGGAGCAGCAACGGAGGGAGAGGCTGACCCGGATGCTGCATCAGCAGTAGCTGTGTGCTACGCAGACGAGTTTCCTCCTCTTGCTTCTCCCTTTTCCCTTGAAAATGGGACTAACGGGAGAAGAAGAGATCCACAGATTCCCAACTCCATGAGGCCTTCCCCTCTGCCTCCAACGCGGAGGGCTCCGACTCTACCAGTTTGCAGATCCTCTCCTGCTGCTGCCCGTACCAGCACAGCTGATGACGCTCAACCCAGTGATGACAATGCGACTGCAGCGAGGGGCGCCGGGGGCCCCTCGACGGCTCCCAGAAGGAGGACGGCTCCTTCCAGCAGGCAGCCGTCGTCCTCTGAAGAAGAATCGAGGCAGCCCCACTCACAGCGTGAGCTACAACGGAGTACCCAAGCCGTCGATAGCGGGACCAGACCAAGTTTTGCTGCTGTCGTTGCAGCAGGGGCCCCTGCCACGGGACCTACCTGCCCACGCACAGGGTGGGCTTCGGGTCCCACAGACATTTCTTTCCTCGTTAGTTTGGTGGGGGAAGAGGGGGCCAGGGCACTACACGTGGAAGCAGCCACACTTGGCATAACTCCTGAGGAGCTGTACATACTGCAGGTGGAACAATGGGATGATATGCAGAGGACAGCCCATAGAGGAACTCGCGTGCGCAGCAACCGTGGCGGTCAAAACGGCACAAAGGGAGCCGACTTGCTCACAAACTCAAGCGGTGAAGACATTAGGGCGTCCAGTTCGTCTTCCACAACTCATATGCATCAGGTTTCTTCCCCGCGTGCTTCAGCCAAAGACAAGCAGCAACACCCCAAAGCAGCAGTTGCTGCAGCAGCTGCTGCAGCGGCCGGCACAACTCTGTTTCCTGCCTCTGATGCTGACTCTTCCAGGGCTTCCCCGATCTTAGGGTCCCCAGCTGTGGCGGCGGCGGCAAACTCACTCCAAGTGCCTTCCGTCGATGAGCCATCGCTGGCTGCCTCTCCGCGCCTGCAGCCTCTGCCTGGACCATTGGCGAACAGCACAGGGTGCAATACAAACAGTAGGATGGTGGGGCTTCTGGGGAGGCAGCGGTATATAGCGCAGTTGGGCCCGAACGCCCAGCGGCGGCACGTAGCAGCAGTGTGCGTCAGCGAGACCTGCTTGGCGCTGTTGTTTAAGAACTTGAAGACTTGGCAGATTTGGACATTTGCCCCCACTGGCTCAGCAACTGCACGGGGCACGGAGGCGGCGACGGAGCGACATTCGTAGCAGGACAGGGCACTTACTGCGGTCCCTATACATGAAGCGCAGGAAGCCCCTGTCGCAGCAGGTCTCAGACTACTTCTGGGCAGGCTTAACGAGTGCTGCCACGTTTCGGAGAGACTCCGAAAGGCAGCTGCTTACAGCTATACTCAAGCTGACAGGTTTATTCCTGCCTGCACCAGAGGGGCCTCATTTGTTTGTTTTGACATTTTAGGTGCTGTGCAAGCATGCGCGCTCAGCTGCGCTACGCTAGCCCAAGGCCCCCCCCCTAGTAGCAACATAGCAGGTGTCAGTCATCACCAGCAGCAGAATTCTCATTGTCCATCGAATTCTTGGTAAACCCACACAAATCGCATGGAAGGGATCAGATTTATTGATAGTTGGAGGTGAAACTGTGCTAATTTCCGTATTTGTTCATGGTATTTGGCTGAACTGACGGCCATTAATTGGGCTCACTCAGTAGGTATGTGTCATTCATCTACCTCGCTTTGTGGTCATGGACCTCTCTGATGGACGCTGTGCTTAATGTGCGTTCAAGAGGAAGCAGTTGCGTACCTCAGAGGCGGAGTGCAATGAGGTGCCTGGGTCGCAGATATGCAGTATCATTTATACAGGCACATGATCCACCTTACAATTTGTTTTATTTTAACTAATTCCCTTCATTTTGACTCAGGAATTCACGGTGCTTCCTTTGATGATGGAATTTGTCTACCCAACGAGCCCTTGGGGGAGTCGTAAATGCCATCCCCCATTAATTATAAATTAACACCCTTACCACTTTAGGCACACTTACCTAGCATAAGTCGTGGGGGGATTTATCTACAGGTGCACCACAAAACAAGAGAGGTCCGCTGCAGTTTGCTTACTGTATGTCTAACTTGGAGTCGAACGGGCTCCATCGAGGACAAGGGCAGTGGCCTGGTGCCTTCTCCAGTCAAGAGCTTGCTGTTGCTTGCTACTGAAGGAGGTGGACTAATGAAGCAACAACCGACCAGCCAGCCAGCAAAACCTCCCGAAGGCAGTGCTGATGCTGTATTCTCTAAGAAGCTCCAACCATGGGTGGTTCTGGGTTAAGCCTGTTTCATTCACAATCTGCTAAGCGGGAGGTGAATCTGGTCATTTTCTCTGCTCGGCGAGTTAGGAGAAAGCATTGCCGACTGGGCTCATCTGTTGGAAGGGAAGCCCTGCCTTCCTGCTCCTTCAAGGCCGAACTGCGTATGACTGCGTACCATCGGCTCTAAACGTAGTTACGCTAGCGATACATACACGAGGGGGACCAAATCTTCGGCACAATTCGATATTGTCGCCCCAGTGCCTGCCTAAGGCTGTTATTTCAAGAAGGTCAGGAACACTTTAGAGTTCATAAACTTCACGGGCTTGTCGTTAAAAGCTGGTGTCACTGTGTACAAGGATGACTCGAGAAGATTCCTGTTCGTGCGCCGATTCAAGTATCGGGCTGTTCCTGGGAGCGGCGCTGCTGAACATTTGTCTAGTTATTTGCATCTTTTCGAATGAAATTTCGTGTCTTTGAAGAGCGGCTGAGCAAGGCGAGTTTCACACGGAAGACAACCTCGCGTACAACCTCGCGTCTCGAGGTCCTGGAGCGGTAGCCGTCACTGCAGGTCCGCCGCTCCTGGCGGAACACTTCTGTACTTTCCCTACTGATGAAGCGACCTACATCATTTTGCATATATATTTGCTGCCCCACACATAAACAGTAGAATCACCGAGGGGGGGGACTACCTGGGAGCGTCGGAGAACGCGGTACTCGCCGGGGCAGTGGCCGTGCAGCCAGCCGTCGAAGTTACTGTCGATTCTCCTTGTAATTTGAAGTGTATAGGGAGCTATTAAAGGCATTGACGCGACGTGCTGCCGCCGGTAAGCAACGGATCTGCATCACCATTCGCCAGCGACCGTAGTTGTGATCTGCACGGCAGTTTATGCACGGCTGTTTATGCCGACTACAAGAAGCTGCATATCTTCTTATCCCATCAACTCGCGTTAGTAAATGAACCAATTTAGTTGTTAACTAGCATCTAGAGATGATAAATTGCCGGTATCAAGCCTAGCAAATCTATCAGTCGGATGGTCTGTAGCGCGGGTGTGGGCTGAACTGCAGCTGGTTTTTCCCTTCGGGAGCGACGATGGTAGCATCGCAACTGAAGGCGCACATAGCAGCTTCGCTCAACAGTTTTGGTAGAGTCGTGGAGGCATGCAGGCGCAGCGGACGCCGAGCATAGCTGCCTTGCTGACGCGACGTGCAGAAACAAGGCTCTACAGAAACGCGCAAGGAACTCCACCATTAGCATGTGAGTTTTTGAAGCAGCCTCAGGGATTCCTGCTTTCGCCATCTTGTTCCGCATGAAGAAGAGGGGGTCACTCTGCAGGTACTGATAATATGCGATTCGTTGCACAGGAGATGTTGGATGCAGATACATGATATCTGTCTTCCTGTTCCTAAGGAGTCTGTAAATTCAATATGAAGTGCGACAAACGACCCAAGAAGCTCCCACATGAAGAGTCCTACCTGACCATTTTTAACCGCCATTCTGTAGGGGGAGAGTCCACCTGATTGCCCTTTTCTGCTTCGCTCTTCCGTGATTGCATTTTTCTGATTTTCGCAGTATAGAGCAACTCGAGCACTTTCTTCACTCTGCTTATCGATGCATCCATTTCCCCCCCAGTTTACAGGCACAGTTTACAGGCGAGATCGCAAAGCTGCTTCTACGAAAATCGTGTCCTTCCGCGCGTGCACAGGCCCCACGCTCGAGGCGAAAGCAGGCGTGGCCTGATAAGTTTCCTCTTGCTGCAAAGAAGCGTCTACTTGCATGCTATGCAGACAGGGAGAACTTTCAGAAATGCAGCAAGGCCAGCAGACAACGGTCCGGGGAGGAGGAGGGAGACGTGGACCTGCTGTGCCTCTGCAGTGCTTGTGCTGCCGCTGCAACCGCACAGCATCATCTTCACACAAAGCCGGACCTGTACCTGACTTCACGGCTGGTATCACGATCTTCAGCGGACTGTGCTGAGGTGCAGGCTAGCTCAGTGAGCCTTCCCTACGTGTGGCTGGCAATGGTATTCCTGCGCAGTCTGCTATGTTGCTCCGCTGTGTATGCAAGGCTAGAGCACGCGACCTAAAAGTTTGCCTTGTGCTGTGTAGTATTCAATTCCTGTTGATAGGCTGCCTGCATGCAGGGTGCGCATGTCCGTGCTGCGAAGGGGAGTTTAAAATTGCGAACTATGCAGCGTTATTCTGATGCGGTGCAGGATGAACTGACGCTTGAGGACTGCTGGCCGGCAAGTGAATTGACTCTTCAGTGGCTGAGGCAAGGCCGAGAGAAGATGGACGCTTTTAAGGGGGCCTTACGGTATGCTCGCACTATGTTCCTCAGATTGACTCAGCCTCTGGGAATTAGGGCTCTAAGAAACAGTAGCTGCAGAGGACGCGAAGGAAGCGCCGCGAAGAGCCATCGGCTATTGGCGGTGCTGCTGCAACTGCTCCTGCAGTAATAAATGTTTACATGCATGCTTTGCTTGCACGCCCAGTCGATCTTCCCAGGCATCTCGCAGACGTGCTGCACCTGCGATGCAGTTGGGAGGGATTACGATTTAGTATCTCGGTGGGTTACAGTGCATCTCTTGTGACTTGTACGGGCGCAGGCGGCGGCTGTCTGCTCCTGTAGAACCGTGCCACTGGCCTTTACCTGTGTGCAAAAAATGCACAACAGTGCCTCTGTACGGCCGGAGGGTCCCCAAGCTCGGCATCCCTCCTGCTTTCAGCCAGTTTACTGGGGACCAGACGTGCGGGGTATCCGGCCATAATAGAAGTGTCGTGACCGTCGGGGACTTGAACAATAAAAATGACAATTCGAGCAAAGGCAGCGCCTATGAAGCAGCTTGCCTTTGCACCTATGCGAGGAACTGCGCCTTGGTCATATCTGAAGATCCTCTTTTGCGCCTTTCTCTTTTAGCCACATCGTTGGGCGTTTCGGAAGTCCACACAGTAGTGGTAAGATAAATTGATTTTTCGCTTATGCCTTCGCATGAAGGCATAACTGCAACTGACACTGCCTGGAGAAACAAATAACATCTGCGCCTCAGTGTGTTGCTGTAAGGGATATGCGAAGCATCTAGCCCCCGGGCTGTATCTTGTTGTTCTATGCCCTGTTTTTGACTCTTCTTGGCTGCGTCAATCTTCACGACGTCTCTGATTCATTATCCCTTCATTCAGATGAAAGAATCCAACTGGGAAAACGCTTCGACGTACGCAAAGTGTTTTGGCCGCCCCGACAGTCTAAAGGTTTTTCGGTCACTGGAGGCTTTAGAGGAGGAGGTATTCGAACGCCGCATTGCTCAGGTGCTTACCGGTGAAGTGACGCCTGCCCATACTTGCGTAGGCGCTGCGAGCTGTGAATGCCAGCAAAGGGATGACGCTGGGATGGGGGTGGTTCCAGGGCTCAGTCGGCAGCATCATTGCCAGGACTCGCATACTGGGACAGCCGAGCCGGATGGAACTGCAGAACTCCTGCAAGCCCATCTGCACCGTTATCGCATTGTTTTGATAGATGACCAGTACTGCGGCCCAGTTGTGTCTGCACTCGGCCTACCCCTTCTGCTTGAGTTTGTCCGCACGCACACGTGGTGAGCCATTCGTTTCCCTGTCCTTTGGTGCTGCCTCCACAGCTGCGAGTACATTCGCTGTCATTGCTCTGTGCGGTATGAACGTTCATTTGCATAGAATGGGCATCACGCAAAGCTTTTCATATTTATGGAGCTCTCTGCCTGTTTGTTGGGAGCTGTGCAGCCCTGCTTGTTGCCAGGTGGTGCCGAGGCGCTGGCAGACTTTGGCTACACCCGCCGCGTGTCCTCCGCCTGTGCCGAGCCGGCAGTACTTGAAGCTTGTGGCGAGGCAGAAACCCGATGAGCCGCAGCAAAGGCAACTTGCAGCCAGTGGCCGCGCCATGAGCGACACCTCCATTCGTCTGGAAGATGTGGCTTTGAGTGGTCGATTTTGTGTGCTAGAAAGCTTTGAGATGGCTTCCCTCCCCAGATGCTCCTACAAAGATCTTGAAGTAAAACAAGCTTGTGGTTTATGCACAGAGGGTTTTGGGGACAGTGCAAATCTACCTAAAGACAGGCACACCTCAAAGAAGGATATGGACGGTTGCTTAGATAAGAACAAAGCCGCAAATGCATCATGCCTCCGTTGCGCACGGGACAGACAGCTCAAATGGTCTAAAGAAAGACAAACAATCGTGAATGGCAATGCGGTCTGCGGCGTTGAGGTCGCGGGCCCCTGTGCTGGTTTGATCGTCCGCAGCCACATTCTTGTTGACGAGGTTTGTAAACCCCTGGCGGCTAGTGACAGGAAGTAGTCGCAAGTGAAGTAAACTTGCATGGATGCTGCCGCTAAATATTATCTGGGCAGTCGAACAAGTCAGTAGACTGTCCTGAAGTATTCTGCTTCGAGACGATTGTAATTCAAAATGCAACCGTTTGTGTTACTCACAGGGCATAACACTTTCCCCCGGCGCGCCGTTGATGATTTTCTTGCCGGACGAGGTTCAACTGTCGACGCGTCATGTTGTGGTAGTTGCACCTGGTGAGCTAGTTACGACATGGGCAGTCTTTTTTTTCTGGCGCTTTGGTTTAATTCCATCTGGCTGTTTGCGTATCTGCGCAATGCGATTCAGTGGTTGTATCTGAGCGCACTCCAGCATTGGGCGATCCTCAGCGGTCTGCTGACGACAGCCCGGGGAAGGTGCAAGGGACCTGGCCACATTGCTGTTCGAGTACTTTGGAAGCATGTGAGAGTGTAGCCGACGGCTCTCGCCTTCTGCAAAAAGCGCATTGCGAAAGGCATGAATGTGCCGTTCCCTGCAACTCAGCAGCATCCACCCCTGTCATTGACGAACTGCACAAAACCAAGCCTGCCATTCCCCCGTGGAGAGGCCTCAAAGCACAGCAACCCAAATGCTGCTGGCGGTGGACAGCCGTCTGCGACGGCATTCGGCAGTCAGAATTCGACATAGAAGTAACACTTCGTGACCTTCATCAGACGACGAGGGAACAGGGCGTAGAGACAGTGAAGTCGCCTGTGAACTCTGAGATCGCTTAGATGGGATTCAGTGCCAGTGCCTCCGTTAATTATTTGTGTTCTCAAGCTTGGACAGTAGACAAGGGAAGCGAGAGCCAGCATATCAGGGAACACGTTACCAGGCAAATGAATCTACAAAGGAGGTGCTGTGGCTAATGAGTACGCAGTCATGGTTTTCTGCAGCGGGAAACAATGGAACCCGTGGGGGTTCATCTGCCCCACGCCCTCAAAAGTGAAGGAAGGAGGCGCAGCTGTCTCTTTACAGGTTCACAAGCTCTGTAACTGGTAATTATCAAGGTTGTCTTCCAGGCTATCCTTTAAAGGCATAAGTGCATGCGTAGCGTAGTGACGCTTCCCTCTGTCATTCGTCGATTCGCTCGCATTTCCTGGTTTTCCAGAAATGATATGTGGAAGAACGGTGCCGTTTAGGCATGTGCACGACCAGGCGATGGCGAGACGCCTCTCCACAGTCCTTTGTTGCTCCTCTTATGCTCTCCAATCGTGCAATTGGACGGGCTCCAGCGGCGGTGTTAACCTGCTGCAAGCGGCTGCCTGCTGTCTCTAGCTGCCATAAGGTACATGCATAGTCAGTCTCTTCGGGCAGTCAAAAGAGCGTCGACACTCCGTGTGAAGGCGTTTGCTCACGAGCCTAGTAAGATAATGGTTGTAAAGGCAGCAGCCGTGGTAGATAGGTGCTATTGGTTTGCACCATTTGTAACGCCCAACCTGGGTCGGGTAAATTTATACGAGGTACCAGCTCTGCGGCCTCTGGATGAAGACTCTATCTGCGGCGTAGGGTGGGCTAGCATGACGTGTAGCGCCATAAAACCATACCAGCAACTAATTTAGGGCTTTCCTTCTCGCAGATGTATACAGGAGCGTGTGTGCTTTTCAGAAGTGCGAGATGATTGTCCAATTGTCCATGGTTTCTAATTGAAGGGAGCAAGACGCTGTACGACCTGAAATGACGGCAAATGAAAAAGCGTATGACTCAGACAGCCCGCGTGGCTGACTGGGAGAAATAATAAGCAAAGTCGCTGCTCAGGCCGAGTGGAATATGCAGTCAGAAGATGAGTAACGCGTTCTGTGCACTTCCCACGTTAAGTACGTGTATGAGATACACTGTGGATTGTAAATTCTTCGAACTACATGTTTTCGGAAGGGGGCCAGGGGATTTAACCTCGATGCTGAGCATCGAAATTTATCAGGTTGGCATCTGTTCATCTTGAGTGCAGGCAGCTCCGAGATGTGCCTGGGAGAAAACGCTCTCCAACTATGTTTGACAGCCGTAGCGTGGAGTACCACGAATGCCGCTGCCCAAGCGCAGTTTCAATATTATGGACGATATGGGAGATATGAGACATTAGAACGATGTTTTTTCTGATATTAGGACAGCTGAAATGCCATGTAAGCCACCCATAGAAATTGATATCCAGATCCTCAAACCTCAGATATTGTGACAACAGTCACCATGAGATCCACCCGCCACAGCAACCCAGGTATTAGGAGCAGGAACAACACACGCATTTGCGAACAGCATACTGCGGCAACTGTGTATAATGCATGATTGGCCCTTAACAACTAGATTTTTAGTCGTTAAAATTTGTATTTCATTAGATTTTGTCTGGCCTTAACTTGAGCGAGACTTCTTGAAACGACGAGGCTGGGCCTCTCTGCCGGGTCACCATGTGGTGACCACAGGAGAATAAACTTTAGTCCAAAAAATTGGGCATCCCAAAATATACTTTTGTTTCTATAGCGAAAGATTAGCTGTCTATAATGGATGACTTCTGCTATACAGGCCAAAGGCAATTACCCGTAATCCGTCATGGCGACCGGGCGGGGGCTGCCGGCACTGGCGCATGCAGCAAGTCAAGTAGGCCCTATGAAACCCAAAACAGAGTTGGTTTGTTGCAAATGTTTATCCACAGAATGTTCAAAGGAAACCGTGAAACATCTAGTGAGACAGCACACCGGGCCACTGTGGGCGGCCCCTTCTCGGTTTCTGGCGTGTGAAATGGGTAACACAAACGCTGCTTCACTGGATCGAAATGACTTGCCCTTGAGATTAAAGAGAAGTGTCATCTTAGTTGACGAAATTGTCTGCAGCGATGGCCCCGTATTCCCCGGTAAGTTTTGGTTGCGCGGAAGACTGCCAAGCAGACCAATGGTCCATCCGTGCGCTTCACACGCACAAGCCTTTTCTTGCATGCCCCTCAAATGCCCTGAAAATCATCTTCTTGCGTCTGCCACGGCTCCTTGCGCAGCAATGAGAAGGATCTTTGGCAAGTTTGACTACAAGGATCTGGCTGACTTGGTTGTGAGGGCACCCATCCCCGTCATCCTAGACCGCTTCGAGAACCTCCCACATAATGCGTTCACACGATATTTAGAAGAGGCATTTCAAGACTGCTTTTACCCAGGCTTCCCTGATCTCATCGAGTGGAATCCACCCGACATACCACGAAGTACGCATGTGCCTTTCGTCTCCGACCACTTAATTTCTACTGAACCATAGAAGCCGTGGTTCACAAGCAGCTTGTGGGTTTTATGCTCCAATCTACAACACAGGCGTGGCCTGTTTGATTTTTCCAATCTTAAGGTGCACTCATTTTCTACTGCGCTGCCACGCAGCGACTCCCGTGTGGCTGACGGACGATGGACCTCAGGGCTCCCATGCAGTACCGCAGGCAGGAACCCACGGAGAGGATATTCACCAACAGCCAGAACTCTTCGCTGCTGTTACTAGTCTGGCAGGTGCCCCCGGCTCAACTGATTTGTCACAGCCTATCTTACGCAGCAGGACGACAACCAACTGCAGCATTCCTGAGCTCACGCGCCACGAGGAAAACAAATTCGCCCAGGATATCATTCTTTTGTGGAAGAATTTGGGCAGGAAGACTTTATCTTCAATTGTTATTGAGCCTCGCACTGCTAAGGATGGGGCCTATCAAGAAGCCGGATCATCGCTTGTGGACGTCCCATGGGGCTTCATAATCCCCGGAGGCAGGTTTAGAGAAATGTACTACTGGTGCGTACTTGTATCACAGGAAAGGAAGCAAACAAAGCACATGTCGGGCTGAAATGGCCCTTCGCACGGCACATCCCGCGTTGGGAATTTCTGGAATGTATGTTTTGTGTTTCTACAGGGATTCCTACTGGACGATTCGCGGTCTTTTATACAGTGGCATGATTTCCACCGCTCGCGGCATCATTCTCAACTTCACAGACCTTATTAGAAGATTTGGATTTATTCCAAGTACTGAAAGCATCGTGCTGGAAACGTCTTCACACCGTCGCTTTCGTTTTCCCCACAGGATTTCCACACCTACGCATGTGATCTTGTCTACTTGCTTTTCAGACGGAACGCGCTCTTACTACCTAACTCGAAGCCAGCCTCCTGTCTTCAGTATGATGCTTTCGGCCTACCACGCCTTTACTGGAGATCTGGAGGTGAGCGTGGTGGTTTCTACATGGACAGGCTTACGAAGGCTGTAGTGAATGCCTGCCTCAGTGACGACACGCCAGCTGATTTTCTTCTCGGTGCAATGTCGAGAGTTTCTGACACTTTGAAAATGATATGCAGCTGATTCGCAACACCTACATGGATGTACAACATGAATATTTATACTGGCTCGAAGGTGACGCCCGTCAAGTCTGTGTCACTGCGGGTAAGAACGCCCTTACAACCTGGAGCACTTTAGCAGCATTCTGGTTTGGTGTCTGTCTAGTCTCTGCACGTCTTAGCATGCGGAGTAGGGACATATGGGAGTTTCTTAGGGGCATTACACGTGGGTGCCGAAGTGCTTTTTGCCTTTATAGCCTTAAGTGGGAGTGACGATGAAATGGGGTTGTTTGTTTCAGCATCTCTGCAGCTTTGCTCCAAAATGCTGACTGTCTGCAGATGGAAAGGACTTCTTCTTGAGTCGTTATCTCGGCCATGTCGCACAGCCACGAACAGAATCGTGGAAGAACGATGTTGCAGTAGTTAGAGAGGCACATGAACGGGCGATGACTGGCTCTCGTGAATTCAGCGATGGAGATCGGGCATGTATATTTCGCAGCATTCGAGCAGCTGCTGAGTCGGTGGGTTTATTTGGTTCCAACCTATCTGACTAGCCATCTGATCGCTCTCTGGGTTTTGCGTTGTCTTTGGTCGCCTCGCCTGAAGAACAGCCTCATTTTTCGTTTATTTTAGGGGTCCGGTGCGCAGGGATGGGACTTTTCCTCTCGTTGGGTTCCACACGACCTGGATGCAGCTGAATGCGGGGTGATGCCCAACTTACGTACGGAGTCATTCCTCCCAGTGGATCTCAACAGGCATGTTACATACCTTCTGCACTATATGGCAATTCCAGTAACGCTACCGTTTAGGCAACGAAGAACAGATTCTGAACGGATTATTGCTGTGGGAACGACTCCTGCAGACTGCAGGATGCTTCTGCTGGCTGTGTTTGTTTCTGAGCAGCTTTCTGTACCATGCCGAGCTGTACCTGTTTTTCTTTGGCAAAGTTTTAAGTCGATCGAATGTTCAATACAAAGGGCAGAGAGCACCTGAATTCTTTTACAGACGGGCAAATGAGCGCAGAGAAGCCATGCTGAGGCTGTTGTGGAATGAAGAAGCTAGCTGGTGGTTTGTCTAGGCGTACAACAGCTTAGAGCCCTGAGGACCAATAAGCAAAATGGAATATGTAGAAGTCGATAGAGAGGCGTTTGTCAGAGTTTTCGCTGAGGAATGAATTGAGCATGCCTGGAGTACATTGTAGGTAGTCTACTTGGCCTATGGTTCGCCCAAATATGCTGACTTTGGTATGTCGGACGGGCTTCAAAATTTTGCAGGTTTGATTTTGACATATCTAAGGGTCGACAGTCTAGGAGAGTTACGTCAGCTGGAGTTGCAGCCCTCCTCATGCAGCTGCATTCCCCAGTAAAGTTGCAAGCATGTCGTCTCTTCGGCCACGACCGCAGTAGTCATGGCAGTGAAGGCACCTGTACATGCCTCAACCTGACACCCGCTGAACACGACGAGGAAAAAGCAGCTCACAGAGAGCAGGTCTTATCATCAGAGTTTCTCGTTGAAAAATCAGGACTGTGGAGTGTCTGGGGCTTATCAGTGAGTTGTGGTCCTCTCTCTGGTCTACAGGTTGCCATGCTTGCTTGTCACCACCATGATTCGCCTTTGTTGGGTCTGTTTGCTGTCCAATTGTGCGTTTAGACTACTCAGTTCGACACTGGACAGCAGTGGGATGGAGCGAACTGCTGGCCACCGCTTCTTCAGATGGCTGTAGAAGCGATGATTGAGCTTGGAAGTCAGGCCGCAGTGGAAGCAGTGAAATCTATGACGGACAGATATATCTTTACCTGCATGCAGGTGAGCTGCTGTGCGAAATACAAGTTCAGGGAGCCGCTAGCGGTTCGTTCTCCGGAGGAAGACGCTTAGGCTATCAGCTGCCGATGTTCCTCTAGCGTTGTGGAGCTTGTGACTTGCTGCAACCGCAAGTGTACACTAAGTACCAAATTAATGCTAATATGCATTACGCCGATATTGTTTCTGAGCATGTGTTGCTACTCGAAGGCTTACAAGAGACTAGGAGCACTACCGGAAAAGTCCTGCACTGCGACATCTGGGTCGTGCGGGGCAGGAGGAGGTTACAAGTGCCAAACGGGCTTTGGGTGGAGCATTGGCGTTGCACTTGAGCTGCTGTTTGTCAAGCGTGCATCCTTCTGTGCAAAGGAAGTACAGAGAAGGCGCCGTAAATTCGGGTCAGCATCCTACATGGAGGCCATGAAAGCCGCTCAGAACGGCTGAGGATGCAGTTTCCAAAATCGTCAAACCTGCTGCTAAAAGCCATTGCATGCAACCGACAGGAGCATGCATTTTGGTCTTGCTGGAGCAGATATGACTTTGTTTAGTACATACACAGTCTGACAAATGCCCTGCTTTGGGCTCTCCGTCAGCAACCTGAGTCAGTGGAGCCTCCACACGCTTTGTATGCGCGTTCCCATGGACTTGCAACCTGTGCACTTGACCATCTGACAACAGGGCAGTACAGCTACGGCTTTGTAGAAGATCTAAAACTGCATTTTGCCTATATTTTCTTACTTTCCTCTCTGCACTACCTCAATTATTGCTGGATTTATCAGTGAATTCGTCGCCCACTATACTGGGCGTCAACAGAGTTTCAGGAAGAGTACAGTCATGTCGTCTGCGAAGATTTGTTCCTCGTTGATCCACCGGCGCCACGACTCTCGAGCCAGTTCTTCTGGGGCAGTTCTCCACTGCACGTGAAACACACAAAGCACAGCTACACTAAGTCTTGCATTATTTTCCGTTGTGAAGACTGGAATATCAATTCGATTAGATTGAGCTTAGGAAAAAGATATAGTGTGGTGTGTACAAGGTTCGACCGGTTATTCACCACCGTATGGTTGACCATATTCTCAGCATATTTAAACTAAAAGTTCCTACACAAATATTAAGTGCTGAAAAGGCGACAAAAGTCTAATAGAGCTGTAGTGAATTAGCTTTCGCATTATATTAGACAAGGATTTAGAGTGCATTCGTGCGGCTCCCATAATAGATGGGCTTTTGTATACTTCTTTTTGCTTGGCAGAATGGGCAATCTCAACTGCCTCTTGCGATGAGATGACGTTCCAGACACCATCAGTGCAAAGTAGGAGGAAGTTGTCTCGTTTTTCATCGACTTTGTACTCTGAATGAAAGCAAAAACCAATGCAACAGGTGCGCTCTGCATGAAAAGGCAACGATGCTGCTCTCCACAAACTACAGTCCGCCACTGCGGTGAAGAAACTTTCACTTTGTCTACATAAAGTGTATATGCGAAGAACATGTTTCCACAAGGGCAAGGGGGAAGAAGCAGGCTTGCCCTTTATTTCCGGATGCGCTATGACGCCTGCGCTCCCAGCTAGAGTGTCGCCAATGGATCGAGCTACAGCCAGTCCAGGTAAACTTCCGTTAGCCAAGAAAATACGGTGGAAGCCATCACCTGGTGGTGCCCTAACCTGTCCACCTTCACAAATGACATGAAACAGTACGAATCGCACACTAAGAAGCAGCTAAGTTGTAAGGAGGGTTTGCTGTGGCTGACGTTTAAAGGGAGTTGCATTACCAGCTTTGACGATCCGCCGCAACTCCTTACTGTTGGTAGGAGTATGGTCCACTGTGAGGTCAACAGCATGGACCCCGGAATCTGCAGGGAAATGCCGAATACGCAAAAATGGCAAAGCCCCTTCAGACCAATGAATGTCTCAATAGTCACAGTTCTTCATACCTCCTCAATGCGGCTAATCATTGTTCCGCTAACACCCAAAAAAGTGACACTATCCCAATTTCTTACCAGATTTGTTAAACTTGCAAAGCACAGCTCGGCTATTGCCGACATGAGCAACAAACAGTTTGTTTTGTTCTCTCAAGTACACTAGGATGGTAACGGTAGTGCCACTGAGCTTGCTGTCCAGTCTGAATGGATTGCACTTCGCTTGCAGGTTGCTGTGGGCCTGCATAAATGTCAGCAGTACAATTTTTCACACTGCACGCTAATTCATGCATATTGGGCACATGGTTGGGGATACGAGGAGGGGGCGATGCACACAGTCGGGAGAAGCCAGCAGCACACTGCCGTAGTTGCTACTTGCAATCTCACCTTTAGAAAAGCTTCTCGAAGTACACGTTTTGCTTTGACTGGCAGATCTGGATTGTCCGTAGTTAGCTTGAGTAAGTCTTGCTGGACGACATGACAGACCTCGTGACCGAATGGGCCATGCCCGTCGAGGACGCAGCAGACTGTACACCCACGAACACTGCGTATTAGCACGCAGAAGCAACAAGACATTGAATGATATTCGTCTGCAGCAAGCAAGCCTTCAAGGGTACAACAGTAAAATCAGGGAAGCGCTCACTGTGAAACAAAGAATCCGTCATTGTTTGAGCAGTTTGGCTTGTAACCCTTTTTGCACACGACGCTGATCCCTAGCTCTTCTAGGGCAACGGGCGAATCTGCTCCTGTGACTTGAATTGCCTTTTCCTGGAACACTCCAGCACATATGGAGAACCTCTGATGGAAGCAGGACCGTTGATACTACTGGGCATAAATCTACGCAGTTCAGCGGTAGTTAGCACTGTGCCATAAATCTACGCAGTTCAGCGGTAGTTAGCACTGTGCCACGCTTTCGGTGAATTAGAGGGACCCACAGCGCGTCGGGAGCAAACGCGTACCTCGAAGTTGAACTCTGGTAGGTCCGGAGATATTGTAGAAACACAGAGGATTTTGGTCTGCCCACTCTTTACCACTGGGGCGATGCTCAACGGTGCTGACGGGGAATTTTGCTCTGGAGTGAGCGGCAACGCGTGCGTCGACGGTTCAGGCAGCGCTTCCCCCTTCGGAGAGTCAATTTTAGAGTGGCTGTGAGTAGTTTCCGTCCCCCTTTCGTTATCACGCTGATATGGGTTAGCGTCACTGCGGGTACTTTCAGGGGATGCTCCGACATCCGTAACGACCCCAACGGGTGGATCTGAAAGCTTGAGAGCGCTTGAAACACCTTGCAACGAGTTTTGTTTCGAGCCTAATCCACGGCCGCCTGGAGTATCTAGCGTCCATGGAGAGTTCTCTTCCGTCACATTCAGCTTCATGCTTAACTCGCAAGCAACATTTTTTGGTCGAAAGAATCGGCCTAGTAAACTGGGGTGGACTGCTTCAGCTAGGTATGGTTGGGACTGGGGAACCGTCAACGTTTGGAGTCCACGAACTCTAACACCTACTAATTGTGAGACACAGCAAGGATGCTGCTGTGGACACGAGAACACCTTAGAAGTCTTTGAAACTGTGTTCCGTCTTCTCCGGCAAGCCTGAGACGAATTTGCTCGAACAGGAACAAGAGCATCCGTATTACCCTTGGAACTTGGCCTGGTCACCGCTCTTGGCTCCGTTCTCTCCGTGTTGCCTGCATGCGATTCACCGTCAGCGTAAGTATATTGCGCAGAATTACACGCACGTACTGCTGATGTGCGTAATTCACAATGTGCTGATCTGCTCATGCCTTTGACTGAGGCAGGTGCAACTGACCTCTTAGCGACACGTCTAGATGACGAGCTCCGCTGAGTGGCTTTGTCCCGCAGGCCCCCATAGGGACCACTGAAGCGAGATCCAAAAGCCAGCCCTGGCGTGCTACGGTACAGGCCGAAGAAGGGCTCCGTACTTCTTTGCATCAAGGCTGTATAACTCTTCTCTAGGGGCCTTCACAGAGGGTCCGTCAAAATTGCCTTCAGAGCTCTGCAGCCAATTGCACACGACTAAGGGCAGCTGGTGAGCCTCTTCTGCTCTAAAGGAAATAGTTGGCCGGGACTTTCTCGGATGATGCTGCCGCTGGGGAGTTGCACGAATCCTCAAATTTGCCTTGAAAAGATGTGTGATATGTAATATTTGCAAGACGCCAAATTCCCGTCAATTGCGGTTGCAACGAAGCAGTCTGCCTAATATGCCGTTGTTGCACGTAGATCTATTGGAAACTCTGCAGGCAACCCACAGAAAAGTTTACTCCGGCTAGAACAGTCATTCCCATCCAAAGAATTCGCCTACAAATGTTACCATATATCCGTGAAGAGGGCAAGATACTGCGTTCAACTTTGGCCACTGCCGCCGCGGAGGGTCACTGCACGGTGGTGGGACTTTCATATACAAAAACTCGGGAGGTTCTACCAACCAGAAAATTAAAACACCATATTAAGAAAGCAGAACATCACTGCAAAGCCCTCGAATAGAAAACCTTTCAGTGTCAAGTTTGTTTCGGTGGTGTTGCCACTGCCCACCGGCGCGCGAGATGACAAGGGGTAATGCTCCCTGGCGAAACAAGGTTGACCAGGAACAAACAGAGCTGTTAATAGCTATTAAATGCAAAGATTCTGAATTGGGATTTATCCGCTTTGAGTTCTCTCGTCTTGGACCTTGGGTTCGAACGAATCGTACCCGAACTGCAACAGCCGATGGTCCGGTCTATGCGGCCCGCAACGAAGTCCCAAGCTGAACTTGCCTCACTTTGTTTGAAAATATGGGTACAATCCACGATTCTGACACTGTCCAGACGATTTTAGTACCCGTATGCAGCTCGTCCATTAAACGCGCAAGAAGGCGAAGCTAACCCCCTGAACTGCGTCTTTCTCCTCATGCTGCTGCACGTGCAGCAGCTTCTGTCAAGCTGTTCCCCACGGATAAGAAACTCCCATTGGGAAGTTTAGAGAAATTGTTTCCTAAATTGTCATGTGGGAGACTTCCGTCCCACACAGAGCAGCCCCTGCCCCCTTCTGGGCAAGCGAGCCTTGACTGCTGGCTTAGAGCCGTTTCATCTAGCCATCAAATTGAACTAGTCTAAGCAGTCAGTCCCTACGAAAAGCAAATACTACGTTGTATCTCTGTATGGTGGTCATGTATCTGTGCTGGTACCCAACATGATAGCGAGATTCGCCTTAGGAACGTCCGAAAGGACATGTCGAAGTGCATGGTAGCTAAAGTATATAAGCAAGGTGGCAAATTATGTCCAGCATCCCAGAGAAGAAACATGTGGAGCTAGTTTTGCCAGCCGTGAAAAAGTTGCATTAAAACTGAGAGCACCTCGAAGCAAGTAGCACACTAAAAGGCACCAACCGCTCCACAGCTTTCGGTAGGCGCCTTTGTCTGTGCGCTGCACCCCGTTGAAACGAAGGGGCGCTGCTTCATCTGGCATGAGAGGAGGAGCAAAATCAAGCAGTAGGCCTTATGCGCCGATAACGGGTGTCCTTCGTGTGGTAGGACAGGACGTGTTCTTGCTTAGTTTGCGAGGCAGGTACTGACAAGGGCGTCATCTGCCTTTGGCGAACGAAGATTGCTGTCGCTGTTTCCCAACTGGCGTGGGACAGACCCACACAGTGTCCATGAACTGATTGTGTTCAATAACTGCTTCCATCGCCAACCATCTACCATACGGCGCTAAATTTTGCAATCGAGTGCTTCTTGAGCCAGATGCTGGGGTATTACTTCTTCTTTGCAAGCCGCATTGAGAGTGGCTTCTGCGTTGTGAGGGATCTGATGTACTTTAGCCCCCTGCAGAAGACTGAATTCCTCGATTTTGTGAACCTAGTCATCCCCGGCTTCCTAAACCACAGACGTAGCAAGTAGTGACTCTAGAGATCATTCGATCGAGCTACTCACAACGCCATACAAACATTACAAAAAAAGAGTTAAATTAAAGGTAAATTTTATTCAAAACCACACGCTACACGCTTTGTATGCATCAGACTCTTACCTAAAGACCGGAAACGCTTCATCCAGTTTGCGCTCGTACGTTGCGCTGGGCGGCAGGTGGTTGTAGACTTCAACCAATGTGTTTATTGCCTAAGGTGATCCACACCAGGAATGAAAGACAACCGAAAGAGATACGAATCCTGGCTACAAAGGTATGGCTGGCTCCATTTTTGCTCCCATTAGGTGGAATGAAATACACAGCAATCGGTGCTACAAAAGTATGACTGGCTCCACACTAACTTCTTCGCGCTCACTTTCACTTTATCCTGGAAATCCCAGCCCCGCGATCGCTCAAGGACACGAATAGCATGAGCAACTATAGCACGATCTGCGCAACGCAAAGACAATTCATCAAGGGCACGCTCGTGCTGTCATAAGCCGTCTCAGCAAAAGTTGACATCCCGTTAGCACTTCCTACTGAAGAGCCCAGAGAAACTTGACAAGGTAGCTATGTTAAAAATACTGTGCAGACTGACATTTCGGATCCTTCGGGAGGGTGTGCGCCACTCGCTGCAGCGTAGGGTAGCTGAGCACAGCAAACCAACCACTGCAAAATCCATGTTCTGACTTTACTTGGGTTCCCGGGAAGCAAACGCCTTATCCCCGTGCTCCCCGCTCGTTGGTGAGACGCATCTTTGCACTAAGAACTGCTGATTTCTAGTAAGTGGTTCCATCGCTGCTCCATCACAAAAGACCAACTCATCAGCCTACCGAATCTTCCTGAGCTCCTTGTCCGTACCGCTCTCCTCGCGCCCCATTGTTATGGAGCCTACAGTACCCGTTGGGACGGCAGACACGAAGCCGAAGTGGTTTCGAAACGGATGTAGCTCGTGCTTCCTGTCATTCCAGTGCAACCAAACGACACGAAACAATTATAGATGCACCTCAACCGCACTCCCAAGGAAGGGATAGGCAGCGTATAGCGGAAGCGATATACGATAGCACAAAAGTGGGAGGGAGGATGCTGCTCCTTTGAAACTTTCGGCATGTGTGCTCACATGTCAGAGCGCTGATTCTCCTCCAGGTTCCCCAGTACCTTGTCCAATTCTGCATGTGACAACACACAGTCTACGTGGGCGCATCATGTCGCTGCAGTTCCTGGATTATACAGTATATCTGCTTCAGCGGCATCCAGAGGTATATATCGAGAACAACGCATGTAGCTACACACCGGAATCAGCAGCGTCGACAGCTCTGAACATTGCATTAACTTTCTGTTGCAAACGGATACGTTTGTCGAAGTTGTAGTTCGTCAGGCCGTGGAATGCTGCCAATGGTTCAACGACCTCCGGCGGGAGTTTTGCCTTGAAACGCAGCAGCGCAGAGCAACCACCAACAAACGAACTTCACGCTGCACCTCGAAGCACTTGAATGAGAGTCCTCCAGGTACGAAATACCTAGTTAGGACCAAGGTTTGTTTCATTGCAGAGGCCAGCTTGACATAAGCATCGTGTTGTGTACTCCACAATTACCCAACGGTTTAAACCCTAGCATCTGAACTCCCTAGGACCTCTTAAGGGGTATGTCATCAACAGTAGAAGTAGTGCATCTTTCACGCCTGCCGGCTGCTGCTGGGCACTCACACAAAGTCGTAGCTTCGCCAAGTCAGGGCGCCTATCCAAGTAGTCGTCAATCTGAATTCACAGAATAACCCCTGACATAAGCGCGCTCTGTTGATTCAAATATCATCTGATCAAGTACAGCGCAGTATAGAGTCGTGAGTACTGCCACACTTGAATTATCCAAGGCCATAGACCCTCCAGCAGCTGTCAAACCCGTGCCTCCGGGGGATGTTCATCAAGCTTGCCATGGATAAAAGGAAATATGACTCACCATTGATTCATCAAGCGCATTCCGCGCTCCACGTTCCTCCAGCAGCCTCCTGATTGCTTCTCTCTTCAACATGTATGGATTATCGAAGTCCGTAAGCTCATTCGTAAGCGTGGGACGACTGCAGCGGTTGGTGCACACAGTTCACCAAAAGCCCACTTTTCTTTTGGAATACCCAAAGATGTACGCATGCAAAAGCTCGGTATTCATTCAGTTCAACTGATTATCTGCTGATGAAAGCACTAGAACGCAGTGTGTCAACATCAAAACACTCATCTGCTGAGTGCGGCAATCAGGTTGGAGGTAATGGCTACGTGTAGTAGTTCAGCTCAGATATCCTTGCCTTTGGTCCATAAGGTCGTGCCGAATGGCTTGTGCCAGTATGTCGACAAATCTGTCACTCAAAGGGTCCTGAAGAGAAATCGACAGTACGTGCCTTAACATACCGGGGAGGAGGGTTCGGGTCCGAAAAAGATAAAGCATACTTATGTAAATCCACCTCTTAGCTGTAGTGTGTCCAGCCTAGTCCCCTGAAGTGGACTACATGTGGATGCTTACACCGACGCCCCACTGTTCAGCTAGCTTCGCGCAAATCTCCTGGTACACTTCGGCTTTATGAACGTCTTCAATTAAGCTGACGGTCTGCGCTTCTTCTGTGAAGTTTGCGGCCCTGAATATTTAAGCATATGGAGACAAAAGGAGACTAGAGGTATTTCATTCTAGCGAACTGCGTCGGAAACATCCGCTATATGGAGAGGTGAATGCAACGCCCGTCTGTTTCTGTCCATCCGCGAACATTGCGCTTACACTACTGGAGGCGTTTGCTGCTCTGATTGCTGAACCCGCTTGAGTTTTCGCTTGCGCCTCCGCAAGTGGGCTGGTTTGTGGATCTCTCTCAGCCGCAGCACCCGCTCATGTTGCTCCTCTCGTTTTCGCTTGTCTGCTTCCCAAGACTGGAGTTCGTCATCCATGCCTTTCGCACGAAACTGTCGCCAGCCAGTCATCTGAAGTTCACCACAAGAAACTGAATGCAAACGGTGAAGACTCAAACGTTGCCAACGGTGGGCAAGCAGCTGCAGCAACCAGGGTGAGAGTCACAAGAACAACCGCTAGCACCTCGACAAACTATCAAATTACTACGTCAAGTTTTTTTCCTTTGTTTACATGCAAACACAAGACCCCTGTTTGCCCTTTCCACAAGTCGCTATGAGAGAAATATGCAGTCACGCGGAGAGCGGAGCACTTCCAGATGGCACTGTCAACATACCGAGCTGCGGCCCGCCTTTGCATGTTCTTCAATAAGCCGCATGCGATCTTCAGGCCGAAGCATCCGATAACGCTGCAGTAAGCGGTTCACCTGCATTTGCTCTGCGCTTTCTTCTGCATACAATTACAGCAAAGAATACCGCTTTCCTCAACAATCCAAAGGCCTATCCCTACACGGAATGCGAACTTTCCTGCGAACGCCCTTCTTGCAACCCAATCGAGAACTGGAGCCGTACACTCGGACAAAGACAGTCAGCAGAGCATGCAGTATGCACGCAGCTACCAAAGAAGGCGAGCAATATGGCAGCAGACGCCATCGGGCTACATTTAATTCCCTTGCGGCACAGGAACAGCACCAGGACCTCACCAGACTTGCTCCCGGCAGACCCTTGCTCTGAGGTATCTGCCATTGCTGAGAATCTTCTTTGACTCGTAGTGCAGTGCAGTTTGTCCCCTGCCGCTGTTGAGAATCCTCCCTGGCCTGTGGTGCAGTACACTCTCCATATGCGGTTTCGGGGATGTGCCGTGCAGGCACATGTCCCCAAAGCCGCATAGGCAGGTTCATGACATGCGGGAATCGCCTCGAGCCGCTCATGCACGCAGGGCCCACGGGTCAAACACCGCGCCACACGCTGGAATCCCGTAGAAATCCTCTGCAGACCGAGAGAGGCGACTGTGGCGCTGTGCATGCGGGTTGTAGCCATCTTTCATTGTCGCGACAACGTGTATGCCCTTCCCTACTACATGTGATACAAATTTCGAAATATTCTGTCGGTGTAGAAATAAGATTGGGGAATCCCCTAGCTGCAGCCGCTGTAGACAGTCCCACTTCAGGAAGCCGCTAGTTCGTGAACACCGCAAGTCTCAGTCTATTGTTGATAATTCAAAAACAGCTATTAAAGTATGGTGAGATAATTCTGGAGACTTCAGAGGAATATAAGATATTCATGCTCTATAATCAGGCAGCTACTGAGTGGTGGTCATCAACGCATGCAGCTACCTCAGGGTATGTGGCGGTTTCTGAGAGGTCGTCCAAAAAGCCCCGTCAGAAATGATAACACGCCTCAGGAAACGAATAGACTACATGATTTCTGATCGATTCACAGTGCCGCGGTAAACTTTGGCAGTTTGCCGTCAAGTGATCTTCAGAGGGACGTTTCCGCTGCTGACGGGTTTAGTCGTTTCTCGAAACTTTTCTCGACAAGAATTCACTATTAAGGTAGAAAATTGAATGCATGCGCTTGACAGAAATTCATCGTAAAGGTCGAAACTGAGTGCAAATGGCGATGTTTGTTGCATTCGTACGTCGATTTTCCAGTGTATGTACGGCTGTGGGGTCCTGCGCTCATTCACGTTTCAAGGATAAACTTGGTAAACTCTGTTCGACATGTGTTTAATCCACGGAGTCACTGATAATTTTACAGGAAATGCGCCGCTGGTTGCGTTTTCTCACATCCTTGCTTTGGTTGGGCATTCTCCAGTCGCAGCAAGGCTGGGGAAACGAACTGAGAGTTTCTGATTTTGCTCTGGCAAGGTTGCCGATGGATTACCCGGGGGACAGTCTGCTTGATTCATTCTATAAGCTTGTGGATGATGCTGAAGACCACAGAAGCTTGTCCAATTTCTCTGATGAGCTTGCTGCTTCTGTGTTAAGTGTTCTTCACAACCTATCCTCCTCATGTACGTATTGCTTCTCATCTGAAATGCATCTAGCCAGTTATGCCACTAAATACTGTAGTGGTGCGCGAGAAGATCGCAGCGGAAGTCGATGCTGCATCGCGCAACGAAATGCTTGACAACCCCGACCTGGATAATTGCCCGCAGCGGAACTACTCTCGATTGTGTGAGGCATTTCGCAAGACGCCGACGATACTCACCAGAATGCGCATGCGTGGTGCATCCATAATTGTTTATCTGCAGGTCCTGTTGGGTGGTACGAGACAGGGGATGGGAAGACTTGCAAGGCAAGTCACAACTCCGTGATATTGGTTTCCCTTTGCCTGCCACATCGCACGCCTACAGGCTCCACGAGAATACAGAGGTGTTGTCGTTGTCTTCATTGGCGTTATGCTACGGCTTTCGTTACAGTGATTGTCAGGACCTTGCGAGCGAACGGCTGACTTTTCTGGTACGCGAAAGCGTACGAAAACACATTGCACTAAAACAGAAGCTGCAATTCTTCAGCCGCTACACCACTGTCGAAAAGGGGTTTTGCTGGGCGCTGCGAAGTTTCATGTACGCAAAGTGTGATGCAAATCATAAACTCTAGTTGGTATCAAGGGAGTGCGACAGGGCCATGCAGCACCTCATGCGAAGAAGATTACAGGTAACGTAGGACCGGCTCTTGGTGGATGTGCTCATGAACAAAAGCATGCTTCTTTGTCAGCGATCCATGTCCAGAAGGCTGGACAGATGAAGGGGGAGTTTGCAAGGCACCGCCTCACTACCGGGGGAGGTGAGCTTATATTTATAAGTATACTTTTGGTTCCTTGCACAATTTTGCCTCTCAATGGCATCCTCTGTGTAGGTGCGTGCTTCAGAAGCAATTCACGGACTTTGATGAGCCCTCTAAGGCTCGTTGGTACGTACTTTCCTTCGAATGCTACGTCTGCCACGAGTTATATAGTGCCAAATCACATGTTCAGGGCAGAGGTGAGCAAACAAGCCCTGCTAGCTCAAAACGATAGACTGAAAGTTCTCTCTGGGAAGGCATGCAACGTGAGGTGGCCTTGCAGAGGATACGACGAAGAATTCACAACGAATGCCTGTCCTTCAATGTGGACGGCAAGCGGTGAGGCAAATGCACTAACCAGCCTCATTAACCGTCTGTACATACAGCTCACCATCCTGGCGCAGCCGATGGAAAGACATGCGAAGCCCCGCCATCTTATGTGGGTCCCTGCGATCCTGTGCAACGCATTAGTAGGCCGGACAACGCCAGGCTTTCTTGGTCAACTATGCACTTGAGTGAGCTTCAGGAGAGGCTTCAAGTGCAGAGAAAGCACGTATTGCATCTAGATGCGAAGTACAGTGGCCGGCGAACTTCCTTGCCCATTACGACTTCAGTGAGCCGTGCCCTCTGGGCTGGGCTGTCGTCGAGTTTTCTCAGCAGGTGTGTGGCTCAGCATTAGCGAAGGCCGTTACGTCCCGCCGCTTAATATAGCACCTTCCAGCTCCCCGAGTGTCACGCCCCAAAAGGCTACAGTGGAAGTTGTGCCAAGAAGCAGCGCCTTGCTGGCTTTCGCGATGAACAGAAATACGATTTCGTAAGCGCGTTTCAACATGTGGCAAGAGACCGACCCTGTATTACTAATTCGTTACATGATGCAGATGATGAAGTGTTCTGCAACGTGGCCAATTAGAGATGTCGTAGAGCGGAACTACGCAGCCCCTTGCCCTTCATTATGGCGTTTAGAATCCAAAGAGTCAGGAATTTGCGCTGCTCCCCCGGCTTACACGGGTCGCTGCCAGCCACGGCTTTCGTTTAAGGACTATGACGCAGACGTAAAGAAAGCATTCGAGGGACGCTGCAAGGTACGAGTGACGGCTGCCACAGATGTCGTATTCGTCGTCTTAATGCGTATTTGAAGGCATACTTTCCCATTTCCGCCTTCTCGGCCTTGCCCAAGCTGCAGCCGATTATCTCAAGCTTGGCTTTAAGCAGCGACGCCAAAGGCCCCATCGCTCCCGACCCTACTAAGTTTAAAGGGATGGTTGTGCCTCCTAATCACATTATTTACCTGCCATCTACGAGCAGAGCTTACCCCGCCCAGCCGCTAGCGCCTCCTAAGACCCCCGACACAACTGCTTCTCTTGCTGCCGCAACGGCTAGGCATATTGAGAGGCTCCGGGATATCCAAGTGTCGGCAACTGATCAGCGACTAGGTTCGATAGTTCAGGTACCTCATGCAACCTACGGGCCTCTACAAAGGTCCACGACCCGCCATACTTTTTACTCAGGATGTTATTCAAGAAATTGCAAATCAAGGCGGAGCGCCAAGCCAGTGAACAACTACATCAAGGATTTGTTGTTGTTTCTGTACATTTGCTTCTGCACAAGTCAGTAAATCCCCATGTATTGAGCTCGCACTCAAGTACGGTGCTCGTAGTCTCAAAGCGAAACGTAATCCGCACATCCAAAGTGTCCGAAACGAACACAAACTTAACATCGCGTTCACAAGTGGCCGCGCGGCTAGGCTTTCCCTACTCTTACCCTCGGCAGAAGCCCACCGAATATAAATGATCAAGGAAACATTGGGACGACGAAAAAATGCTGCTGAAAAGTCGGAGATACCACGTGCTGATGAGACTGTCAACGCTGCAATCCAGTTGCGATGCGAGACCTTTCATGTGGCAACAACTATACCTCTGATGATGTCAATCCTTATGTCCAATGATACACTTTCGTTCCCGAATTCAAATGGGATCACCCGGCACCTGACAGAATTTCTTATGTGGCGAAGATGCGATGCGTCTGTGAGAACAAAGGAACAGCAACACACCCTTCCACAGCACAAGCGGTCTCAATGAAATCAAGTCCAACCGCTCCATTCGACGAACCATGCTGCGGGTGACGCAGGGCCCAGCGACTCTTAAAATGCTGGGTTGAACAAATCCTAGACGAGACACTACAGAAATAGGACGCTGATATCGGGATGGCGGTGAAAATCCCATGAAAACGGCACTCAGGCGTAGCTGTTGTAACCATTGCCGCCGTATCCACCACCTCCATACCCGCCTCCGCCTCGGCTGCTGCTGCTGTCTCCATAGCCTCGGCCACCTCCGTTACTCCCTCCGTAGCCACCGCCGCCATAGCCACCGCCACCGTAGCCACCGCCCCCACCATTGTAACCGCCACTGCTGCCACCTCCATATCCCCCGCCGCTCCCGCCTCCGCCATAACTGTTGCTGTTACCACTTCCGCCGTAACCGCCGCCGTTTCCGTATCCATTTCCGCTACCGCCGTAGCCACCGCCGTACCCGCCACCCCCATAACCGCCGCCACCACCTCCATAGCCTCCTCCGCTGTACCCACCGCCGTTATATCCGCGACCCCCCCGGCTGCCTCCACCGTAGGAAGGTGACATTCGGCGAGAATCGCCCTGAAAAGGCATCACAACAAGTGTTCCCTGGCGGTATAAAACACGCGAACCTGCAGCTCTATGAGCGAATACAAACATCCACTCACCTTGACAGGAGCGCCGCCAGGACCAGTCACACGCACGGCCTTCTTGCGACCGTCATCGCCGGACTGAACAAGAAACTCGACCTCTTCTCCTTCACAGAGATTTCGGAAGCCGTCGGCCTTTATCTCCGTCTGGTGAACGAAGAGATCCGTTCCATCTTCAGAAGTAATAAATCCAAAGCCCTAAATTCAGATAAGAACAACTTTTAGGAAGTAACTGTACACGCTACCGGGTGGTGGAACGCCCTGGTGGCCTAAGATGGAGGGAGGAAACGGTACTACCGGCGGACCTTCTTTGAGTCAAACCACTTGCAGGTGCCCCTTTGAATATCGCCCATTTTCGTTATGCAGTCTTCGCAAGAGCCCCCTTTCCTGAGGAAATCACAACGGCAAACGCAGCTGCAGTGGTGGAGAATTGAACAGAAAACACCCTCTCCACGGGATACGCTGGCCCTGGAATACATTCAAAAGCAATTATTCAATAATTAGGTGCTTCTTTTCTGAGCAAATGAGCTGGTTCTGAAGGAGAACGCCTTGTGGAAACAGTGTGGCTGGGTGCTCTGAACGGCATTTTGCGATCACGAAAAATGCGTGGTGGCACCCTCACGTAAAACTGCCCCGGCAGATCCACAAGCATCCCCCAAGCCTACCTTAATTACAATCAAGACACAAAGAAAATATCCTGACAGCCCATGTTTCTGTAGTACCTGTTCGAAATACTCACGTGGGGTGGAGGAGGGGTGACAACAAGCGTGCACCAGGAGGCGCATGCCTGCCTGAACGAACCCACGTGCGCCCACCGTGATCACGGGTGTATTGAATCTGCAGAACTTCATTCATCATTTCTTTTCTAATTATCTTTGAATTCCATCATTATATACGGAACCTTTTAACTACTGAGGCAGATACATCAAAGGCACATGCAGTGCTAAATTTCCTGTGCCATTCTCCCGCTATGGCAAAGGCAGAGATCCACTGCAATAACTCTTTGTTGGCACTGCAAGTTAATGCTACTCATTCGGACCTCAAAAGACTATAAATATGTAAGGGAATGTGAATTGAATAATAAGGTATCGCATGGTGTCAGTCTTGAATGTATGAGGACGATTTGATGGTGAGTAGTGGTGGGCGTAGGACACCCACACATACGTCACCAAAGACGAATGATAGTTGTGGACGCCTCATTCGCCACTGCTGCAGGATGTTTGTTGCAATTTAAATAACGGTAGATACTGAGCGCTGAACAGTTATCCACCATGGAGATTGACTGTTCGACGGGAATGGCTCAGGATTCCTTATGACGAACGAGCGGAGGCCGAACGTGAGGCCAACGTCAGTTGGAAACGGAGTCCAAGGACCTAAAATGTCTAGAAAAACATTTTAAGTCTTTTGTGCCTGTTCCAGAAAGTAGATAAACTTCCCTAAAAAATCCAGAACACCTGGCTGCAGCGGCCCGACCGCTGGCTGCTGCTCCCTAAGAGAGCCAGTAACATGCACTGTACGAAGTTGGTGGATGCCCTTCTTCTCGCATGCAGGCTGCCAATTGTGGGCCGTGTAAAACAATTTTCCAGGGTTTCAATGCAAAGGGGCTTTGTTGTGCCCTGATGCGGGGCTGAAGATCCAGCTAGAGATTTTTAGTGTAAAAAAATGTATATACCTTGTGAGCGAAGCAAATATTTTTCTGAGAATTCTTTAGTTGTAAGGAATAAACCTTCTCCACATCTAATAGTAATGCGTCCCTTATTGTATTTTTCAAAAAGAATTGGAAAATATTGTAAAGAACATATTACTATTAGCGTCAGTTGATCACTCAGCTAAAATTGCGGATTATACTTTTAAGGACAATATCCAAAAATCTATTAATTTTAATACAAAATTAATGAAGATACAAACTGTTAAGAATGATAGCTAACAAATTACAAAGATACGTTTATAAAGGAATATGGTTGAGTTGTCTTTCAAAATTTCAGTATAAATATCCTCTCATTACAAAAAATACAGGAGATATTATTTATTTAGGAAATACTATACAACTAAAACTTGGTAATATTTCACCAAAAAGAAATGTAGCTCGTAGAAATTGAATACATAATACAGAACATATCGACAAAGGGGGCAGTTTTTGTTAAATTTCTGAAATTACTGCCTTCTTAATTTATATAGGGAAAAAATAGGTAACAATTAGATTACCTTTAGGAGAAATTAGGTTGTTAAATTAAAATTGTTTACGCATTTCCAGAAAACTTAATGTATTTCCACTATTTACGGGAAAAGAAAGCAGGAACTAGTAGATTTTTAGGAAAACGAGCAAAAGCTCGTGGTGTTGCAACACCACGAGCTTTTGCTCGTTTTCCTAAACTATGAATGCTTGTGAGCATCCCCATGGAGGAGAAGGGAAAAAACTCGTAAGACGTTGTGCTTCATATTGCACATTATTATCTTTTTTTACTTTAAGATAAATAACTATGGGACAAAAAGTCAATCCATCAATTTTGCGTTCTAAACTTTTCCCATGTTCTGCTAATATATGAAATAATTATAATTTAACTTATAATAATATAAAACTTTTTTTAGTTTACAAAAATGTATTATAAATAAAAAACAACCAAATAGGTCATATATACAAAATAAATATTGCCATAATGGATATTATATTTATAATATTATATTCTAAAGAAGTGTGTTTTAAAGATAAACAATATTTTAATTTGTATTTTTCAAGGTTTTTAAAAAGCATTTTTTGAACACAAATCAAATAATTTTGTAATAACCACCCTTTCTTACCTACCTATTTTATTTTAAAATATTTATATAGTAAAATACTAGTTACAAACAGTTCGTTACGAAAATATATTCCACAACTTACTAATTAGTAAAAATATAAAATTTAAGGATTTAAATGCATAGTATCTGGAGGAATAATTTAGGTACAAATAGCAGAATTTGAAACATTTAAATTTAGTGAAAGTTCCTTTCAAAATAAAATTGTAATTATAAAATATAATTTTGTTAGTTTTTCTACTAAATATTGAATTTTAGGCGTTAAAATATGATTACTTCCAGATTAAAAAGCCGAAACAAGTTGAATTTACCAAAAATATAAAATTTAAAGGTATAAATTTTAATGAATGTATCTATGGAATATGAGCTATACAACCAATTACATATGGAATATTATCAATTAAACATACTATATTGTAAAACAATATTTACAAAAAAAAACTTTTAATTTGAATACTTTGAACGTGAGTTTTGTTTTTATACGTATTTTATTGGCAATTATTTTAAAATATTTAAAGCAGCATTATTAATATAATATAATGAAGAAGCAAATATGCTTTATTTTAAAAAATAATAAATATTATGCTACTTTAAAAGTTCCCCTTCATTATAGTCATTTTAAATATCAAGAAGTATAAATAGAGATAAAAAACATTATACACTAAATTGTAGACCAGAATGTACTAGAGGAGTATTAGAGGAGATATTTTTACGTGCAATTTAAAATTAAGGAAAATACATATGTATTATAAAATGTAAGTATATAATTTTGTGACTCAAATAGATACTTATTTTAATATGGCCGATCAGAGTGGAGAAGAATAATCTGTATACAAAATTTAATTAACTAAAAAACTAAACTGAGGAGATATAATTGTAGAAGTTGTTAAAAATTGATTAGACAAGTAGATTAATTTAATAAACTATAGTATGTGGTATTGTTCTTTGAAAAAACGCATAAAATTATATAATGAACATTTCTTTTAGTTATAATGCAGTAGTGTTAGTTGATAAACAATTAAATCATATTGGATCTCGTGTACTTGGAACGTTTCCCAAATTTTAAAAAAAATTAAGGAGAGCATACACAGCGGCTACTGCCGCAGCTGTCGCTGATGAAGTTCCTGCTTTGCCTTGTGAATACACCAACAGCATGGTAAGGCTCACATGCCTGTCAACGGGTGGTAGGCGCAAGAGGTTATCCTGGTGGACATCTTCAGCAAATGCAAAATACCTACAGACTATTTGCTAGCTGCAAAGGCAGCGCCGTCTCAGGATCAAGGGGTTGCAGCAACTGTTTGCAGGTCGCCTGCCACCTGAGGTGTTGCTGGATATGCTGGTGCGGCTCCTGCAGCTGCTGTTCCGGCTGCTTCGCCTCCGTATCCCCGCTATGAGCCAGCAAAGACAGCCCGGCCAAGGCAAAAAAGGTGTGAAATGGGTCAGGGTGGCGCAGCTGCTCCTCTGCTGACTCCAAATGGCCCATACTAAGCACCCTCAAGGGACTGCAGAAGCCGGTGCTGTCGTCACCGTTACTCTCCTTCGTAGACACTGATGCATCCGTGCATCTCCCACACGCAGCAGCAGTCACCCGACACTTTTGTGCTGCCGAGGGAATGTGTGCGGGAACCCGCGATATGCCGCCAGAAGGATGCTGCGCAGCAGCAACAGCAGCAGCAAGGGACGGTGCATTTAACACCTTCAGCGGCTCTTTGCCCAGCAGGAGAAGCGCAGCGGTCACCCAGAAGGTGTAGCAGCTGTCTCCTTTTTTCCCAGGGCGGCCCTGCAAAGACCCTTCGGGAAGCTGCCGCTCCCTCAGCCACCTGCAGCAGCGATCAGAGCAGCCGTATACAACAGGCAGTCATTAACGCCCTAAACATCGCAAAGCAGCAGCCATTGGTGTTGCCACCTTGAAAGACAGAAGCGTCAGCCTAGCTGCAGCTGGATCGGCGACCGCAGCGCCGGGAGAGGGTGGGCAGCAACTTAACTTGCCTCTCTAGTCTTCGCGCCTTCTCAGTTCCCAGTGCATCCCTCTTCCCCAGGAGTGACAAACAACCAGCAAAGCAGAAGGCGGCGCCTGCATGGGGCTCAGCGCCAGGGGAGACACCCACGCCCCCGTCTGGCCCCAGAAGGGACAGCAGCCAAGAAAACGTCGCATCAACACGTACACCAGCAAGCGGGTCTTGTAGGAAGGTCTCCCAAGACGTTGCATATATGGGATCCTCCGGGGGTTGTACCAACCGGGGGCCGGGGTCAGCAGGCAGCTCCCGGCACACCTCAGGTTCTCCAGGGAATGGAGCCCCCGGGGTCACCGCAACAGGTGCTTCTCCACCAACACTACCTACTGCACGTGCAGTGACTGCACACGTTTGAAGCAGATGAGAAGCGGCGCTGCGCTTCTGGTGAGCCTTAGCGGCAGCGTGTATCAACTTTAGGCTGAGGAGACAGCAGAAAGTACAGCGTACGTCCCCTTCATTCTCCCACTTCACCTCTCCCTTTGCTTCTGCCGTTGTTGCTGTCGGCGGTGATGCTCCTGCTAGTGGTTGACTGCAAGTTCTGCACCAACTCGTCCTGCATTCTGGATGCAGTGTGTTTGCAAATGCTCCATCCTCTCGTCTCTGGAGGCGCAACACAAAACGTCTTAGCTGCTGCAAGTCCTCCTCAGAGAGAACTGGGAGAGCCTCCAAGAGGGCCAAGGCTTGCAGGCCACTGCATGTCGATAGAGCTGTCGCGGTTGCATTTTCAGTCAAGTTGCTACTGAATCCAAGAGCTGAAAGGTCACAGTGCGCACGGGATTCTGCTGCTGCTGATGCGGTAGTTGCAGGGGGCAGCATTGCCGGTTTTTGAGATGATTCATCTACTCGCTTCCTCCTTGGATATCCTGATCCCCGCTCCGTTAAAGATATCTCTGCTTCTACTTGTGGCGCTGCAGAGACCCATCCTGTGCACTGTCGTCTACGGAGACAAGGGAGGATGACTCTGGAAATGAGGTCCTCTTTCACTTTCAGAGGTAGAGGCAGAAAATCTGTCCCCGGCTGCTGCTCCTCTTGAGAAGACGGGGACGCCACAGCAGGTGGCTGCAACAGAGCGAGGCAGCACAAAGTCCAGTAAACCCCACTAAGTAGAGAATGCTGCTGTTGCTGTACCTCCATGAACGGCACATGCAGCGCTTCAGCAAGTGAGCCACCAGAAGAGGCGCTAGATGCCTCCTCAGCAAGCGAAGTAGAGCAAAACATTTTCAAGCCTCTTTGCAGCTGCTGCCTGATATACAGCCGGTGCGCCGTAACGTCGAGGCACCATACCTCTGGAGCATCGGCGGCTACAGCATCCTCCCCGCCGCCTTGTCCTTCCATTTTCACCTATGGAATACGCTGATATTCTACTATGTCATGTTGTCACAGATACAACAGGTATGGAAATTCCCTTGTGCGTGCCAGTTTGCCTACGCAACAGAGACGTTGTAGTGCACGGGCACTACAATCGCTCCTCTGTGTGGCCTCTAGAGGCCTAGTATCATGAAAAGGATTAAATACTATCGAATATCTCAGGAGTTAGGACATCTTTACATAAGTGAAGATGCATAATACGATCGGAGTGCTCACCAGCCGGCACCGGCTTGGGGGTTGGGTGTGAGGCTGAGGCTGTGACTCTGATACTCATCCTCAACGAGGGTCAGGAGGAGTTCTATTCTTGTGAGGATTTCCTTCAGGAAGAAATCAGGAACTCGAATGCTTTTTGAATAGTTAACGGAGATTATAGTGAGAATAGCGAGAATTACGAGTTTAGTTCCTTAGTCGCCGGGTGTGCGCTTAGCCTTGTAGCTTAGGGTTCATACGTAGTGACAGCAAAGGGTCGCTGTCAAGGGACCCGATCTCGTTCCATGCAGTCAGAGCAGAGCGTTTGGGAGTGCATAAGCGGACAGAATTTGTATACCAACATCGAGTTTAGACTAGGTGTCAACTGGGAAAAAACAAATTCTCCCCAAAACGCTTATAGAATCCAAGACACTACTTAAGGGGGGTCACAAGCGCCGAGGCTGAATAGGACTGGACTTACCCGTCAAACGCCCCGCTGTCCATGCACACGACCCTAGAGGTTTTGTACCTAGATTTATCCTCCTAAATTCCTTTGCATCACTTTTCCAGAGTTTTAGGACCAATGGACTGCCAAGCACTGCCCATAAGCGTAGAAGTAACACAAGAGTCCCCAACAACTGCTGGAGTGCAGCGGAGTGTAGAGGGTTTCTCAGATGCTAACAGACGCGTTGAGATTTCTTTGCATGGGCTAATGATAGCCAAAAGGCGTCAACCCCCTACATACTGTATAAGTATCAGAAGGGAGCTGGGATTTGCTTGCATGTGGGGTTACACCGCGGCAGGAGTTGCAACAAGAAACTGCTGAGCTTCGCAGTGCCGATTCGGGTTAGTCGTTTAAGTCTGGAACTATTTACTACTCCAATGAGAGATTTTGTGCTTATTCAGTGCAGTTTCTCCCACCCGTCAAGCCTTAGATACCTTGTAGGACAAGCATTAACTGTCCATATTTGACCTTCTGAAGGCATCCTAACAGTTGAAATCGAGACTTCTTCGACCAAACGCTCTTCGTTTGATATTTTCGAGGGTCTTTACGCATGCGCCCGTATGTTCTGGTGTTGCAGGCGCGCCTGCTATTCAGCAGCGTATGGCAATTCTGCCACAGACAGTAACGAATGACTTGACAGTTGGATCAATGCTCATATTCCTCCCGAAGACACCACAGATTCGTGTGTCACACTGATGTGGAGACGTACGCCCCTGCAGTGCGCTGATTCGTTCCTCTGCTTCCTCCTAGTGTGAAGCAGCAGCTACATCTGAGCCGGTACCGACAGAGCTTTGAAAGTGCTTGTCGCCCGTAGTGCAGGCACCCATGAAGAGCGAAATGCCCCGAACACCAGAGTTATGCGGTTGACGCTGAACGAAAGGCTACTACACTAGGCATAATTACTCGATAGTTCAAGCTGCTCTTGCGTCAAGCTGGGTAGTTCGTGAACGAGTGTAGCCACAGTTACGGGCATTCAGCCAAACAGTGTCTTCAAGTTCCGGGAGCATGTTGGAGGGACAAACCAGTGCGAACAAAGATTGGATTCTACTGGTGCACTGATGTGCCGCTCCATCATAGCTTCTACACAGGACTGAAGAATCCTGTGCAGCTCAATCGATATTGGAAAAGCAAGTGTAGGTGCGTTATCGCACCGCACCTCCCGCACAAACCAGCCGATTCGGCCATCAGATGTGAAGGATATACTTTGAAAAGGCATCGTTTACGGGTAAAGAAAAACTTAAAAAGCCCAACTATGATGATGTTCAGCACTTCGAACTGAACAGAGAACTTGGGCTACTCACAAATTTCGTGTTTCTCGGTTGTGGCATTGAAATTATAACCGGGAGTCCGCGACATTGAGTATTATCCATCATGCCTATTTCTTGTGGTAGCTGTTTAGGAGCAGGTCCCAGTGTGGTTTGTGGCCGCTGCGGTCCATTGAGGGCTGGGCCCGTTGGAAACACTGTAGACTTTGACGGCGCCGGAGAACGCTCAGACGTCTTTGTCGACGGTTGAGGGAAGTACAGGCGCTGCATTGCCGGGATGCCAGCTACGCAATTGGCGAGACGTTGCTTTTGCGCTGACCGGAAAGTTACGTAAGGTCCCATTCGGCCGGCTTCAACAGCCTGGTAGGCAGGCGTTTGGCATTGTGATATATTTCTATACCACTCGGCATTTGAATGGTTACTTCCTGTAATTCCCTGAAAACGCTCTGGGTTGCTGTTGGGTGGGGCAAACTGCTGTGTGTAACCATGACGAGAGTCTTGCAGAAGGGGTTGTTCATTAAAGACCTCTCGTGGACGTGTCCCTTGTGGATGGTATATCATGCCAGATGGCTGCACGGAGTGTTCCTCGCCCAAACTACTTATCCCCAAATTTGGACAAACGTATGACTCTGCTGATTTCGAGGGGGTCCGCTGTTTGCTTCCTACAGCAGGAGCATTCGTCGCATCACGTATGTTTGCCGATGAAGTCAAACGTTGCTGGCTCGGCGCGCGTAGTTCATAGTTAACTTCTGCTCCAATTCGTAGGCGGCAGTTCGGAAAGTCTGATGCCTTCGCTTGATCCTGTTCGACTTGAGGCTTGTTGGGAGTTGACCGTAACCGGAGCATAGCGCCGGTACGTCCGTTAGGATTCGCAGATACGCTGCGCAGTTTCTTCAGGCTTGGCAACGATGTGGCATCATTTGCTGCATAAAAGCCCGCATCTTCAGAGACTACGGTGGAGCATTTCGTTGGATCGTCTGCTGAGCGTGTATCTTGACGAAACGTTACTCCTTGGCGAGGATGTGGCACGTGAGGCTGAACTTCTTCTGCAGCACAGTCTTGCACAATTCCGGCCTTCTGGCTGAAGGGGATAGGCGCAGTGTGATTTGAGGCACATCTTTCTGTGCTATCGCCAACGTGGTGCTGCTCCCGCTCGCTACCAGGTACACCTGCCAGTGCACGGGGAGTTGGTGAACTTTCCTGCACACCAGGGTTGGCCTCCCGCTTCTCTTTCATCCATGTTGCGCTCTGAAAATCAAAAGATGGGTCAACAAGAGGAGCCTTTTTGCTCTTGTTCTTCTGTCCTACGGATAAGGGCCGTCCCTTAGATGCATTCCTCCTCAGTGCCACATGAGCTGCGGAAGTGTCTAATACTTCTGAGCACTCTGTTGCTTGTGTTCGTTCTGTTCCAGAGACTCTGCTTGTGCACCGGAGAGTGCGGGTGTGCGTGGGGGAAGGCGTGGCTTTTGGAAGTGTCCTGCGGCGTGATTGGGAACAGGAAGAAGCGGGAGCACTCCTGAGGGTAGATTGCACTCTCCTCGTTGTTGTCTCTGTCGTCGGCGATGAATTCAACCTTTCCCTGCAGCCTTCACTGGAAACAGCATCAAGGTCTAGTCTACCAGTGCACTTCCGGTTGCTCAATAGAGCAATGTTTGACGCCTTTTCCGTCGCAACATTTTGGCGATTTTGAACAGCTGTTAGTCTGGCCGCAAGGCGCGATACTCCACTTTTCGCCACTGCAACCGACCCCTTGGCGGCTGTACTTCTTCTCGAGGTGCTGCCAGATTCTCTTGCTTGTTGGGGACAAGTCAGCGAAGAGCTCAGCGGTGGGACACGACGCGGGAAATGCGCCGGTTCAATTTCAGAATCGGTGCCGGGCGTCACAGACACCAATTTCTCCAGGTCAGCAGTAGGGTCCCTTCGCAGGAGTTGCAGCTGCAGCTCCTTCCACATTCGAAGGACCCAAGGATGTTGAGCAACGCCTGCATCACTCGCAAAGTGCAACGTTTGAGAACGATAATTTCTACTGCACCCACTCCCCTGGTGCCGTCTACTGAGCGGAAGTATTTACAAGAATTGTTTATGTCGATTTCTGCAATGTTGCCCTTACCATCCAACGGTAGCCTGTCGCTTGGATTATATCTGAGGAGCTTTTTAATCAAGTCTCCAGCATCTTCCTTGATATGCTGAAGAAAACAAGACAGAAACTCGGCACAAGAAGAAGTGGTGATGCATCAGCCGCTAACTATCAGCTAACAGAAGCTGTACTTGAGTGATATGCCTACGCTGGGTATTCTGACGTCCACCATTATGATCCGTTGAACGAGCTCGAAGTGCCTGGTCGACTGGAAGGGAGGCCTCCCATCTAAAAGCTCATAGAGAAGTACACCTAGATGCGCATGACAACAATATTGGACAGATACTTCCATGGAGTTACCCGCATCTATGTATACAGGACGGTCTGTGCACGAAGCCGCAGGTTTTCACTGAACGTAAAATCTTGTCAATACCGCACGTAGATATATCCCCATGCAGATATACCGCCTTCTGCTAACTAGGCTTGGACTGCCCAGATTTCCGCGTTGGAACTGTGGAAAACTGGTTATCCGCTTACCTAAACTCCACAAGTCAACACGCCAGTCGTGTCCTTGCCCTTTAACCATTTCAGGCGCGAGATAGTCTAAGGTTCCGCAGAAGCTGAAGCTTCGGTTGCAACCAACAATTGAGCCGCACCAGCCGAAATCCGCAATTTTTAGCACATTCCCTTTGGTTAGCAGAAGATTTTCCAACTTCAAGTCCCTGTGGATGATGCCGTTGGCATGGACACAATGGAGGCCATTTACTAGCTGTGCAAAGAAACAGAAAGCTTCAAGCTCTGAAAAGCGCCTGTGAGGTTGCTCCCGAATGCGGCGGTAGAGATCACCCTGTTCGCAGAAGCCCAGCACTATGTGTAGGTACTGTGCGTCTTCGACGCATGAGAAGCACCGCAGCACGTTTTGATGGCGCAGCAAATCCCTTTGCACGTAAAGCTCAAACTCCACTTGGTTCACCATGCCAGCCTGCACCACAGTTTCCTTCTCAATACTCTTGACGGCGACTGTGAAGCCACCCTTCTTGTGCCTGAGCTTCCTCACAATGCCATATGTCCCGCAGCCAACCACATCTTGGCGTACGTCTAGCATATCTTCGGCCTCCTGGCCCTTTTCAAAGCTTTCCAATTCTGCAAGGGATTTTATAGGTAAAAAGGCCTCAATGTAGCTCGAGTCCTCTGCCCATTCGTCGGCAGTAATGCAATCTTCATCTTCCCGCCCGGTGTATCTTGTTGATGAGATCGCCGCTATCAGTGGGCCTACGGGGATAAGGTCGTGGGGGCCGATTTTGAATAGACCCTGGGGGAGGCGGAGTAGCCTCGGAGTCCATATGAACTTTTTCTGTATCTGCCAATCAGTGGTCTTGCTGTTCATATCCACTTTCGCCTCATATGATTCGTTTTTCCCAGTATCGCGGATGGTTTGCTCTTGCTGTACGTTTGACCCACCTTCATCTGAAGAAGGGCACTGGCCATCTGGACCTGCCGCACTTTGCTTCCCCTCGTATTCAACTGTAACTTGAGGTGGAACAGCTTCCGTTTGCTCAGTGGGAAGATTATCGCTCAGTTCAGCAGTAGAGTCTGTGCGCGCTTCAGATTCTGCCTCCACTGCGTGCTGTTCAGAAGTAGTGGTCCCTCCAAACAGTGCTGACTTGGTAAGTATAGCGAGTGGATCTCCGATCACTTCACACCTCAGTTGCAAGCGCTGTTCCATACTACCGCCAACTGCTGTGAAGTGCAACTTTTTGTTCTCTGCAGTAATGAACTCAGCGTTACCTGAGGACCCAGCAGAAGTTTCAGCACTCTCGCTAACTTCCCACTTCAGTGGCTGTGTAGCTTCCGGTACCCCGGCGCTTCTTTGGAAACTAGTAGGGCTTTGTAAATGCTTTGCTTCATATCGGTGCTCTTCAGTAGGGGCGCCACAGTGTTCGAGGCTTCCCCTAGTTCGAATTAATGCGGCACCTGGATTTACAGAACATCGTGGAGGGGGGCATGCGTCCTTTGTTTGCAAATGGCTAGATATGCTCGATGATTCGTATGAACGTTGCCGGGACTTCTCGAGCTCTGTCTTCTGGAGCGGCTGCTGCGGCAGGCATTTACTGGGCAGCAGCGTTTTTTGCCTCTGCAGCTTCCAGGAGGCCTGCTGCTGCATGAGTCTTTCCTTTTGCTGTTGAAGTACCTCTCTTTGACGTTGTAGAAGCTGTTGTTGCTGCCAGAGAATGTGTCCCTTCTGCAACTGCGGCAAGAGCTGAGGAGTTTGCTGGGCCGCTGATGCTGGAAGTTGCGCGTGATGGTGAGCGTCCTGAAGATCTTGCTGCCGCTGAAGAGGGAGCTGCATCTTTCCAGGGCCTTTTTCATGGGACATATTTCTCTTATTTTGTTCCTGAGCAGCACAGGCACCTAGCAATCTCTCTTGTGCAGCCGGATTCTGCTGTGAAACTAAAGATTCTGTCGCGCCAGCCGGTGGAAATCTAGCAGACGGCTGATAATCGGCACGCTGTCGCAGATTCAGGTTGGGAGATGGAGGACGTGATCCCGGTGAATTCATAGCTTGAAGCTGCTGGATTATCTGCTGGCTGTTATTCCAGCCTCGTTGCGCTTGGTGCCGGATATCGCGAGTTGTATGGGCCCAGCGCACTGTAGGGACTGGGTGGTGATCTCTGTGGACGTCGCTGTTTGATGAGGTCAATGCGTCTTGAGTCTGCTTCTGCACTGATTCCCCTTCGCAGTCGTCCGTTTGCTCTGTTGAACCACGGAAAAAAGACCAGACGCGACTGGCAAGGCTGGGGGCTTTGCGGCCAGGAACTGGTGGCGTGCTGGCAGATCTGTTTACGCTGACACCTGCTTGCATCTTTTGTTGTTTCTGAGCAGGCGATAGATACGGTATTCTCCCTCCCTCATTTGTCCTGAATGTCATAGATGGATGAAGGCTGCTTGGAACCCCAGCACGACGAAGCTCATTATGGCCTTGGGGAGGCACGGAGTGTGGGCGCCAACGTTGGAGCCCAGGAGAGTTGCCTCTGAGGGGCTGTTGCTGGAGAGGGGCGGCGCATTGCTCCCTCCCTACTGCCGCCGGGGAGAATGTGAAGGGGTTCCTGACATCTTTCTTTAGACGAGTTTGAATCGACGGAGTCCCTTCCATGCCAGGAACACTCGGCACCTTGCCATTGCGCTGCGTCAGCAGCACTGCAGAGCAGAGGTGCTGCTGGGGAGCAATAAACTGACGAGTCCTGTCTGCTAGACTGGCCCATGAACCAGGCCAGAGACCTGCATTGGTGTTGTTTGGCTGAGGTTGATGCTTTGGCCGAGTTTGTGCGGGCTGACCATCCACTTCGATTGCGTGACTTGGCACCGCTCTGGGACCGGTGCTGGCTGAACGTGCTGTGGCCTGTCTTGGGCGGTAGCAACTGTACACGAAGGTAGAAGGAGTCATGGAACGCCACAGCATCTGAGTATGAGGCTTGTGGGGGCCGGCTTGAGCCTGGTGCTCTGCCGACCTATTCCACATTGTCGTGTCAGCGGTACGAACTGGTGGGCCACGCGACGTCGCATCTCTGCTAGGACTCCTAGGCGGCGGTTGTGGGGAAGGGCGGAGGGTATGAAGCCTTTGCTGAGCTGGTTGCATTGCTGGAGTATTCCGTTCGTGGGTATTCCTGGCATTGTTTGGCGACCAGAAGCGGACGAGATCTGGCAAGTGCAAAGCAGCTGGCCGTATTGTTGAGGGGCTTCCCTGCCTATGCATATGACCGCCCAGTGGGGAGGCAACCCCCGCGTTGCTGGAGGTATTCATGACCACGAAATGGCTGCAATGCGTTTATAGCCTGGAGCTCTGATAAAAAGAAACTGATGATGGCGAGCTGCAGAAAACCGTCGAGCAGGCAGACAGAGAAGCTTCAGCTCGTTCACGCCAAGCTTTACTCCATCGAAGCGTTTTGCCTCCCATATAAGAAGCGCGACTGATTCTTCTCCTGAATACAGCAGAGAATCCTCTGATGTCGTCTCTCATGCCTTGTGTAGAATGGATGGTCCGTCCCGTGTCGCTGACCGCGCCCTTCCTGAGCGCAATATCCCCGAATAATCATCGAAAAATCATTCGAAAAGTGCGAATTATGGGCAAAGAATCGCTGCTCATGAGGGGAGAAGGCAAAGATTTAGACAACGTAGGTGACGAGCTCGGGCGGCGGCGGTGTTACGCCGGAAGTAGCAGCGGCATGCCCTCGTGTGTGAAGCAGCTCTAAACAGCAGACATTTGCTACCGTTTAAATCTGCCCGCTCTCGAGCTTATGATATTTTGAACAGTGAGGCTTTTCCAGACCCTCAGAAGGCAGCAAGCCCCTGGCGGGTCCCGCGATCGCCACTCGAGGGAGCTGGGTTGATGAATTTTGGGAAATCCAGGCCAAAGACTTCCCAGATTTAGTTTATAACTTTGTAAAGAAGGCAAAAGGTAAAACAGAAAAGTAAAACACTCAGCTGTGCTGCGCATTCCCGTCGAAGTCCCAGAAGGCCGGCGGTCCAGTCCCCCTCACCGTTGCTGCACCGCTTCGACCATTTCAACCTTCCTAGGCGGAAAGTGGCCTATGCTCCATTCAGAAAGGGATAAAAGCCTCTTTTTAATTGGAAAAACACTGTACAGAAACAAACTGCCCGGGTTTTCTTGCCAACTGGACGTGCATTCAAGGGTACAGGTAGCTGTCACGTGTCGGCTGCGAACCCGTCCGGTAAGCCCGACTTTGGAACGCACACGCATATAAGAGTACAACCTTCTACACGAAGACTTTTATAGCTATAAGATACTCGAAAATGCTCAGCCTGTGCTCTACCGTCACGTATTTGCGGAGAATGTTGACGAACTGCAGCCCAGACAGGATTACGCAGACAGGAGCGCGTGGATAACCATATGCCGAGTTACTTATATCCCCACGTAGTCCCTTTCATTCTTTCTACTGCACAAGCATCCCCCTTGGGAGCTAAACTGAGGATCTGCGAGAGCTGTTAAGTTGGAGTTTTCGGTAACTACGGTGAAGACTGCCCCTAACGATCATTTTTTCAACGGTTTACTGACCCGTATACCACCTAAGGCTTCCTTTTCGGCTTGCCTTCGAATATTTCGGTTCTCACATATTGCGACGCAACCTAGTTATAGTTAGCTATTGGCGTGCACGAGTAAAATCGAAATATATAAAACTACGGGCAAACCAAGAGGCAGCTCTGCAACTCTTCCTGCACACCTATCGGTGGAAATCCCTCGGTCAGTTTACGTCTGGAAACGCCAATGTAGGCTACAACTAGAATTTGCTTTTCGGTGTATCGGTTTCACGCAATGCATTTCTAGAGGCCTCGTGCGCCTTCCTGTTTCGAAGCTGCACAGCACTAACAACTAAATATGCCTGCTTTATATTCGGCAATACGCCGGCTAGTTGCTTGACACAACCGAGATATACGATTGGCAGACTAGCTCACATCCATAAGTCTGTCTTCATGGTTGTCTAGGATGGTGTGCATCAACTAGCGCAGCCATCAAGCCTACCCGAGGCATCATACTCATTTATCTAGACTGGATGCTGCTTGCGCTTGGGCCATCAAACGTCGAGTGGGCAGGATGGCCTACGTACCAACCATTCGCCGTTGAGGAGGCAAGTGTCAAGCTATCCTGGTTTCTGACTCATCTGGAGACCGGACCGCTCCAATGGATGCAGCATAGATTGAGGAAACAGGATCGTCAAAGCTAGTCAATAATTAAAAAACAAACGGGCTCAGTATCCCATCGCTGGTTTTGTGCATCTTAAACGCAGCCAACCAGAAATATGTAGAAAGTAGAAGCCACCCAAGGTGCTGGGGAGGAAAACATATTACTAGTAGTGGAAGCGACGGACGTCATCAGTTAACCTAAATTATGCCGTTGTTTACATGCGGCCTTCTTCATCATGTTATTTGGATCCAAAGGCCCTACTTGAATTACTACAAACCCCCGAGACGACAGTTTAGGGATTTGCAGGGGACAACTGTATCGCCGCCAGCAGGACCAATCCGAGGCTCTTCCAACCTGATATTGGTACAAATCGCGTTTCGCTTGGGGATAAAGAGCTTTCTGAGATTAATTTGCTAACCTGAGTTAAATAGATTATCATGTAGTGCGTTAGCGTTGCTTTAGAAGAATCATCAGCCGCCACATGCACAGGCAGCAAAGTAGGCCAACAATCATTGAGATAGCGATTGCCATGTGAATTAGTCTGTTAAGGCGCACCCAAGCCGGGCCCAGCTCAGTTTCCGCTTCAGGGGGATCCGATAGGATCATTACAGCAATCCGGTGCGAGTCTCCCCTAAGCACATACCAAGCACACGCATGCCAAATCTGTTAGTTTTGTCTACACACAATGTTTCTCCTTCACTCGCGTGGTTAAGAGAGAACACCAAAGCAATGAATGGGTGCGTACCCTATTGAGATCTCGAGCGGTTCATTCCTCAGTTCCATCGCGAGTGCCTCTGCATAGCTGGTCAGGTCGCTAACTTCCGTGTAGTTGAAGCGAAGCAGAAACTCGTCGAACGGATTTAGAACAAGCACTGGAGGTTGCTCCACTTTACTTGAGGTGTAGGCCTCAAGTAGATCGCTTTTGCCCGAATCCTTTTCAAAGTCACACAAAAAAATTTTAGCTACGTCAACGAAATAAGCGTGAACGCTCGGCGGGCAAGCATAATGGAAATGGCAGATGGAGCAGTGGGAACTGGAGGGCATACCTGCTTGAGATCCATGTTTATCTCGTCTATTTTAGCAGCTGTGCTGCCACCAGCTACCTCCAAAAGATGTTCTGTGCGCTTTTCCATGTGCTGCTGCATTTGCTCCAATTCGCGCTTCTCGGATGCCAACTCTTCAGCCGCTTCTTCTTCCTGTCGCTTGAGGAATGACTTGATGTCATCCGCTTTGGGCACTCGTAGAACTGCTCGGTCTAAAAATGCAGCATTCATCGGCATTACCTCTGACCCTCCAAGAGCAAAAAGTACGAAAGCGCTGAAGCATCGGTCACAAGCAATGCAGATTCACGCATTTTGCTGTATGTCGTGGAAGCTGGGCAACCAGCGTGACCTAAATCTTGGCAAGGAGACCTGTTGTTGCATTTTTGGGCAAACGCACATTTTTTTCCCATCTATACGTTCGTCCTTTAGGCGTTTTAGCAACTTTCGTGGATCAAGGCCTTCGGAATTTTCCACAAATACAGGGGTTCCTCCACTCCTACACATACAGAAACTCTCCACAGTGCAGAAATAGTTGCTTGTACATATTTTCACGAAGACTTACATCACCACCCCCATTAAGTTTAAGTGTATCACAGCTTTAGCAGTTGTTAGAGAAACGCGCATTGAAATGCACTTTGCTGCTTAACTGGTGGGAACAAGGGGACGCAAAGCACATAGCCACCTTCAGGGAATCCTGACGTTCTGCATTTAGGTGGAGTCCATAGATGCTTACGACGAGTTGACGGCGAGATGCAAAAGGTTCCTACATTCCGTGATCTGATCGTCCAAGACAATTACCAGATGCCGTCTATAACCATTACAGAAGACACAGAGAATGAAAAATGATATCGACAATAATTTCAAGTGTGCCCACCTACTGTTCTGCTACCCGAGGCGTTGTCAATTACCGTACCCATCTGGAGCTCTAAGCCAGTGCCGAGGCAAGCTTCTTGAAAGACTTTCCACGAAGAACTCTTCATTTTCTGGTGGTTCAATCAAAGCACCGTCTTCAGCTCTAACGCCCACAGCGAGCTCACCAACACCTTCGGCTGGGGAAGATTTGCGTGTCAGGCCGAACGGTATCCAACGCAAGAATGCGCTAGTGGTCTCCCGCGTATGGTTACGCTCAGATCGGGGTGAACGACCTGATGATCCAGATGTCGGTGAATCACTAGCTCCTCGGCCGCTTGCGGAAACCCCCAGTGACTGCGCATCCGACGGAAGCTCGCCTGTGGCAAGCTCTTTGACTGCGTACTCAGTTCCAAATGCACTTTGAAGAAGTTGCAGTGCAGTAGGCAAAGAAAACGGGTAGGGCAAGGGTCTTCCCTTTTCGTCTACCAGAGACTCTTGAGTTGCAGGAACAAGAGCGAGGCCCTTATCCCTCAAAAACTGAGTGGGACTTTGGGCTCGCACCGGCGCACTGTATATCGACGCACACAAAAGCTACAACGCCATTAAGAATATATGTGTCTACGGGGAACCGTAGTCANCAGAAGGCAATAGTTTTAGGATTCACTCTAGCGGATTTGCAATCGCTCTCCCTCTATCCAGTGGACAGGAGCAGGATCCGCAAGTGCACTTACTACTCGGCGAGGACAACGAAGAAGAAAGGGCTCCCCCTGAAGCAGAAGGGCAGAGATAAGTTTGCACTTCAAGCATTTCAAATCGACATTCTTGTTGCTGCACGTGTTGATTCTTTAAGGGAGAAACACTCGTGCGGTAAGCGGCTAATTCGCATGACGCCTACCGGTCGTCACGAAGCGCTGCCGCCGCAGCCACGTATTGTTCGGCCGTGTGCCACCGAGCCCGTATGATTGGCGTGACTCCGCTGAGCTCAAAAGACAAGGACGCTTGGTTAAGATAATCGTGCGATGATGGAAGTGCTGTTCCATGGCTATCAGGAGGTGGCAATGATCGGTTCACACTAGAGAAGACCCCCGGCGGAGTACATTTAAGGAGCCGTTAACTTACGGGTTGGAACGAAGCTGCGTGCTTATGTCCCAGTACAGAGTAGCTGAATAGCGGGCTGGCGTCAACACTGCAGCTACCTCTGGGTACAAAGCTGAAGGCGCACAAAACACTATGAAAGCCTCTCTGAGTAAAAACAACCCCTCCGAAAGTTCAAGGGTTGCAATATATCTGAGGCAAGAACATCTGTATCTGCATTGCGCTACGCCATCCATCGTACCAGTACCCTGAAACTCGAGTGCCCCTTTTTGCAGATCCTGAGCAAATGGAAGGGGGAACGCCTGTCCGCTGGTAGCTCCGGCAGCGCTGAGGCTCCCGCCAAAAACTCCAGGATCCGCATTGCTTCCCTCTGGTTTCAAATTCCCCTGAGTAAATGGGGAGTCCAATTGGCCTCCCAACGCTGTGGCAGGAAACAACGACTTCATGGAGCTCTCAGGTAATCGCTGAGCAGCTGAAGAAAATAAATATGCCTGTCCACCTGAGTTATCGGACGTTCCGATGCTTGCACGAGGGTCGTGCAGTGAAATATCCCCCACATTGTCACTCCGAAAATGATATGTGGGCCGAGATTTTGCTGCGATTGAGCACGCAGTGGCAGCGTTAGAATGTTAGAGCACTAGATTTTCGCAAACCTTGACCGTTTGTCCTCCGCTGTAGTGCCGGCTAAAAGCTGAAGTAGTGGCCCATGAACGTCGATGCAGCAGCATAGGTGACTAAATACCAGTCTGAACCCTCAAGTTCTCACCTATTTGTTTAAAGCTGTCACCCGGTAGGCTCGTTAACGAGACAAAGATTACTGCTGCGAACAACGACCGACCGAACCATCGTGTGGTTCCCAGCATGGTGACCAATGCGTCCAACGAAACATCAGCTCCTTTGGATGGCTCAAAAAGGTGAGCTTTAGTTTTTCACGTCGCGCTGAAAGCAGCATCTGTTGGCCTTGAGGATTTTCGTTGCGGGACTTGCGGCTTCGATAGTAGCTCCCCGATTCACTTGTGAGTGAAATTTGACGCTGTCGTCTACATCACTCGCCAAACACGAGGAAATGCAACAGCCTGATTGATATCACTGAAAATGTCTAGTTGATTTCCAGTGTAGGCGGGTGGGGAACTGACGATTCGGCAGACAACACCAGTCAACCAACAAGCCTGTGCTGACCCAAGGGCCTGGGAAACAGCGCGACGGCCGTCGTTCTTGGAAAATGCCCTTCAAAAAGAAATGAAAGGTGCTGAAGGAGTTGAAACTTAGTTTTTATGTCTTGTCTACTCGGTCTAACAGTAGTCCCTCACTGACTTCGAGACCTATGGCGACTGAGCCGCTCAGCAGAAGACCACTGGCTGTGCCGTGATGCGTGATGAGCTAGATGAACTCAGACGAATCTAATACAGCTTTATAACTGCATTACTTTTTGAATCATATCTACATTATTATATTAGCAACAGTGTTTTACACAATTCATGCATATGCTCTCCTATGCTCCCCTCTAAAGCTGCTGCTGCAGTACGCCCGGCGTCGTCCGCCGACCTTACAGGAGTGAGTCCAACTGGTATAGCTAGTATCAAAGGACGGTTTTTAGTCGCCAACAGGGCGACGGAAATGGCAGACAAACTCACCCTATCCGACTGTTGCTAGCACCGGGAGTTCGCGGAACAATATTCTCCTGCGGTATACAGGAGCCCCGGGTTGGTATCCACGCAAAGCAACAAAAAACCCGACACCTGCACCTCCCTGCCATTCCAACAGGAAACTAACCGAAAAATACCGGTTCGAGTGCAAACTGTAGACACCATGGAAGCCAGGGGATGAAGACAATTCAGAGTTACCGCCTCCAGGGCAGTCAAAGCTGCGGCCAGGGTACCCTACCACTCTCGTAAGTAGCTCCAGAAGTGAAAATACGCTACTCGGGCGTTGGCAAGGACAAGCCGCGTCGTTCTTCCGGTGCGAGCAGGCCTATTTGTGGACGGCTCGGCGTTTATTGAACACTTCATATTCGCGTGCGAAGCACTAAACAAGATCCGCTTCCTCGCGGAGGTACTCGCCCACGTCTGCATGGTGGTAAAACGAGATAGCTTCCGTAGGAGCCGTATGAATTTCTGCTGTTGATTTTGCGCTGGTCCCGAAGCCCAAAGGTAGATCCCCGTTCAAGGACAGTACACAGACACCCGCGCCACTAGGCATGTCCGCAGTTAGCCGGCCTACGTGACGCTGCAGCCGCAAAGGGACACAACCGTAAATAGAATAATTCCGCTGTACGCAAAACTTCCCCAGACTGTAGCCTACTCTCTACCGGAGATGTGCATGACCGGAATGACAGTATATTGTTAAGAGGAGCATTGCCTTTCGTTCTCATAAGGTCATAGCGGCATACAACTCACAGTGTCAAATCTTGCATACGCAATAGGCGGCCCTCTACGAAAGTGTACGTAGGGGCCGCCTAGGGAGGCACCAGGCAACTGGCTGACATTTCGCACACTATTCTCCAAGGTGCAGAGTGCCGTCACGGTCCTGAATTATTCTCACCTTAATGATGTGATTCCCGTAGACAAACGCTTGTTCCCCTCCTGGGTTGAGCCATACCTTGTGCGGCGCGTATCGGGCAATCAGGTGCAAAGCTGTAATACCAAGTCTGAACTTCCTCCCCTTGGTGATCTTACCGATGCACTGCCCTGCACTCAACTGCATGGAAACGGCGCAAAAAACTGGGGAGGGCATTGCAGGCAATAGCTTGCGCGCAATAAGGCGGCAAATGTTCGCCTCGAAACTTCCAGAAGCTGCAGCTGCTGAAGGACCTTTAACTGCTGACCTATCCATATAGGGCCACGGCCAAAAATCTTACGAGGTTTTTGCGTGGAATGCATCCGGCGGCCTTCAGCAGTTTTTCACTGAGAACATATATACCACAATCAGTCCAGAAGAGTATGCTTCTTCATGCTTCCCACTCCACGACCCAAACATAGCACAGCGAGATCGCAGATGCACAAATTCTTCGGCGGAAGTGCCTCGTGACGACGAGCAGCAATGTCACTGCTACGCATGTGCAGCCTCTGTTCAAGTCCGGCAGGCCTGCTTCACAAGCGTGCAGCTCCAAATGGCTCTTGCCCACCTCAAAAAGAAAACACGATCCCGATGCAGTCGGAAGAGATGAGGGTCTGAAGGGTTTTCAATCATGTGCATCAAGTTGTCGCCAAGACTGCAAACAAGCAGCAGTGTGAACAGTGCGCCATGTGAAAAGATGCCAACTCTATTCACCAATACGCCTGTGAACCTCTCTGTGAGTGGCTTGTCTGCCTTCTTGTACAGCGCTGAGAGGGAGTCGGGGTTCCCGCCGCTTCAGCGGAGGGGCGCGACGTTACGCCCTTTAAGTGGCTCACAATTTGGACAGCTTTTCCAGGACAAGTTTTATTTCGTCTTCAGTGAGTGGCCGCATCTTGAGTCGCCTCCGTCCGCCTGAATATGCTTCGTTGAGTAGAAGCAGGCGGTAAACTTCGGTTATCTCTTTGGCAAGAGAGTTAGTACTGGGCACCTCCGTAGGCCTGAAACTCAGTAGAAACATGCTAAGAGCAGCAAATAAAGTTGCTCTTGAGGCAAGAATGGCTTGAATGTCGAAACATTTGGGGAGATGGCTCGTACGATCGAAGCTCCGCTGGTTATGTTTGGGGCTGGACGATCCCTTAATCCATGCGCCTGGAAACCAGTGCACTCCCATTTTAATTTCCAGGCATCCTTAACAGTGCCTCTAAAAATTCAAGGGAATACTGGGGACTTCGTTCAGGTTATATAGTTATCGCGAGTATTCGCGTCAGTTCTGTGTATATCAGAAGCTGTACAGGCATTCAGGTCACTCTTATATAGATCCATCATAATAAGCGGAGTTATTGGTGGATTTTTTGCTCCACATATTTTTTATAGGAGCTGACTTGGTGGCAAACAACCCCAAAGAGCTAGGTTCGAACCATGCTTCGCCATTACTATTGCAGGGTTCCACAGATGTAGCATGGCGTGTGTAGCATGAGTTGGCGCAGAGTTAGCTCAGGAGCCTTTCGACGGTTTTGGCATGCTGCGTGTAAGCGCTTGCAAACGTTCTACAAGTTCGGTCAGAGGCAAAGCATGCAGCAAACGCTGAAATTTGCTTTCGTGCACGCGTGGGGCTGGCTTGCACTGCCAGCCACAGCGGGGTGCGCTGCAACCCCATTTCTGGCTGCCTCCTCCCCGCATAACCCAGGCCCTGAGCTCAACGCCTAGGATGCCGAGGGACCGGGGAAGGATGTCAGCTGCTTTGGGGAAATTCTTGCTCTAAGTCTTTGCCTACATTGCGGCTCGTCTCTGGTCAGATAAAGGCCAGAGGACAAGCGTTACAGCGTGTCTGAAATTAGTAACCATATGTTTACCTGCATGCACGCTAGCTATTGATGGAAAGGTAATTTTTTGACAAATGCCTGCACGGCGAGTGCGGGGGCCTTGGCTGCGCCTGCATGTGGGGTTGCCCTGCAGCAGAGGTTGCAGCGGGGTAGCCGGAAACTCTCTGCCATGAGAGGCCGCCTCCCCTCTGGAGCAGCCCCAAGCCCTTGATATGCTGTGCGCAGGATGCCTGGGGACTGGAGGGGGAGTCCGCTACATTTTATCTCAAGTATTTGACACGACTGCAGCCCAGGACGCTCCATGGCTAAGGTAGAGGACGCCCGCTGCACTTGGTAGCACCGCATAATGGGGATAGATCAGGATATGCCCTATTGCATAAAGACGTCGACGGATATTTCTCGCGTCGCATTTGAACAAACGCAACATCCGCTTCCCATTCAGTTGAAAATCTCTTCACCCCGAATTTAATCCGTGAAGAGTGCCTCCTCCCCTGCTGACCGCCGTAGCACGACAGGCACCGCGACGTGAGAGTGACAGAAGAGTTTCTTGTTGCTTTGGCGGTGTAGTTTCTTCTCCAGTTGAAAACGAAACTGCACCCCTAGAGAACACAGGAATGCGCCGTTCCGCACCGTGGAGCCCGTCGTATTTCGGCGATCACCAGAGGATGAGGCATCCTTCGTGAATTCCTTTTTTGCGGTGAAGAGATCTTTAGCTAGATGGGAGGCGGATAGTACACTTGTGCCAACACGACAAAGGGACTAGCTGTCGGCCGCTTCAACGCCAGAGGACATATCTTGATCGCTAAGCACTCTAAACAAAACACCTAAACTTCCCCCAACACTAACCAGTGCTATACAGCAGGCTGATCTGCGGGGGGGGTGAGGCTGCTAACTAGCGCATGCCCCTTGTAGCGACGCTGCGCTACCAAGGGGATCGAGTCCTGGGCCTTGGGCATGTACCATCGTGATCCGCAAGAGAGTCAAATTACTATAGATTCCAGTCATACAACCTGTCCTCAAATCTCCGTAAGTCATTCGCAAAACAGTTTAGGGGCCTGGGCTCGCGGGGAAATGAGGCTGCCTGCCATTAGTTGGAACATTTCTTGTTGCAACCTGCGGCATGCTCTGCCTGCAGTTAGCAAAGGAGCCATCACGTGGCCTTGGTAGGTTGTGTGTAAGCGTGAGCAAATACAGACGTTCTATAGGTGTATTCAGATGTGAAACATGCAGGAAAGGAAGCTTCGTTGACGCTTCCTTGCATGCACGCGTGAGGCTGGCTTGTACTACCAGGCGCAGCGAGGTGAGCTGCAACCCCATTTCAGGCTGCCTGCTCCCTGCAACACCCCGGCCCTGAGCTCAACGCCCAGGAATCCTCACGGCAGGGGAAGAAGGCCAGCTTCTTTGGGGAAACACTTACTTTAAGTCTTTACCTACATCGCAACTCGCTTCTGTCCTTGCTTAAGGCCAGACAGCAAGGGAATTACTACTGCTGCAAGGCAACACTAGATGCAATCGCACCCATGCCTCCTTTTGGCGAATGTACTAACTTTGGGGACAACTTTTAAGTTTACTTGTCGCTCACTAGCCAACCTGCGCCCAGCTAGAAACACGTGCACGAACTTCAGACAGCTCACGCTGCGCAAGCTGCACACACCAGCAATGCATGTACCCACTGCAGGCAGATCATGGTGAAGTGGTACTTTTATTGGAGCTTACTGCGAGTTGAAGGGCCTCTAATCGCACATTAATCCAGCAACTTTGGTGGTGACCGGTGTAAGCTGCAAGCATCGAAGGCCCTGGCGCCGCTCGTAAACGACCGAACATTGCTGCTAATGGGGGCAAATCTTTCCAGGAAAACTCATTACATAGGTGTATAATTCTACTGCATGTCGGAAGATTAGCGAAGCTGAAAGATTTCTCATCGTCGGTGCATGCCTACCCAGTCCCTACTGGAGCACAGCTGCAACTCCCTTTTCCGGACTCCTTAGGCCAACGCTGCCTTCAACAGAGGATGCAAAGGATGTCTACGGCAACCTTTCTTTTCTTGAAACTTCTTGATATTTGAGCGGTCCGCCCCTAAATTGGCAGTTGGCACACGCTTGCCTTCTGGTTTTCGTTTTGGAACATCTTGGCCCCAACACCAGGAGGTCTAGGTGGACCCAGAGTTGTGTGACACTGCTGTGGCCCCACCTGCATTAGAAATTTGAGCCCGTACTACTATGATAAAAGCACTCTTTGCAGCTGCTGACGCATCAAATGCGTCCCCTGGCGCAAGCTCTGCCTTGGCAGCCGACACGAGGGAAGTGTGTCGAGTCACTTGTACATTGCAAACCATTCCTGCGATGCAGAGGAAGACATCGCGGAAGCAAAGTTAGTTGCATACTTCCCCTCAGGTTTCTTGAGGGATCCGCTGCCTCCCTGCAGCATTGTAGTGGGGATCTTTTCTGTCAACGAAATCCTGAGCGACACCCGTGGGAGAAGGTCGTACACCTTGGGATACCCACTCATTCCACAAAAATATTGTCTCATTCCCCCACTGTTGTTCATCTCTCAGCTTTTAGCAGATTTTTTTGCACACAGCAGCGCACCTTGACGGGGTCTCCTCGCTCCATTTCGGGTTCTCAACCTGCTCCTGTGTGGCGGGTTGCAGTGATTGGCCGAGCGAATGTGGGGAAGAGCAGCCTGTACAATCGATTTTTGGTGGCGACTGGGATACCAGCCTCTCACCCGACGCATTCCCAGCTTGCTATTGTGGGCCCCGACCCTGGGACAACTCGCGACCGCAAGGAGTCTCTTTGCTCTTGGGGATCACTGAATTTACTGCTTGTGGACACACCCGGAATTGAGACAGATATGGACGGTGCACCCTCCAAGTCAGTGGAAGAGATATGTGAACAAGTAAGGCCTCGGCGGTGGCGTCACAGGAGAGTAGGATACTGTGTCGCGCATGTTAACGAACTGCTCTTCCTGCAGTTCACTGCTCACTGTGCAGGCCGCTGGAGCACTAGAGACATATGACGTCGTTTTGTTCGTCGTTGATGGCAAGGAGGGCATCACGCCTATTGATGAAATGCTTGCGAAGCAGCTGCTGGTAGTCACGAAGGAGAAACCAAAAACTCAAGAGCATGCTAAATGCCCCACCGAGGAGCACATGGCTACGCCTTCAGCCAGTTCAAGCAGGTCTCCATCAATCATCCTCGTGCTGAACAAGACAGAAGGGATACGGGGGGCGGAATGCATAGGAGAGGCCTACGAACTGCAGCTGGGCCACCCCGTAGCAGTGTCTACGAGAACAAAGCAAGTACGGCGAAGCAAAACAAACCCCTTTGAAATCACCTCAGCTGTTATTGAGAAATGCATGCAATAACGGGGAAACAAAAACAACTGCACAGGTAAAGTAAGCTGGGGGATGGGGAAACGCAATTAGTGGACTTCTCTGCAAGGCTTCCACAGGGCTTCGACGAATTATATGAACGAGTTAAGGAAGCACTTGAAGAACGAGAGCAGCTCCAACGCATTCCATCAGTGTCTCTGGAGCACCAGGTACGCATGAAGGTGCTTTGCTTTTCTGACGCTAAGTATTTTTCAAGTACGCCGCTAGAGAGTTAACAGCTGGATGGAATGCTAACCGCTGCGGCAATTTTTAGCGACTTGATTATGTGTATTCTCTGCTTTTCTTTTTCCAGAATATGAGAGATGTCTCTCACAGGAATGCGGCTGCAACGGAAGCGTGGCTTCAAGGATTATCTCGACGATACGGCCGTGGTGTGCAACCAGCATTAGCCTATAACCAGGCACTGGGAGGGTACTTACACTTGCCGTGGTCGCTGAAAAAGGCACAGGTCGACGGTGCTCCCTCTGAAGAGGCCGAGCAGCTCGAAGAGACGCAAGGCGCTGGCGAGAAACCAAGACAAGTGAGCGCACAGTCGCAGACTTCTCCAGTAGACGCGTTTGAAGAGCACGTGGGGGTTGAGCCCAACTAACGGTAGAGTCAGCAAGTATATTGAACTGCACATAATTGACTCCGTTGCAGCCCAGTTGCTCAGTCTGTGCCAGTGGAGTTGCTACTGTACCAACACGTGCAGTGCGCTTGTTTTGTGCCGCTTGGCCCCAAAGTGCTTTGCCTTGCAGAGTCACACTGTTTGCCGGGCCACGCATAAAAAAGCAAGATTCCAAGCGGCTGCCAAACTACGGTTCCAAAATCACTGGCTGCATAAACTGTATTGTTTGGAGACAGACAAATTTAGCATCCGCTGCCTAGCCCTATTTTCCACGAGAACCTTTTTTGTCTGCAGAATATGTTGCAGAGACAGGAGACATCTGGCGAGCAGGGAGACAGTGGAGTCATGCCGCTTCATGACGCTGGAAAGCAGGAACCTCACGACAAATTTGTTGCCTCTCCCGAAGTTGAATCCACTTGGGCTTCTCAAGAGAAGGAGAGTGAAGGCCCCATTCGAATAACATTCATTGGAAGGCCAAACGCTGGCAAGTCCAGTCTTATCAATTCTATCTTGAAGGAGAACCGACTAAAAGCGAGCGCGACGCCCGGTACCACGACCGACTCGATTTGCATCAATTTCTGTTTCAAGAAGCAACAGATGGCTTTAATTGATACAGCAGGAGTTACTAGAGGCTGGAAGATGCGGGGAGACGACATGCTGCAGCAAGCGTCATTGCAAACTATGCGTAACATCCGCGGCTCGGACGTGTGCATCCTATGCCTTGATGCCGCCCGTATAGAAGAGACCGGTAACTTAAGTTCCCATGACTTGTCACTGGCAAACTTGGCAACTGAGAAGGAGGGGCGCAGCTTGGTGGTATGCGTTACGAAGTGGGACCTAGTGGATCTAAACAAGCAAAGCCACGTGCGACGTTTGGTACTCGACCGCCTGCAAACTGGACTAGGCCATCTGAAGTCCTGCCCCGTGGTTTTCACATCCGCCACTCAGGCGCAGAATCTGAACACCTTGCTGAACAAATCCTGCCTGGTGTATAGCAAGTGGTGCAGCCGCGTTTCCACTGGCACTTTAAACTCGTGGCTTCAGCAGTACACCGCGCACTGGCCCCCACCGTGGAGGCTGGGGTCGCAATGCCAAGTGAAGTACATCACTCAGGTTCAGACGAAACCGCCAACGTTCGTTGCATGGTCAAACGTGTACTCTCACTTCCCAACACACTATAAACGACAGCTGATCAATGCGATCAGGGAGGAATTTGATATGAAGGGCATTCCAGTTCGCCTGGTGCTCCGTACAACTGCAATGCCCAAGCCTGGAGCAAAGCTCACGAAGGCAGAAGCGCTGAAGTGGAAGAGATTGGGGCCTCATCAGGTGAGATTGATGCACAGGCGTGTGTGCTGGTTCTGCAGTCGTCTCCATACAAATACCAATTGCTGCAAACGCATGAACCTAACGCAGCTGCGAATCAGTCCTTGTGTCTCCTTGCCTTTCAGTATCTGGCGGCGACAAAACTCTCTCGGAAGTACGTGGTGAAGAAGGGCGTACGGTAACTCTTCCAGACAAGAACGTGACGGTCTGCAGTTGTACTTGCTCCCAGAAGCTGGATTTGTAGTACGTAGGTACCCATCATGCACATTGAAGGAACTTGAGCACGAACCTGCTAGCTCAACTGTGTTCGGCAACTTCCGCTTTAGCAGGCACCGCCGTGCATGCGCGTGGCGTGAACACTGCCGTAGTATATTAGCGATTGGCACAAAAGACAAGAACCCGACGGTGCATAATGTGCATTGCTTTAAGCATAAGAAAGCGTGACTACGGCTGTGCAACGAACCCCAGCGATTGCCGGCAGGCTCCACAAGGCAATCTTTTTACTTCGGTCTCTGCCCCAGCATGCCATATTGAGCAGAATCCGAGGCACCACAATCCGGGGAAGATACTGCAACTATGCTGCCATGCTACAGAAACAGCTGAGTGAACAATAATCAACTACTCCACAGGACCCTGGGTACACCAGCGAAGCTACTAGGTTGCGAGATTACAGTCGTCGTAACCAAATTTCTGGGCTTATCCCCGCCGTGGACCACGGAACCTGCAGTGGCCTATGCCAGCAAAAGCGTTCCAACCAATTGAACGTTCTGCAGTTCCCAACCTAGCAATCATGGGAACGAGAAAGTTGTAATCTTTTCAAACCGCAGTTGTAATATCGAAAGTATGGGGTACGATGGTGCTCCTATACCCAACCCCTCCCCTAAACTGCCACTTTGTTGCAACGGCAAGGGGTGCATGCCGCTGCCCCCTTAGTCAGGGAGTTTTGCATGCTCATTCATCACGTGTAAGTCTCGGGGTCGATGTGGCTGGGTATTGGCTGTATTTCGGTTCCAAGTTCCTGCTCGATCCTGAAGAGCAACACAGACTCCTCGAATTCTCGTGCGGATCAAATAGAAGTCCACAAGAACACAGGGGCACAGGAATAAAGATCTGTTGGTTACTCAGCGCACCTGTAAAGGTTGAATCGGTCGTCGTATGTGACCAAGTTCACCGCCAAACCCAGGTGACCGAAGCGGCCCGAACGTCCGATTCTGTGCAAATAAGTCTCTGAATGTTGCGGGAAATCAAAATTGATCACAACATTCACGGACTGGATGTCAATACCTCTTGTAAACAGATCCGACGACACCAGGCAGCGGCAGGCACCATTTCGAAAGTCGTGAAACACCCTGTTGCGGTGAGGCTGCAGCATCCGAGCATGTATGTAGAAGCAGGAGAACCCCAGCTCGGTAATCTTCTTCGCTAGCAGCTCGACACGCGTCACGCTGTTACAAAAGATGATCGCCTGGTTGATTTGCAACTGCGTGCAACAGGACGAACAAGCACACGATGAGAGCATGACGGCCGGTGCACCCCTGTTTCCCCACCAACGTTTTGCGCAAGGAACGCCGCTTATCCTGTAGAGCAATCACTAGAGTGGGAAGACCTACACACGAGCAAGACAGATCAGCAGCATGATACACCACTTCAGCGGGCCAACCGGTCATCAGTGTCTCACCTTCGCAAACAATGTATTCAGACAATGGACTTTCTGTCGTTCTTCCACGAAAGCGTAGTACTGGGTGACACCCTTGAGCGTCAACTCCTCCATGAGGTTTATTTCATGTGCATCTGCAAGATACTTTGATTTGAAGTCTTTTACAGTCACTGGGAATGTAGCAGAAAACATCAGAATCTGCCGCTGCATAGGAATGAACTCGATTAGCTTCTCGACAATCGGCTGGAACTCTGGGGAAAGCAACTTGTCAGCCTCGTCCATGACGACGATGTGACATTGTCGCAAATCTGCCACATCTTTGTTTGCAAGGTCCAGAACCCTACCAGGAGTCCCAACAAGAACGTGAACTGTGTTGTGCAAGCGCATGATGTCATCTCTTAGGCTCGTGCCTCCTGTCGAAACCATGCACTGCACGTTGAGATACTTTCCCAATTCTTTCACGACAGCACTCGTTTGCAGCGCCAGTTCACGAGTAGGGACAAGGATCAAACCTGCAACAAGACACCAACAGAAACCCGACGGCAGCCAACGGCATCCCGTGAACCGCCGCTAACACCCGTCTTTCGGAACAGAACATAGTTTAGCTGTGGCCACAGCCAAACTATGCTTAGGCAGCGCGTACCTTGAATTGCACGCTTGTTGATCTGGCATTTCTCCAGCACAGGAATCGCGAAGGCTGCAGTCTTTCCCGTTCCGTTCTTGGCGCGAGCCAAAATGTTGCGGCCAGAAAGTGCCACCGGAATTGCCTCTTCCTGTATGGGCGAGGGCTTTTCGAATCCCTTTTCAAATATCCCCTTAAGCAGATCACGTTTTAAGAAATAATCCTCGAATTCATTGCCCTTCGTTTGAGTTACATCCTAAGGGCAAACGCACCAAAATGAATACTTCGTGCGCTAACTAACTCGCGTCGCGCGACTGCCAATGCCAGAATCTGAAGCCATTATCCTAGCCTGGCTACTTCCCACCAGGCACAGAAGTTCGCTTCCCTCTTCAGTGGCATACACAATAATTAACTGGCGCTAAGCGCAACACGGTTGACACCACGGGAAAGCTGTCGATAAGAAGCTCACCGCCGTGCGGAACATGTTTTGCCTAACTGGCCGCGGCCCCCCATCTTTCTGGACAAATCCATCCTGCATCCCATTTGTATGACCTTGCGTGAGAGGACCGCTTGCCAGGGGAGCCTGGGGCTGCATCTGTTCCGTGGCGTTAGTCTTCATTTTTGACCCCCGATTGATTTCCACTACGACGTCCATGTCACTTGTTCCATCCGGACAAAGAGGTTACTTGCTTTACCTTGTTTAGACTGCTGCATTCATTGGTTAAGAGTGATCCCATAAGGCATCGTTTGCAAATCTGACTCAACGAAAGCGGTGTAGCTTATAATCAGATAATAACGAAAAAAGGTGCAACTCGTGCGTCACGCCAACTCCCAGTCCGAAGCAGTCCAAAGGGTTCAAAAGCAGGCGTCAGCTGCACAAGCCGTCTCGCTCGTATCCTGGAGGAGCTGTAATTCAAACCTGAGGCACACGTACTCACAGAAATGAACAAGGCCCTCTCCCCAACAAAAACGTAGGCCCGGTGCTTCCTTTCCTCTTGCATGCACGAGGGCCCAAGCGGTAAGTTCCCTTGAATGTCAAGCGGCATAAGCCACACTCATGAGATGGAATGAGGTATATTCAACTACAAATTAAAACAGGCCACAGAGTTTCACGCCGCGCCTCAAGACTCCCACCCGCCCCCGCGACAACCCCCCATCAAATCGTCGTGAGGTTGGCTGTGAGTAGGGCCTCCTCGTGAGTTCCAACACACCCGTTTGCAGTCAACACCATGAGCAAGCACGTTGTTCACGCACATGAGCATTAGGCATAGAGCTCTCGTGCATGCAGTGCGCCCCCACGTCTACGCGGAATGTCATCAGTCAGGTCCTACACAGCCGCACCCTAGCATTACTTCGTCAAGCCACACTGAGCACTTTCGAACAAGATGGAGATTAATTAGAAGAGCAACAGTGCGCAAAGATTCGGCGGAAACAAGTACAGCCTCACGCATCTCATCGCGCCGGCCCCACCTGTAGCGAGCTCAATGTCTACGTAACCGCTACAGAATTCGCGTACCGAGTCTATTTTAGGTGCAAGCTCTAACTAAAAACGTAGTTTCATTAGAAACTGATATTCGGGTTAATATGCATTACTTTCGAACGTGAGAAGCTCCGGTTTAATATAACTGATATTCCCTTCGCAGCGCGTAGCTGCTTCACATACGCAGTTTCATCAAGCCCCAATAGCCGTTGCTGTGCTTTGTTGAAATGGGCGACGCTTATGCCATAGGAAAAAGTTGGTAATAGTTGGTTTTTGTACAGAATTTCATGGCTGGTCAGAATCAATAGCTGCCAAGCTGCGGCAGGTTGGCATTGCAACTTCCTCGCACCTCGCGACTCCGCCCGAGCATTTCATCCTTACTACCCTGCGGTTTTCGTCTGCTTTCTGCCCGCCTTGGCTCGCGGATTCCCATGAGTTGTCTGCATCATGTCCCAGATATCTAATTGACCACCGACTGTGGCTGTTGTGGGATCTGCAGCTGTGGTAGCGTACGAGGCAGGCCGTGATCTTGTGTTTAGTTGCTCACTTCTGCATTTTCGTACTATGACAGGCTGTTGTCCTCATAACACATGTATTGTTGAGTAGGCATCGTCAGTCGCACGGAGGCCATCTGAAGTGTACCCTCCCGAGTTAGCGGGATAGTCTATTTAGGGTCCTCGAAGACCGTCACGAGCTGTTAAATCATCTGCTTCCAGTCCTCATGTGTAACGATACTCCTTTATAATGTTCGAGTGCCGTTATGAGCAGCAACTGAATTGTTTTCAAAAAGCAACTAACCATTTTTTTCCATCCCACACGAGGCATGGGCCCTCCTGCTCAGGGACCTGGGGCCGGGGGAGAGAAGGCTTCCTTACAGGTTGCAGTGAACCTCGGTACAATTCGTGTTGGAAGGCAGCCCCGCATACGAGCGCACCTAAGCACCTTTTGCTGGGTGCACTAACCTGGTTGTAGACACTTCTTGAACACGTACTCGGTCCTTTGTAGGCAAATTGCAGGTAGATATGTAGGTGCTAACTGCGAAGATGAGACGCTCCACCACCTCTCCTAGGCACAGCGGCCGAGGGGCCTCGCTCTGGTGGTGGAAGCTGCGTGACGTGAAGTGCAGCTCACGTAGTGCAACTAATGCTGCTAGACAACTGAACAAGAAATTACAGACAAGTCCAAGTGTGCACATTCACTGGGGCTGCCTAGAATTGTTGAACGGTGCTTTGACACTTCATGGCCAACCTGCACGCAAGTAGGAGTGCATCTACAGACATCAGCAAGACCACGCTACGATATGCAAGTATTAGGATGGGCAGCTCCTCATAGTAAGCCCGCATAGGTGCGTACGCCCTATTCTTCTGAACGTGATGTCTACGCCCCAGTGATATTTCATGTGCAGCCACATTTCCCATTCCATCTAGGGTTGTCTTGCACGGGAATTCACAACAAGGTGCGCTGCAGCTCATGACAGGCGAGCTCTCCGCACTAGCTGCAAGCATTTGAGCCGCGGAGCACGAGATATGCAGGGACCCGAGGGGGGTTCATACACCTTATATGAAAATCTTATCGAGTCGTATACTCAACCGCTGCTCATGACCGACGTATGTTAAGATTGTGGTCCCTTGTTAGGCTCGGAAGCACCGCACGGTTCATGGGGGCAGGTACGAACAACCAACCAAACCCGCAGAATAGCCCTTCCTGGCGCATACTCCGACGGCGTAATGGATATTGATCAGGCACTGCCGTCCGGCAGTGAGGCGACCAACAGCTGGACACCTGGTGGCTTCATGAAGAGGTTACCAGCCCTTCCAGCCGAAAATGTTTGGGCGCAGTGTGGGAGATTACGCTTCATCGGTGACTGGACACTACGATCCGTGAAACTGTTTCGTGAAATGTGAACTATGGGGCGTAAATCGTGGGCCCGCATCAGAAACGGATAATACTATCAGGATAGGGAAATGTGGGCTGCTTTACTACGGCATAGACCTAGGCAGGAGAAATACTTCTACAAAGAGCAGACAGACCATGCTAAGGATAATGCCATAAGGGCTCATAGAAGAGTCAGGTTCTGCGCAGGTGATGCCTTCTATATTTATAATATTAAAGTAGCGCCCTCACTTAAGGGGTGAAAGTAACAGCTAGACTTTACCTAGCTCGGCCTGCAACTCCTCATCTTCAACTCCTCAGTCGCTACACTGATTGGGCGATCGCTCTGTTGGTGGTTCCTCCCTGTGTACCCGTATGCTGCTCTGTTCCCAGTTGGGGATTTTCCAAAGGAAAATGCATAGCAAAGGCGTCCTACAGTGGACAGCAGCACCGCATATACGATATGCTGCCCCACCCCCCGCCGGATTCGTCTCTTCCATAGATTCGGCCTTGTCCCCCTTTGCAGTCGCACTCTTAGGCTTCTGAAAAGCCGTTAAATGAACCTCATTGCCACTATAGCCCTGAAGCCGCACATATTTGCTTAGTTAAAGTGCTCGTCCCCACGGTGGGCTTCTCCTTTGCACGGCAGAAGCCAAGTTAACCTCAACACCATCGGTTGAACCAGGTACGGAACTCGGCTTACCTACACCACTGCATTCTGTGGGGTGTAATGGCAGCCAGTGAGCTGCGCTACTCACAGCTTGCCGATTCTGCTGTGCGCAGCGAAAATGCCTACTGTGGGAACAAGCACTCGAACTAAGCAAATCTGTACAGCTTCAGTCTACACCGCGTTAAATTCGTGAGCTTCTGTCTTTTGACGCGACTAGGCGCCGAGAAAGGCCAGCACACGCCCACTTGCACGGGCCAGCATTCGTTAGCCATGTAGAAAAAGACCCACTCAGATTTATGCAGTTAGGGATGCACAACCCTACATCTGTGCATCCCCGCATCCCCGCATATGCATGTTCACTCGAGGTGAGGAAGAGATATTTCTGGCTGAGCGACTGCCTAGCCTCCCTGAGACTATCGCGGGTGACCTGCGGCTCCACGTGACTAGGCTGGCGCCTATAATGAGCATGCTGAGAGTCAAACTGCCGGCGCAATTTCAGCGGATATTTCGCCACGCCCCCTACTACGGGGCGGTTCCAGGGGACGCTGAGATCGGGTTCATGATGAATGGAAGAAGCGAAATATACGAGGCCATTTGTTCAAGATCAAGAATCCTCTCACGCGCATACTGCGCTCCAGCGGCTGCATCCCTTCAGAACATCCGTCACCGGCCGCACACCAGCTTCAGCGTAAATAGCGGCGTAGCTCGTGTGCTGCCTTTAGCGAGCCTCCTGGTGTGTGGCGAGACCAAGCGGCTTCCGCTCTGCGGGATATCATGCAAGGAACCCGACAGCAGCACTGACAGAAAAGATGTGTGCACCTCTTGATGCAACCTCTTCGTCCGAGATGCCACCAGCCACACTCCTGTTGTATGAGTAATCCTCGATCCTAGCTGGGGAGTGTGCTGTAGTCAGTCAAAAAAGAGTCCCCTACAAAGCTGCTGGCATCCATCCTCCAGGCTCCAGGCGTCCTCAGTGAAGAGGCAAAATGGCGTGAGCCTGGTGCGGAACGGAAGTGGCCTCTCATGAGTTGCAGCACACATCGCTGCAACTCCTGCTACCCACCCTAAACCCCCTTCGGTACATACACTAACACCCTATACATTTGTTAAAAAAGTAAGCCATCCTAGCCATCCATGCTACACAAAAGTTGAAATACACGTATCAACTTCGACACGCAAGACTGCACCTGCCACACCTGCTGATCAGGAAGTAATCGAGGCGCTTTTATGTGTGGCCAGCTGGGTTGGTTTGAAGATATGATGTTGACGCAATATTTGGAGGCGCGGTAGCATCGGCTGCGACGTTGGGCTTCTTGGAACTCGCGGAAGGAGTTGTATACTTTAATGTGTAGTCTAAAAGTTGGATGACAGTGGCAATGAACAAACCGATGCCTGCCGTTTCCACACCGTATAGGAAGCTCAGGAGCTCAGGGTTTCTGGCCAAAGTGTGTCGGAAAGCGCCGATGACAAAACACATGGCCAAAAATACGGTAAAGCCGCGTAGACGTGGACGAGGGTTTTCGGATAAGTTGCCTGCGTTGATTTTCCGGAAAGACTGAAGCAACTCCGCCAGCCCCAATACGAGCAGGCCAGTGCCGATACCAACCAACCCAAACAGGAGCGACCTAGTTGTCTTGAAGCGAATGCTACTTCCACCATCCAAGCCATATTCGCCGTCGAAGCCAAAGTCGTCAGGTACCCGCATCCCACCCAACAGGCTTAAGCAGAAAAAAACAGTACTGAGCAGAATTGTCTTGATGCCCGCGATATGCCGAATTGCTAATGCTGGATCCACCCTCTGTAGAGCTTCGTTTGCCTCTTCTGCAGTCTTTTCACTCGTAAGTTTTACGTCTGGTTCGCGCTGTGGGGTACTGGCCCTCTCACCGTATCCTGCAGATCCCACTGGGAAATACGGAAGTGTGCTGTCGTGATGCCGAAGGTCGTCTGCGCCGAAAGTCACAGTGAGCGGGGATGTAGAGTGCGGGAAACCGGGGTAGGTCACATCCGCTTGTTGGCCTCTACGGTCCACAGTACTCAATGCGTCCATGTCGAGCATACCACCTTCGACTTCCGCACAAATTAAGGCCGCAGCCAGAGCCACCCCACAAAGTGACCTCATTATTGCCGTGAAATTCAGTAACTACGGTAATTGTTCGCCGCTGAATACTGTGTGTTCACAAACCTGCATCCTGAGCCATGGCTCAGCTGCCGAGGACTGTCCTGGTAAGCCAACGACCGGTCACAGTCTCTCCCAATAACTTCTCGGAGAAAAACGGGCCACTAGAAAAACCAAATCGCCAATGCTTCACAAAGCAGTAATGTTTGTAGGACCAGTTCCAGTGGTAGCGGACCTACTGTCGCTCAGTCCACTGCAGCCCCGATCCATCTTCAGCAGCTGGCAGGATCGCGTTCATTCCCCAGCCTCAACCACGCTACTTACTTTAGCGGCTAACACTATAGATGCAAGTTACCATTATTTGCTTTCCCTTGCCACTTGCCGTTATGTTGCATGTCCCCGGTTTTGGGGGTACTAGTTGTCAATGCCATAGCACCGCGAACCCAGCACGATATGCGTGGTAACGAAAGCTTCACATAGAGAGGATTTTTTCGTTCTTCGCACTAGCTTCGCAGTCTTATCATCATACAGAAAGAGTATGCACAGATATACGGACGTGCATCCATAACTACGTCTATACAGGCACAGCGACGCTAATGGGTCTTCAATGGCAGCCCGTGGGAAATGGCCCTTCGCCGGTGCGTATCCTGCCTAGTCTTCCAAAATGACGCAAGCGGTTGAATTTAATACTGTACAGAGTAGCCTCTGGAAGCGCATGAAACTGCCGAGAAACGGTCTGTTATACCTCCCAAGACGTCCGGAAATTGACGTGCACCTGCGGACGAGCATAATACTTGTTCCCACGGTGGCTATTTGCTCCGGGCATAGCAGCAGCGGCAAGCTGTGAGCGGTGTACTCCACCCGGTCTCAACAAAGCCAGATGCGGTAGTCCAACGAGGCCCTTAGCTTGGTTTGCACTGTGCCGCTGCATGCATGGTATTGTGCGTCACCACAATGACGGTTGCTGTTTGCTAGAGTTATCTGCTCACGGCACTTGTTCGCACGGCTGCGGAAGGCAGTTAAAATTCTCAGGTTCATCTCCACCAAGTGCAGTGAGCAGATAGCTCTAGCAAACAGCAACCGTCACTGTGGTGGCGCACAATTCTCTGGGTCACTACCTACCACTCCAGCGTTCATGCAGTAGACGCATTCAAATTAGACTCGCGACTCGCCGTAGCCCAAAATACCCAACAATTGATTGTTCGGGGGGGCAGTTCATCAGGAAAACGCTGGCAACTGTGCAGCTTTGGCGGCTGCAACATCTGGGAAGAAATCACCAGACAAATTATTACTAGACAAATTGCTCCCTGCAGGGCAAATATCTGCGCAAGCGTCGGCGGCAGGTGGTCCCGCTGCGACTCACTCCTCAAAAAAGCTGGGGTATGGGTGTAGTGGCTGTGTTTCATCAAGAGGGCAGGCACTGCATCCCCTCCTGTGACAGAAGGCAGGCTAAGCATTTTCGCACCTTGGCAAATGCCCAACTTGCCGAGGCAGCGTAATGTTACTGCTGCAGCGAACTATGCAAGGAAGGCACCAGCACCACAACAACGAAGATGAGCAAAGTCGGTCCTGCATCTACCTCATGGTGCAGTTCCTGTTGCTACTGTTGCTGCTGCTGTAGCCGCAGTTCAGCCGAGAAGCAGAGCATCCCGTATGGCAAGGAAGCTACTTGCGGTCATTCGTTTCTTAGCCTCTTCTGCCGGCACCCATGCCCAATCCCTCACAGGACTGTCCAACGGGGGGCACACCTGTGGCTGTTCAGGGACGTGGTACGCGCGATAGTAGAAAACCTGCAGCAACAACAGCAGCAACCGCCGCCGCAGCAATAGTGCAGCACAAAGGTACGGAAGCCTGCAAAAATACGTGAGCGCCGAACAGTTCGAAGGCAAGGTTCTACGTCTCGCATATGGCCCGTCGTCTATGCCAGCCGAAGGGACATGCACTACTGGAGCGAACCAGGGGCAGCCAACGTGAAGCAAATACAAGAGAGCAGGTGTGTGAGGCATTACGGGGAGCAACTTGCAGGGGACAGAGAAGCAAAGAGACATACTTCTCGGCCCTGAACAACCGCGCTGGGTTTGTTCCGTAACTTCCGCATTGCAGCAGGGGCAAAGCCAACCATAAATGGGGCCTCACGCAAGCCCAGCTGCTTCATGCACAGCCGTGCCAGAGTCTGCACCACCGACAAAAAAAACCAGAAACAGCAGCAATGCTACCAGAGGAAGCAGCAGCTGGTAATAATGCCGAAGCAGGGGGAGAAAGCTGTGCAGCAACAATTGAGACACAGAGCTTCCCAAAAAGGGCAAATGCAAGAAGAATGACAAAATCATGTGGCAGAGAACATACACCAACACGCCGAAACGTATCAACAACTGCAACTACAAGGCATCAGGTTTTCGGCTGACGGTGTGGAACTTCAGGTCAAAGTCTGCTGTCCACCACCTGTGGTTTCGTGCCCGATGTGTGAATGGTTTATATTTGCACCCGATGAAAAGACCACGACACGTCTTTCACGAAGATGTGTCAGTATATAATTCACAAAGGTTGAACAACGCCTCAGCAGGATTCGTTGCAGCCCACCTGGCGCATCGTCTGTCCGTGTCGTCTGTCTTCCACCGGAAGCTGCCACCCGTTCCCATACTTGACAAGCAGCAGCAGTACTCTTTCCGGGAGCTGCGACAGAGATCTGTCCTCCCTTTCGGCCGCCGCTGTGGCTACTGCAGAGGCACGGGCTGACATCGCCTGCAGCATGGCCGCAGATCAACCACAGGATACCTGTTCAGTACAAAGGCCACTGCTGCCGCCACTACAGCAGTTAAATCAGCTACTGCTGCGGGGAATCGGCCGGGCTTACAGAGTCTTCCTGCTGCTTCCGTCGCTGTTTCCTCATTTTGTGCCTATCCATTACCAGTCCCTCTTGCTGCAGCAGCATGTCTAGCTCAGAAAGCTCCGCGTCGCCTGTCTTTTGTTGCTGCTTCTCCCGTTGCTCCTGCTGCTGTTGCGTCTCCAGGAAGTGTCCTGGCAGCTGCATGTATGTTATTTCATCGTCAAGAACTGTGGCATTGTCGGTTCTGCTCTCCCAATCTTCCTTGAAAAGCCGAAAATTTTGTTCGTACAGCGGCTCTTTATACACCAGTGGCAGCCGCTGCAGCAGCAACGACGCCTGCACCTTTAGGCCCCGGTGAACAGATATTTCGTAGTCAGGGGGAGGCTGGTTCAACAACAACGTCCCTGCGCGCTGCAAGCTTAATTTAGCTGCCGACGGAGTCTGGGGCTTTGATGATGGGTCTCGGGCCCTTGCTGGTGCTCCACTTGCGGCTGTCGTTGGTGGTGTTGCTGTGTGGAAAAAGTTAGCACTAAAGCAGAAGTGACAACGTGCTGCGGGGGAACACAAACGCGTTACTGCTCTCGATACCATTATCATTGTCTTCCCTGCTGTTGCAATAGCTGCTTCTGCCAGTGCTGGGTCCGCTGATGTGAGGTGCATGCCGTTCCCCTCTGCACCACTCGACGCCCGTGCACGGCGCAGCTTCGCCTACGGCAAAAGAACTAATCAAGCCCTCCAAAGGAGCCACAGTTAAGCCCATACGGGCGTCTGTGGAAGGGAGGAAGCCGCACTATGGACTTCTGGATGCGGGCTCATATTTGTTCATTGCTGCCAATGCGTAAGGTCTGCTGCATTGAGGGGTACCGACGGTACCCTGGGTTTGTTGAGCATTCCTATCTGGAAGGTAAGTAGGAAGACGTCGCGATCTTACAGATTTGAGCAGCTTTACCCAGCTATGACGACACTGCCACGCATCGTTCCTCACAAATCCCTTGCAGGCGTCGGGAGCAACACTAGCAACGGAGTAGGTCGCCACATCCAGGTGTAACCAAGGTAGCTAGCGATCCTCCACTAAGCATTTTTACTGTTAGGTTGTCTGTGTGTTGGCAGCTGGAGCAGTAATAGGGGAAGGGCAGCAACTGCATCTGGAGCAGCCTGCATTCCTCGAGCAAGCCCCGTGCTGTGAGGGCTCCTCTGCCCGGCTTCCCAGAAGCCGAATGGTGCTTGGAATGTTGTTTCTTTGAACATCAATCACACTTCTTATTCTCGGTTTAACCCTATTTTGGTTCGAAAAAGCCCCAAAATGTCGTCTAAGGACCCACGCTCCGTCATCGACCCCTCCAAGTTTCTCAACAAGAAGGTCCGAGTCAAGTTCTCTGGAGGCCGCGAGGGTGAGACTCATCAGAAGCCTTTAAAGTAAAATTCAGTTTACTCGGAAACGTTTTGCGCCGGCCTGCAGCTAGTAGGATGTACCAACCCGCTTGGAGGGGCCCCGGGGGGCCCCCAACAAGTTCCTTTTGCCCCATGTCATGCGCTCGCAGCATCAGTCTGCAACTGGTTACCTTTGCGAGTCCATGTAGAAACTGTTCAGCCATAGTGTATTTTGCCGTGGGCGCTGTCTTGGGTTGTTGTCTTTGCTTGCAGTGGAGGGGACCCTCAAGGGCCACGACGCCGTTTGCAACTTAGTGCTGGACGACACGGAAGAGTTCCTGAGAGGTAAGCAATTCACCCTTTATACAACCGCCTTCGAGGCCGCCGCCAGAGAAGGCTCAATACATGCAGTTTTGGCCGCAAACTTGCGGAGCGCCAAACGCCTCGTCAAATTAAGCTGCATGCATGCCGCCCATACTTCTTGTTTTGCATCTGCACTGTCCACCACAGATCCTGAGGACTCAAGCCGATTGCTGGAGACCACGCGATCTCTGGGGCTTATTGTGGCACGAGGCAGCGCCATTGTGTTGATTTCCCCAGTGGACGGCGTGCAGCGCATCGAGAACCCGTTTATTGGGGTAGACGCTCAGTGACGGCAACGGTTCCTCCTGAACCCCCTTGTCCGCACGAGAACTGTCTACGCGACTTAACACCGACAGTTGTGGAGTTATTTCGGTGGGCTTTGAGCGGGAATGAGGGTTGATCCTCATGCGCAATTGCCCCGAGCATCAGGGTTATGCAGTTCGTGCCTGGCGGAGCTGCAGCCTCCTTAGGGGCAGCAGGACTAATAGAGGTTTTTCGTAGATCAAGTTGCCTTTTGGTGATGGTCTAGCCATTCCCTGACACGCGTTGAAAATAGCAGCAATAGTGAACAAGCCGCTGCACCTGAATTTTTGTAGGATTTCAGTCGTTAGTGAGCGAAACTAATTGTGAGAGCCAATCCTTCTTAGCCGTGTGCTTCTGATAGGATACTTTATTGGGTAGTTCATTTCTAGCTCCAAAAGTCGGACTTCAGTCCTTTGCTAAGAAGTAACGAGTTCCGTGTATCACCGCATTTAATGCATCAAGTGCTATACCCTCGGGCTCGAAGGAAAGCAAACTCAAAGGAAAGCAAAACGTGCATTCTTAAGGCAAGAATGCCTCCCGTGCACGGAACATGCGATATCTGCCGACACACGAGCCTTCCCTTCCCCCTTGTTTGTCGTGTCAGCCGGCTACGCTTTCTTAAACACGGGTTTCTTGAACCCCATCGCCGCAGGCTTAGGCTTGAAAGGGGTTGGGGGCTTCTTCAGCGACTCTGCAGTGCCGCCGGCGGGCTTGGGGCCAGCAGCCCCTGCGACAGTCGGTGCTGCGGCGGTCTTGGCTGGTGAAGGGGGAGCAGCGGAGCCCACTTTGCTGTCTTTTGCAGGAGGGACCCCTCCCCCGAAATTGACGACATGTTCATCCGGTACATTTGTCGGCAGCACCTTCGCGCTCTTTATGTAGAGGGGCGTTGCCGCAGTTGCTTGGAAAGGCGCATCTGCAGGGAAAGGTGAACAAGCATGCCAAGTGACTGCCTTAAGAACATGTGTAGTGACTCATTCGAAACCAGATGCATGCGTTACCACTACTGGGTTAGGCCGCCCACTACACCCGCTCCGCAGTGCTGGTAACTTGAAGCACAAAACAAGAGCTCAGGTATACGGGCGACAATTGATGCACTTCCAAAGACAAACGCGACGAAGCCAGCAACACGCAGTTGTGCTAGCTATACAAGATGTTCATTCAGCCCCTATTCCTACAGGGCGGTGGGATAAATGAAAGCTGGCATACCTGAAGGAACCATTCCCGCAAGGTCAAGACCTTCCAGTGTTCTCCACTCGGGCGGAAATTTCAGCACTTTCTGTGCCTCTGATAACTCGTGCTCTAGCATGTCTATGACGACATGCTGTTTCTCCACTTCCTGCTCCAGCCTGCAGCGGCCACCCCAGAACCACACGCAACCCTTAAGCACACGGGTTATTTATCTCCTCCAATCCTGCCTGTATTTCCCCGTATCGTGCTGGACCAACGCAAAGCAACACTCAAGCTGAGCAGAGCCACAGAAAAGGCCGTGCCATTGCTCAGCTCCAGTGTTGCCGTCTTATTTCAGATTGCAAGCCATTAAAGAAGCAAATACGGTGGAAAAGCCTCACTTTCTGCAAAGTAAAAGCAGACTGATGACGTCGTCTTGGTCCTCCGCTTCTAGGTTAGCGAAGCAGCTCGCAAGCTCCGAGAGACTCTGGTAGGTTCGCCTGTTCATTGCAAAACACCCGTCACCCTGGTAGCGCTGAAGTGCTAGGAGAAAATGCCCCAAAACTCAGTGCGTACAAGGGGGACGCAGGACTCTAATCGTGGGGCAGAAAGGGGCAACTGTATTACTTGCGGGGGGCTGTCAATCCAGTCGAGCCCCAGCGATCCCAGGTGCGATCCTTTGGCCTCGTCATTAATGCGCTTTTTCTGGGGGGCATCGGACTCCTGCCGGAAGCCTCAATCGACTCCGCAAGCCTAAGATATACGCATGACAAATAAAATGAGGCCAAATGTCAATATACCCTCTCTCTAAAATGGTGGCCTTCAACTCATCCGAACTGCCAGCCCCTTTTGTTACTCCTTTGTCCGAGAAGTACCATATGCAATAATGAATCCAGCCAACTGTTTCAGGGCCTTCAACTACGCTAAACGGCGAAGTGCGTGAGCAAATTCACCAATTGCAGACACTGCCTCTACTGCACTAAATGATGCACCCTTTTCAAAGGACCCTCGACTTCAGGCCATGCGAAGAGCCTGACTAGAATTCTTCGTGCAGCAGTTTAAGGGGTCATGAAATTCATATAGGACTGCTTTGGGAGATCTAAGATCGAAGGCGTCCTCTCAGGCAACAGGGGGGCTGTACAGTTGACACCTGCTAGCTTTTGTTCATAATCCAGTGGCTGACCGGGGGATGTCTTCCTCGACGAACGGCTTCTTATCCCGCAAGTAGTAAGGGCGAAAGCCCGAATACACGTCATCTCTAACGCTCGAGTTCTTGCGCCTTGCCCGAGCAGAAGGTTTCCTGGGGGGTCTCTCTTCCTCTTCAGGGGGTCGGTAGGCTTCGCCGTAGCCTCCCCTTATGTTGTTAAGCTGAGAAAAGAAGTGCAGACCGGAGTGTTAAATCCATGTTAGACAACGGTGCAAAGCCGTCTCTCCAGGATTGTTTAGAGCTGTGGGAACTGGAAGAGACTTCTTCAACGCTGCGAGAACTCAAACAGTTGTAATGGGAAGCCAGCAACTGGAACATACGTGTCGTTCAACGGGCGTCCATTTGCTCTTCCCCACTTCCTCGTCGCCGCGAGCTACCGCGTAGCCCCGCGATCGTGAGCCCTCGGAATCATCCAGAGAAATTCCTCTGCTGCAGAGTGAAGACAAAACCAACAGCACACCTACGGTAGATGATGAATGTTCGCCTTGAAAACGGATTCTTTGCCACAAGAGCCCACGTCACAAGAGCCAACTAATAAGCAGCTCCTCCATATGAAGAGCTTCAACATAAACGGACGGGCTGATGTGTGGGTAAACACGCGTTGAAATAGCACTCTCCCCCTATGGAAAGACTGCCACTCTAGCTGCCGTTACAAATAAGAGGGCGCAAAACAGTATGGAGAGCAATTCTTGCTACATCAAACTCAACAGGCGTAATCAAATTGCCACCTTCTAGACAGCATTCGCTGCTTATTTTCCTCACCTTCTGCGGGACCTCGGTTCCTTTAGCGCGGGGGTCTCTGGAGGAGTTGCAATGTTAGAGGAGTGGACATGTGCGTCTGCATCGAAAAACGAAACCACAGGTGCAAGCACTTAGCTTCCCAAAGATATCTTAGACAATCCTGGCCAGAAGTCGTCAGGCCCCTAGTCAGCAGTAAGAACTGTGAAAATGGCTGCTTTTGCGTCTACAGGGGTTGCTATACCGTTTTTAAGAGGCCATCCTTACCTCTAGATCGCCGGCCACGGGTATCACGGGCATCCGGCTGAACAGGGTAGCCAGGCCAAGTAGCCCCGTCGAAAGTTCCCTGTTGTGGGGCGTAACCCTGCTGTTCGTCGCATCGTCCGACTGTGGATCCGTACATCATTGAGTAAGGGATATTTGGGACTACTTGGGGAGGGAAAGCGGCATAAGGAGATATCTGCGGCACCGGATGGCCGGCGAATTGCTGATACGCACCCCAGCCTGTTGCCTGGTCCATTGGCATTGGGGTGGGCGCTGGCCAAGGAGGTACGGAGAGGAAGAAACCCGGGATTCCCCCTGGGACGCTAACGCCTCCTAAGGCTCCGGAATCCACCCCACGTGTGGAGGGTATCTTCATCGTGTCCCGTTCTTCAGGCTTTCGATCGGAAAGGCGGCGGGCTTCGCACACAACATCAGCACAAGCATCATGGAAAGCATTTGGGATTGCTGGCAAGAGAAATATAGATCTATACCGCCATTGCGGCCTATTAATGAGTTACGTACAACGCCTCGTTGGGTCGGAGCGAGAGAGCGGAGCCGGCGGGCCGGAAGCGAAGGCCACGAACTTGCCCCTGAGGCGCAGCAAGAACCCAATATAGCAACAACCCGAAGATTTGGTTGTCCCACAGTCCTGAAGACATGAAAGCGCTATCGTGCTGATATGTTTCGCAGGGAGACACGGGATACTGAGGGACAGCCATAGACAAGCCACCAGCGGGCCACCTCAACCAACAGCTGCGCAGAGCTGCAGCTGCTGGCGATTTGGTTGCAGGCATTTTCTGCTTCACTGCATACGCAAGCGGCACCTACGCCTTGTCAAAAACGGGTATCACATTCCCTAAGAGATCGTGAGTTATCTCGCTCCTGGGTGCCAAGTCCCCCACGCTGCCCCGCTGCCTCCCGAATTCGTCCACGCCAGGGGACCCCTAAAGAGATGAATGCAGCACATCTCATTCATTGCACATTTCTCCGTTTCCCTCCCCCAGCCTGTACATCTCCATATAATACTATTCATCTCCCGCTGCTCTTTACCAACTGCTCTCACCACGTTTGACAGGGCCTCAGATCCATCGCCTGCATTTGCTGGCTTCCCAGGTTTTGCTTCAGAGGGGTGAATCAGTTTAGAACTTGTCGAGGCAAGGCCAGCTGACGGTGCTGCAGTTGCTGGAGAAGGTCCTGGAGTTTTGTTGGTCGCTATTGAGGAGGTAGGCCCAAGAGATTCCTTCGCCGGTGCTGCCAATGCCGTTGGTACTTTTCCTATTGACGGTGAATCGGGAGGGCCCTTTGGTGATGATGGCAAACCAGATGGCTTGTTTGGGGGAGCCAGGGAAGTGCCTGGTGGGCCCTTTGATGCAGTTGAAGGATTTGGACTAGGTGCCGCCTTCGCTGCCTTCGAAATGCCGTTAGCTGTGCCATCTTTGACTGGTGGGTCTGGCGGAACTGAGGTAAGTCCCTTTGCTGCCGACAGAGGAGGCTTCGGAACAGCTGGTTTAAGTGCTCCCGGAGGGGAAGGAGGCCCTGGAGCTGGCTGCTTCAGTGCACCTGGAGCTTTCTCCAGAGTCGCCTTGGTGGGACTCGTGGGGCTTTTGAGCGGCAGAGCTTTTGGTGGACTGTCTGCCGTTTTGGTGCCAGCTGGTGGCGCCGGAAGTTTCGGCAGTACCTTCTTCTCAAGCGGAAGAGCTGGCTTTACGAGACCCCCAGCGGGGGCCCCTAGGGGGGGTTTGGAGGGAAGAACGCCACTCCCGGGGCCCGTCGACGCTTTGGCAGGCGAACCCGGCGTGGTCGCAGCAGCAGGACCCGCCAGTGGAGGTTTCGGCAGTGCAACCTTTCCAGGGGGAGGGCCACTGCCCTTTATGGCAATCTTCGCACCTGGGGGGGGCCCTTTGGGGGGCCCCGAGGTTGCGAGGGGGCCCTTGCCCACCAGGGACATAGTCGCGGGTGTAGGTGGCCTGCGGGGTAGTTTCAGGGGATTCTTCTCCAGTTGAAAGACCCCACAAGTGTCTACGGTGGCAAGATATGTGCTGTTGAGTATTTCATTGAACACTGGCGTTCACAGCTAACTCTGAGGCTTGTTGCGCACCGGCGTCCCTCCCTAGCTACTGGTGCACGGCGGCAACCCGAAGTCCCAGAGCTAGGACTGATTAGTGTCGAGAAAGACGTTCTACTCATTCGGGGTCCCGAGGAAAATGCGTGCAACGAATGCGCTGGTGTCGTAGAAACGCCCGGCGGTCCTGCGGGCTAGGGTAGGGGCAGCAGCCGTGGAGGACAGAGAGAAGCACCAGATTTGTTGTTTGATTTCCGTTCAGAGACAAAACATAGATAGATTTAAATGTATCACAAGAGGGCTTTAGAACGTCCGAAAGAGGAAGCAGCATAGGGCGGAGTCCCGATGCCTCGCCAAGCCTCAGCGGAGCAGCGAGGGGAGACAATGACAGGTTTCTGGCCTGATCTCTTGTCTTCCTTGCTCATGTTTACATACTTTTTACAACTATCAAAGAATATTCTATAAAGTTTCACAAAAGTAGAGGACGAGTACTGCATCCTGTGAGCGCCAAGCCCCAATGGGCACAAGGACCAGACCGTCGGCGGCGGCCGTAGTCAGCGAAGCCCTGCTCGGTTCATGCAGGTGATTCCCTTGCTGGCTAAGATAGTTACACCCATGTCTATATTCCATTAAGATACTGAAACATACACTAAAAAAACATAGAGACCGTTCTTGACTGATTCGAGCTTCAAAAAGGGAAGAGCTGATGACCTGTTTTCCCAGTGTGCGAGGGGCGCACAGCTCAAGTGGTAAATTACCCACGAAGTATCCAATGAGCTCCGCTTCAGGTATATCTAATCCCCGTGCAACTATCTTTGCAAAGTAAGCCATGCACATCTGGTGGTCGCCTTGTCACTGATCAACTGCGATCTATTGGATTTGAGCCGAACACCTAGTACTGCAGAAGCACTACAGCGTGCCCCGCCCCAGTTTTGCCCAGTCATGCATGTCCACACCTGTTTCTTTTGACGCATCGTGTACACCAGAGCACCTCCATCTAAAGATACTCCCAGTTTCCTTTCCCAGTAGCAGTGTCCCACGCCTATCTCTGCAGTCCTCACCGAAACCGACAATCCTCATATTGTCTCCCTTCCCCTGGGCCACCTGCTGCAAGACTACTGGGGGCAGTCGCCCTGCACTCATAAGGCGTTTTGGCCTGCTCCAACTCCCACCCGGGAGCCGGCAATCTCCTGAACCCGTTCCATTTGAAGGGGGGCGTTCGCTACGTGTTTCTTTGGTACACTCATATGTAATGGTTCTGTCGTACCTTGATAGACCACCGTTAGGAGTAAGAGGAATCCTCCTGCCTTGCTCTGCTGCGCTCGCCTACAGCGGAGATTCTTAAGGGTGTTGTAGTACGGGCACATATTACGAGCCCTTTACGCTGGTGCGCAGCCAGTGCACACACTGCTGTGAGGTGCTAGAAGCCCCTGCGTTCAGAAGAGTTACTTTTACACCAATTTTTAGTGACTCCCTCCAGTCGTCTTGCAGCTGATTGCTCAGGAGGCGGGAGACACCTCCTCAGCTCAGTTAGCTTGAAAAAAGACATACAGCCCCCCTTTGTAGTGGGCTACGTCCACCTTCTTATTTGAGGGCCGTCGCGAGCTGCAATGAAGCCGAAAAGTCCTCAGTAAGAGTTATCGGAAAGTAAGTGGCCTCATTACTGAGTGGCCAGGTGTCGTAACTATCCAAATCCAACTTAAAATGCCGGACTACTGTAACAAAAGGGGCCGTCGAAAACCAGCTACCTGGCCTGTCTGCTTACGCGGGGCACGGATACGTCAGGCACCCCTCTCTCGCGTTGTATTGTGCCCTTCTGCAAACGGGAGGCCCCAGCTAGGGCAACGGCTCCTCACCTCTTCGGAGGGGTAAAGGGATTATTCTTGTTGATGTTAAACACTAATCTACCACCGCTCTGAGCTCACGGATTGCAACGGCTTAACAGCAAGTTCAGAAGGGAACACGACTGAGAGTCGTATGGCGCACCAGCTACAAACGAGAAAAAATAAAAGCTCAGCCCCTAGGCCCGGAGGGCAAAGCGGAACACTGGCGTGCTTGTTTGAGTTTGCCGAGGTTGAGCACTTGCCAACCTACGAAGAGGAAGACTACGATTCGCAGCACCCCTACCTCCTTCCTCCGTACAACCCAAGTTTCCTCATCCCCCCAAAATGTGCAATGGATTGGGTAACTGGACGGTGAAGGCTCATCACATGCCTATGAGCCAATGCCATTGCTGGTAGAGACCTAAAAATACGGAATATGTAGTGGACATCAACGTTGCATGCAAACGCCCAATAAGCCCACCTGATGTTGTCTGTGCGTGCACGTGATACTTCATGACAGCACAGTGCAGGTCAAACGTGAAGCAGCTCTTCGCCCTCCTGGATCCCGCACTTTTAATACACTGTATACAAATACAGGTCTGCGGACTTTACCTCTGGACAATGCATCAGGGGCCTTAATTCCCAAGGTGAAAATGCCTGACGTTCACGAGAGAGGGAATAGCACTCAGTATCTCTATGGGCCTATAAAACTGAATCATCTAAAGCTGAAAGAAGGGCGTAACCCAGGCCAACGCCAGAGGCGCAATGGCCTACGCCATACCCCACTTGCAAACAGAGCCCTCTGCAACTGTNGCCCATCATAGTACTGCCCGCAGCAGCCCAGGTGCTGCTCTTCTCCTTGGAAAGAAGCAGGCCATGAGCTGGTCGGCGTCATCTCCTTAAAACAGAAGCCAAAGAGCACCTGTCCAAGAGCATGCCGATTCCTTAGCAAGAGGCATGATTCGTTGGTGCAGGCCGTGGCCTCGCAGCCATATTTTTCACTCAAACCAGTCCTGCTCAAAGCAGGAGGAGGGATAAGTACGCGAGATTGATCCCCCACGAAAGGTTCACACTGACATCCTCCAATAAAGGATCATCATCATCATCGATGTCTCTGTAGACGGGCAACATCATCATCCAGATGCTCAGCAGGGCAGTCATGATGATCAAGGGAAAGCCGGAGACCCTGGGACCTTGACGAAGGGGTTGCCCATGCCTCTGCTTCTTCAGGCTCCGTGCAATGTTTACCAACCCAGAGAAAAACAGCATCGGTGCAGCGCCTGCGAGCACCCAGAAGCTGAGGATTTTGAATGGAAAAGCGGGGACTTTCGTGTCCAAGAAGTCATCAAGCGCAAACATCCCGTCTATCATCTCCTCTGCGAAGTAATGTCGCCAAGTGGCCAAAGCGTTGTCTTCATTCTGAACCTCATCTGGAGCATTCATAATAAGGAGCAAAACACTCAGGACTAACGAGCCCAAAATAAGGGACTTCAACCCTCGTACAGGGGACACCACCGGAGGGGTCTCCTTCACTAACGGTTCAACTGGAGTGGACGGCAATGCCTCGGGTGGGCCTTCTGCCTCTACCTGCACAGGAGCGGCATCTTCTGCTGCAGTAGTGCATGTAGTGCATGGCAAGCTGATGTCATCATCCCAGCTCAGCGCAGTCTCCGTGTCCCCCCTCATGGAGGATAGACGGCCCGCAAATACAGAAAGCCCTGCATCTTTAGATGGTGCAGGACTGTCGCTTTCTTGGGTCCTGCTTGTCGTCTCTGGTTCTATGGCAGGCGCCGCGAGACCAATCGATCCTCCAGCCAGCCCCCCAGCGATTTCAACTGCTGCCACTAGGAGCAGCCACGGCAACAGGCGATCCATTAAGCCTCTATAAAAGCATGAAAGCTTCTGCGATTCAAAAGCAGATCTCGAAGCATGGATCTTGAGGTGGATGAGTCGTTGAACACCCTAACCTCGCTAGCGGAAAACCCGGACTCACCGGGGAGACGGTTGCATAGCACATGAACGAGTTATGGGCCACTGGAGTTTCCAGAGAGGGTATGAAATATAGTCAATTACGATCAGTACAAATTAAATCATTGCCTTCGCCCCGTGCTGCGAAGTGTGAAGCAGCCGCTACGGTACGGTACAGTCACGCTGGCAGGGAAGCGTCCTGCCCCCCTCCGCAGCCTCAGGAGCGGCTAGCTTAGCTTGAAACGAACTTGATCCCGACCGATTGACCCACGATTTTTTTATTCAGAAAATAAAAACATCAATTAGTGGGAGATATCCGCGATGGCGGGTGCCGAAAGCACCTGTTGCTGCTCTGAACCTGTAACCCCACAGGACCCGTTGCGACGAAGGCGAGTGGCTTCGGCTGTGCCTTCGCACGTCGCCAGATGTACTTCTCCTGGCGGTTATACGATACTTTTGGGGGAGTCATACAGACTTCCTCAGGCCACCTCAGGCTTCTACTCTTCTTATTGGAAGTGGGCAGTCTAACACTTTCGCGGCATTCCGCCGTGCGTCAGGAATAGTGCCACGCGCTTCGAAATATGTACTCTCAAGTACTTCGAATAAGCGAAGAGAAAGTGAATTACTTAAAGCAAAGTGTTAAAATAAAGCATAGCACGATTCACCGCTTATGGAAGGAGAAGGGACTAAATGAGGGGCACATATGAGGCCGGTGTGTATGCATCTGTGCTGTAGTGTGTGTGTGTGTCTCTTTCTCTCCCTCTCCGTCCCTTTCTCTCTCTCTCTCTCTGTTGCGTGTGTGTGTGCGTGTGCTATGCTCGTCTCCATGCATTTCTACTTCTGCGAAGGTTGGCTAGTGAGAACTAAGTAAGTGCTTACCAATTCACTGAGGCGCTGGTGCTTGCACAGTACGCACTGCACCAAGGGTGGGGGCTCTTGCATGCCCGCATACGGGGTTTCCCTCTAGCACGGGCTGGAGCGAGGTGCGCTGCAACCCGTGGCACGCCTTCCCCGCCCCAAGCCTTTGTGCCGCTTTGCCCACGACGCCCGGAGGATATTGGTGGCAAGGTCAGCTGGTTTTAGGGAACTTTTGTCTTGAGTAGTTGGACTTCCTTGCAACTCGGTACAGCATTCTGCTAAGGGCGAGGTCTCGTTATTCAAGAGTGCCTGCCATTGCGGACTGTCCAAATATGACTGGAGCTGGGACACAGGGCTCGTTGAGGTGTTTCATTGCTTCTGTGGAACTGCACTTTCGTCCTCAAAATGCACCCTCTGAGCTACAGTTGCTATTGGAGTTTTTGTATTAGAAGGGGGGGCACGACATCGGTGGCTAGATCTAAACAAGAGTACCGCTCTTCCGGAGCAAATCGATATAATGAAAACTTCCAGAAAAGCTCTACAATTCATGTCTAACAACAGGTATTAAGTAGCACCCCTTTGTAAACAGCACCCCGACGGTGGACTGCGAGCTACGGTGTCAATGTAGCTGGGACGTGTCCAATGGATCATATGTTTCTCTTGGAGTAGCAAGGTCACATAATTTGAGGCTGCAAGCGTAAGGGGAGAGGACAGGACCTGGAGAAGTAAAGCTGCGAGAGTTGCAGCCAAGAGAACAACCAAACGCGCACGAAGACCGATGGCAGAGGCAGTTTGCTCCACGTTGGGCAGAGCCCATTGCTGTTCACTTTCGGCTCACCGCGTTGGCCTACAATATTGAGTTACTGGCAAACTGGAGGCGTCACTATACAATCAATGGCAGTCTAGGGAATCACCGAAAGCCCCCCGGGCTATTCACCCACATTGGTAAAAATGCAACGTCAAGGAGGAGCAAATCAAAGAATCAACAGAGTAGGTGGACCGACGCTTGAAGCACAGATATCAGACAAAGAAAACAACTCGTTGAATACCAGGGCACCAGTAACCGGAGCGGTTTTCTGAGGATCGTTTCTGCTCAACGGTGTCTTAGGAGCACAAGAACACCAGTGACCGTTTCTCGACTCAGCTGCGCCGACTTCAAGAGCGGGCATCCAGTGTCGCTTCGCTGCGGATAACCTTCTGGTGGAGGTTAGTATCTCACGTGCATACACTGGCTTGTACAATCCGGCGCTTGATACTTTCCGTGATCTACGCTGTTTCTTCTACCTACGGCTGGTTAGGTGCCGGTGCGTACAGTGCTTCCATTTCTGGGAGTGGCCCCTCGCACTGAGGGCAGAGTATCCTCGTGAACTGCGATAGAGTCTAAAGGCTTATGATAAGAGCTACCCAAAAGCAGCTCGTCTCCACTCCAGCCCCCTGGCATGCGGAGTGACCGGAGTTAGTATGAAGAGGAACAAGCGGATCGTGAGCTGCAATGCACGTGGCTGAAGCTTCTGCTGCAAGGGCAACCCTTCATGCCATCATACCCTGTTGATCTTTCCCTTTACCTTTGTGTATCCATGGTTTCGGTCCCTCTCGTGACTATTCCATCCCCCAGCATAGCCATTCCTCGTTGGGCAACCAGGCATACGACGGCGTGTGTTGTTTGGGGAGAGACAGGGGGCCGATGGAAGTATTTAATAGCTGTCTACGGTGTTCTCGTATGCACAAAAAAGACAGCTGCGGCATGCCCGCTTGTTCACCAGGAGTTGTATCAAGGGTCAGCAACTGATGCACGGCCACTCCTCCGCAGAAGCCTCGGGCGTGTTCCGCCCTGCCCAGGACGCCCAGGGTCTAGACTAGAGGCTGACTGCTTTTTGAGAACTATTGTCTTCAGTGTCTGGACTGTAGACTGCAGCTCACGATTGTCCTCTTCGCTGTTGCTGACGACTCCTGCTCCTGGGTAGCCGCTATCTATCTGGTGATCCAGAGGCTAGTCCTCGAACAAATGTAAGCTTAACTGAGATGGAATCTTGAAAATACACCGGATTTTGAACACATACCCACACCCAAACAAGAAATCCTCAACCAACCCTTTACTGCCCGAAATGCAGCCTAGCTCCATTGCACGACGACAAGGAGGGGGCTGAAATTAAAGTTCCAGAGGAAAGATGTAGTAAAACTGGAGACTTTGAAAACATATAAGAGAGGAACACCCGTGAATAAGTCAAAAATGGTCCAACACAGCCAGAGCCGAAAACACTGCGGACCTGAGCAATGCCTGACTCTTCCCTCATCCGCCGTAGCGGCAGAGGAGCAAGTCGCCATGGGAACCTCCGCTCCTATGCTAGCTAGATACTGACTAACACTACCAGATGCATATTTATTCTACTTAAGTGCAACATCCACAGAAACATCTCCGTCTCGCATTAGAGCGACCCCGGCACCCGACGGCTCCAGGTGCAGGTACCAACTACACCCCAAACCTCACCGCGTGTGAAAAGACACAAAATATAAATTACAAGGCTCGGCTGTTTTGAAGATAAATAGGGATGAAGCGCTCGTCCAAATGCATTCCTGCGCTGTGCACGCAGTCACAGCCAGCCCCAAACACTGTCACGTGTGCCTTGTTGGCACTAGGCTCAAGCTAATTCCTCTAGAAAGGGACGAATAAGCTTAATTCTGTCTTATTTCACCTTTCTATTGTGTTTCTGACGTTCCTCCCAAAATTCCAGGCACACTGTAGTGCCAGGCACTACAGGCCGTCCTCCGGTTCCTCCCGGCGCCTCGCCGCCTAACAGGCTGCGTTCAAGAGTGGGTATTTGTCCTCCTGCAGCGATCTACACTTTGGTGTCCTCTTTTATGAGCTGTGGTGGCAACTCTCCCTCCCTGGAAGCACTCGTTTCGTCTAGACACGAGCGCGACAGCCCGCACGGCTGCGCTCTTTAGCGGCCTTTGGACTTTCGTCTGCTTCCTCTCACTTCTAGATGGGCCGTATATTTGACTCTTGTGTAGAGGATATGCTCAGATGCAGCTTAGGAGCCGCCAGAGACAGAGCAACTGGGGGAACAGCTGCAGCGGCCAGCGCCAGCTGACACTGCAGACGCGGGCAGGCGTACCTCATTCATCCGCAGCACTGGAGGCCGTTGCAGTGTAATTTCAAGGGAACTGTCTCCAACGTTCTCCTGCGTACATTTGGAGCTTCTAGAAGCTCGTAACAGTACGTGACGGTGGGCGTTAGTGTTGCTTGAGACGCAGGTTGTCTGTGGTGTGTGCATGTTTGACACGCAGGTGACATCTGTTTTGTTTTTGAGGATCTCTCCGCAAGATGGCGCAGCAGTTGCCCGTACAGCTTACCCCAATCGTCAACGTAAGGCCTCGCGTCCCCACATGTACATGTGCTTCGTATGTGGCGGGCCCCTCCTTGAGCTCCAGGGAGAGCCAGTACTTTCCCTCCTGTGTTGCAAATTGTCATAAGCATCTTATGTTTGTAGCTGCTAGGTACGGTGGCGATTCCTTTTGCCTGTCGGAGTGCACTTGCACGTTGTGTTTTCTTGGGATGGCGGTGGAGAGTTGCATCCGTGCGTGCGTGCGTGCTTGGGGGCGCAGCTGGCGGACACGGGGGTGAAGAGCGCCTCTTTTCGGTTTGGAAATGTGGCAGTGGACGGAGACAAACATTTGGTGGTGCGCGATGTGGAGAGCAACGAGTTGTACTTTGTGTCGCTGAACCCCAAGGAAGCCTTGGAGGCCCCGGGGAGCCCCGGCGCGTATTCTGTGTCAAAGAAGCCGACGCAGGCAGAGGCGGCGCTGCATCACCCGACGGACCCCATCGTTGCTTTGCGGGCGAAGGCTGATGGTGGACAGCAAGTGGTGCAGGTGTTGAATCTGGAGACGAAGGCCCGGATGGGCACAGCTCCCATGTCTGAGTCGATTGTGTACTGGCGGTGGGTGGCTCCCCGGGTGCTCGCCTTAGTCACGGAGAAGGCTGTCTGGCATTGGACTTTGGGGGAAGGAGCGGAGGCAGGGGAGCCTCAGAGGATATGCGAGAGAGAAGGCCGCCTGGCGGAGGGCGTGCAGATCATCGGATACTCCACCGACAAAGAGATGAAGTGGTGCGTCCTCACAGGCATCAGCACCCAGGATGGGGGCAAGACGATCGATGGATCTCTGCAGCTGTATTCTATGGAGCTCAAGAAGCACCAGCAGCTTGAGGGGCACGCAGCCTGCTTTGGGGGGCTGGTGGTGGACGAGGCGCTGGGCCCCCAGCCGGTCATTTGCTTCGCTGAGAAAAAGAGAGGAAGCCCCGAGTTCAAACTCCACGTCAGGGACTTGGCCCCCAAGAGGGAAGACGGCAAGCCCCCACTTCGCGTGTGTACAGATATCGCTCTCTCCCCAGATGCACCTTCGGACTTCCCGCTCGCCGTCCACCTCAGCAAGAAACTTGGCCTCGTGTTCTTAATCACCAAGGGCGGCTTTCTGCTGCTCTTCGACGCCTTCACCGGCACGCAGCTGTTGAGACACCGCATTTCCCAAGACCCTGTATTCCTCACTGCAGACTCCCCCCAAACAGGCGGTGTCATCACCGTCCACAAGAAGGGCGTCGTCGCGCTCACAACCGTCAACGTGGGTCTACTGGGCCCCTATATGCAACATGCTTTGCCCCACCTTCCAAACAGAGCCCAAATCTATATGAGCTTGGCGAAGCGCTACGGCTTGCCGGGAGCTGACGACGCTCTTGTTCAGGTGCGCATACATCTGCAGCATACGCCCCTCATACTCGTTCCTCACGCGTTTCCTTCTCTTATGCTCATGCCTATGCCTTCTTCGGCGTGTCTTTGGCCCTCCGCCCGCCTCCGCTAGTTGCTGCTTGATGTTGCCCTCTTGAGGCAACTCTGCTGGGCGTCTGGTGTGTGTGGCATGCATGCAGGCCTTTAACCAACACTTTGCCAGCGGAGACTACCGGGGAGCTGCGCGCATCTGTGCCACACTCAAGTCGGGGAGGCTGCGGACGCCGCAAGTGCTGCAGCAGTTTAAGGGGGTCCCGGCACAGCCGGGACAGACGTCCGCCATTTTGCTGTATTTCTCAACTCTCCTGGAGTACGGATCTTTGAATGCGGTGGAGAGTTTGGAACTAGTGCGTCCGGTGGTGGCGCAAGGAAGGAAGGACTTCGTTACGACCTGGCTGCGAGAGGACAAGCTGGAGTGTACGGAGGAGTTGGGGGATGTTCTGAGGCCGCTGGACTCAGCGCTCGCCACTCAGGTGTACAAGAAAGCCAAGGCTGGCCAGAAGGTTATGCTGATGCTGGTGGAACAAGGCAAGACGGACGAGCTGCTGGAGTACGCAGCGCAGACTCGCATGCAGGCGGACTATTCCGCGTTGCTGCGTTCGATGCTGGCGACGAACCCGGAGGGCGCCACGGCGTTTGCACAGAAGTTGTTGGCAACAGAGCCCCCGCTTGTAGACCCTAACCAAGTTGTGGATGTCCTGTTGCAACAGCAGCGGTTTCAAGAGTTGTCTTCGCTGTTGCTAGAGTACCTGAAGGGGAACAAGCCGGAGCAAGGGGCCCTTCAGACCCGGCTGTTTGAAATTAACCTTAAGCATTCGCCGCAAGTGGCGGAGGCAATATTCCAAATGGAAATGCTGACGCACTACGACCGACAGAAAGTAGGAGCGTTGTGTGAGGCGGCGGGCCTATACCAGCGTGCCCTGGAGAACTACACGGAATTGGCCGACGTGAAGCGCGTGCTCTTGCAAACAGGAGGAAAGATATCGCAGGAGTGGATGGCGCAGTTCTTTGGGCGCATGGCTCCCGAAGTCTGTGTCGAGATCTTGACCGATATGCTCCGCTCCTCTTCTCAGAACCTGCAGGCGGTGGTGGGCGTCGCCATTAAGTTCCACGAGCAGTTGGGTACAGAGCGTCTAATCGCTATGTTCGAGCGTTTCAGCAGCTACGAAGGCATCTTCTACTTCTTGGGCTCCATACTCGCCTTCTCCACAGACCCAGAGGTCCACTTCAAGTACATCGAGGCGGCAGCAAAACTCAACCACACCCAGGAGGTCGAACGCGTGTGCAGAGAAAGCAAGCACTACGAGCCACAGCGCGTGAAGGAGTTCCTCAAGGTGAGCGGTGCATGCATTCCTTTATCTGGGCTTTAGCGGTCTTCTCCGAAGTTTTCTCACGAGTCCTAGAGGCAGGCATATACGTATCCCCCGCGTAGAAAAGCCGTGTGGCACTTCACCGTACACAGGCCGTCTCTGTTGCCCCTGGAAGCAGCAAGGACCCTAATCTCTTCTCGCCTCACGAGTGTGAAGCCCAAGCCACTGGTCATCTCCGTTTCTCAGCCTGTAGGCTATATTTGGATTGTGTTGCTCTTGCGTTGTGCCAATTGCAGCAAGCGAAGCTGAGCGACCCCCGACCCTTGATATACGTCTGCGACCTGCACGGCTTTGTGGTTGAGCTGACAGAGTACCTGTACAAACACTCCTTGCTGCGTTACATTGAGGTGTATGTGTCCCGCGTGAATGCGGCGAACGCCCCGCTGGTGGTGGGGGCGCTCGTGGATCTAGACGCTCCAGAGGAGTTCATCAAGCAGCTGCTGCAGGCGGTCCGCGGCAACTGCAGCGCTTCTCAGCTTGTAGAGGAGGTGGAGAAGAGAAACAGGCTGAGGCTGTTGCTGCAGTGGCTTGAGCAGCGCGTGTCGGAGGGCAACCAGGACCCAGCAGTCCACAATGCCCTGGCCAAGATATTTATCGATACAAACCGGTAAGGGCCTGATTGAAGGTACCGAGCTGTGTAGACACTACAACGCTGCGCAGTCATGGCAGCGAGTGCGGAAGAGTTTAGTTCAGGATGTATCTTTGGTGCGAAGGAGTGCTTGCAAGTGCCTTTGGATGGCGAACTGCTGCTGAGCCCACTGCCCTGCAGTAGTTGTTGACGGGTGGGCGGTGGCTCTGACGAGCTCCACAAGTGTAAATTATTTTTTTTGATGGCGTTTGAAATCGAGACATTCCTGCTTGCATTTGGTGCCCTCAGCGACGCGGAGAATTTCTTGAAGACGAATGCCTTCTATGACTCGATGGAAGTGGGGAAGTACTGCGAAGAGAGGGACCCCCATCTGGCGTTCACTGCGTACAAGAGAGCTTGGGGCCCCTGTGACACGCAACTGGTGGAGCTTACCAACAAGAACGGCCTCTTCCGGCTCCAAGCTCGGTAATCCTTCTGTCTGTTGCACATGCAATGCAGAGGCAACGAATGGGTTTCTTACTTGCGTTTTCGCCTGTCATGCTTGCGTGCAGATACCTCGTGGAGCGTCAGTGCGCGGAGCTGTGGGCATACGTTTTACGGCCTGAAAATAATTATCGGCGGTCGGTGATAGACCAGGTGGTCTCCTCAGCCCTCCCCGAGTCATCATCTGCTGACGAGGTCTCTGCGGCAGTGAATGCCTTCATCAGCGCACAGCTGCCGCAGGAGCTGACGGAGCTGCTGGAGAAGATTGTGCTGCACAACAGCGACTTCAGCTCGAACCAGAACTTGCAGAACCTACTTATTTTAACAGCTATCAAAGCAGAGCCTTCGCGCGTCATGGGATATATCAACCGGTTACAGAACTTCGACGGCGCGGCGATTGCACAGGTGGCTTTGGAAAACGGCCTGCGAGAGGAAGCATTAACAATATACAGAAAGTTCGGGTTGCTGGCAGAGGCTGCAGACACACTGCTGGAAGCTGCTGCCGGTGGGGGTGAACAGGAGCTCGAAAGAGCTCAAGAATTCGCTCAGCGCTGTGGCAATGCGGAGGTGTGGCGCAAGCTGGGGAGAGCGCAACTGAGGCAGGGCCGTGTGGTCGAGGCTGTGGATTCTTTAATTAAGGCCAACGACGGTGAAGTGTTCAGGGAGGTTGTTGAGAAGGCAACTGAGCAAGGAGCCTTTGAGGCCTTGGCAGATTACTTGCTGATGGCCCGTAAAAGCATCGCCATCAAGGACCAGACTCTGGATTCGGAGTTGCTCTACTCCTACGCCATGACCGAAAGACTTGAGGACTTAGAGATGTTCCTCAACGGGCCCAACACCGCCAACGTTCAGGCTGTAGGGGACAGGCTCTTTGAGCAAGGTCGCTATCAGGTACGCGGGCTGGACGCAGAATTCGGCAGGCGCAAGGGGTATTTCAGGTTCCCCACCATGCCGTTCGATGGCAGACGGAAATGAAGCTGCTTTGCTCTTGCTTGCTTGTCTTCTACTACCAAGGGGGATTTTTGGGGGGCGCTTGATGCCGTTCCTGCTTTGCAGTTGTTCCCTCTCCTCAGGCGGCAAAGATCTTGTACCAGAGTCTGCCAAATTATAGCAAGCTAGCGAGCTGCTTCGTGCGGATGAAGGACTTTGGGGCAGCTGTGGATGCCGCGCGAAAAGCAAAGAACCCCAAGACGTGGAAGGAGGTGGCATTCGGGGCCTTGAATGAAGGAGATATTAAGTGCGCTCACACTGCTGGGCTCCAGCTTATTGCGCACCCTGACCTGCTCGACGCTCTGGTGGAGGAGTACGAGAGATGGGGCTTGCATAAACAGCTAATGGAGCTTCTGGTGAGTTCAGCGCTTGCTTACAGACAGGCCTAAGCAGAGATGGTGCCATAGTATTACGGATGACGTGAATTATCTGCCTTTTCTGGTTGCACTCNTGTATGCTACGTATGACAGCGCCAAGCTGATGGACCACTGCAAGCAACACAAGGCCCGCATGAACATCCCCCGACTTATTCGAACTTGCGAGAAGTGCTGTCTCTGGAAGGAAGCTGTGTATCTACACACCATCTACGATGAATACGAGCAAGCGGCAAACTGCATGATCCTCCACCCCACGGCGTGGCAACATGACCAGTTCATTCAGGTCTGTCTTGCGCTGCCAGTCTGCAGCTTCCAGCAGCCGCCTTCGCATCAGCTGCGGCGGGATGTGGAGGCCAACCTGCTTTTGCTACAGAAGACCCGAAGTGATCGTGAACTGGTCTAGGAGTCGTTCTCACCGAGGAAGAAGAGGGAGGGATTAGCGACGCCAGCAACGTAACTTGTGGGGATATTGGTCTCGGTGTGTCGGTGCTTCAGGTCGTACAGAAGGTATCGAATGTGGAGCTTCTCTATCGTGCTATTTCTTTCTACTTGGAAGAACACCCGCTGCAGCTGTGTGCTCTCCTTAAGGGCATAGACCGGAAGGTGGATCACTCGCGAGTGGTACAGCAACTGCGCAAGGCTGGGCATCTGCCTTTGATAGAAAAGTACTTACAGGAGCAACTTCCTTTAAATGTTGCAGCAGTGAACGAAGCCATGTTGGAACTCCTTGTGGAAGCTCAAGACGAGGAGCGCATCCGAGAGCTCATCTCCGAATGTGACAACTTCGACCAGTTGGGCCTGGCAAGACAGCTAGAGGGGCACAGCGAACTTGGCATGCGCAGGTTAGCCCCCGGTACCGTTGCTGGGTTGGGGTCTTACGGGTCCAGGTGTAGGGTGGGGCGTGTGGTAAGGATGCCCTGGTTCGTCTGGCGCTCTGAAGCTTTGCTCATGGGGAGCGGGTGTTTGCCCTGCATGCTGCCGGCCGAGGCAGAGCACTCTGCTGGAACCCTGAATTCCTAGCCCTAAACCAGTGGATCGTGCAGCATTAACATTTTTTGTGAACAACAGCTGCACACAGTGGAAAGGCTCGGCTTATCTGTGCAACTACCGTCTACACACGGCGAAATGCTGCGTTTCAGGATTGCAGCGCTCCTGTACCAGAAGAACAAGAAATATTCCCTGGCGATCGAACTTTCGAAGAAGGATGCGCAACTCCAAGACTGCATAGAAACGGCAAAGGAGTCAGGCAGCGCCCAGCTGGTGGAAGATTTGCTCAAGTAAGCCCGCTTGTTACAATTCATGATCTGTGCNAGTCAGGCAGCGCCCAGCTGGTGGAAGATTTGCTCAAGTAAGCCCGCTTGTTACAATTCATGATCTGTGCCTCCCCAGCAATGATATGCAACTGCGCCTTACTCAGTAAACACCGATGAAAATTGTTCGATACAGGATATTATATTGTTTTGCTATTATATTGTTCTGCTGTGTTGATTGAGGGGATCATTTGCCCCACGTAAATAAACGCTGGAATGTTCTTGAATGACCATTGTACTAGCTTACGAACAAGCTCATACTAGACCAAGTTACTAGGCTTCGAATCCCAAGTATTTTGAATTCGGTTGTGGATCTCGCCTCTGCAGGTACTTCTTAACGGATTTGAAGGACCCCGAGGCGTTTGCAGCCTGTCTTCACAGTTGCTGCGACCTCGTGAAGCCAGACGTGGCTCTGGAGTTGGCCTGGCGCCACAAAGTGGTGGACTTCATTATGCCCTACCTTATTCATGTGAGGGTGATACGCCTGATAGAAAGCGGTAGCTTGGTAACTGCTGAGGCAGTGTGGGTGGAAATGATGTCCTACAGCTGCTGGAGCCGTCGCTTGCGTGCATACTGTGGTGTGTCTAACAGGTAGTGCGTGACGTCAACACGCGGCTAGACCAGTTGGACAAACAGCAGCAACAGCAGCAGCAGTTGCAGCAGAGCGCCCCCAACGATTATGTACCGGACTACAGCATGCAGCCCATGACGATGCTTCCAGGGATGGGCGGATTGGCCCTGATGCCTCCTGCTTCCAACTGCACTCCGTCCCACCAGACCTTTGGTTAGTTTTTAGAAGTATTTGGCTTTTTTCGAGTGTACCTACAACGATTGGAAGTAGACACTGCTGCAGGAGCGAGTGCACTCATCAGTCTACCAAAAGTGTTGACTTCCTCTGCGTGCCTGTTTGCCGTACGATTGTGTGTGTGGCAGTATATCGTAGCTATCAGGTAGAGTATCGAACAAAGACTTTGCAGTAGGGAATTATTTCGTTCTGTCTTGCACCTATCCACTACTGTTGCTCTTTTTCAGGCTCAACTAGCATCCCGCCTCTGTAGGAATAACAAGAAGTGTCACTGGTTGCACGCCCCCCTCAGGTGGTTGAGGAAAGGCTTTCAGTCGGCTCAAGGCCTGGAGTGGGCTGCAGCCGGTGAGAGTTGCACCTAATGCCTTTTTGGTCGGGTCCTTGGTGGAGACCGGAGGTGGCCATTCGCAGTGAGCAGGGGCTGGCCGTGCAAAGGTTCAGCTGCTTCAACTGCAGGTGAAAGCGGGACCGGCTGCAGTTTTGCTGTTCGTATTGCCGTGCTCCTCCGACCTTCTGTTTACCGCTCTTTTGGCGTTGATTCGAATTATCCTGGTGGTGTTAGTTGCAGTTTCGATGCTGAATTGAAGACGCAGACGGAGGAGGTGCCTTGCTGCTTGGACCCATCCTTCGCCCTGTCTTCTGCGAAATCAGGGAGGAGGACTTCACAGATAATTGCCTCTCTTGCTACAACAGCGAGGAGTATAACTGTTTTCGGGGGTTGCTCTTCGTGAGCAGCTGGCACCGCTTCACTTCCCGGCTGCAGAGCCCTACGGCGGAGTTTTCATTTCGCCAAACNTCGTGAGCAGCTGGCACCGCTTCACTTCCCGGCTGCAGAGCCCTACGGCGGAGTTTTCATTTCGCCAAACTTGCAATACAAGGACTGCTGCTGCTGCTGCACCTGCATGGACGGCGCATCCGCTGCAGCGGCAAAAGCACTAACGGCAGAGGCTCTTGGTGTCTCCCCTGCGCCAGGAGTGTGGCTGAAAAATCCCCAGATTCTCTGCAGCATTTGTTTTCCGTACAGCTGTTGCAGCGTTGCGCAGATGCACCACGGTTTTCGAGCAGCGGCAGCTTCGATTGTCGCTCGTGTTAACATTCACACCTCTGATGTGTGCTATAGAGTCGGTACCTGCTCTTTGGTGCAGGACGACAGCCTGGTGCAGCAAGCGAACTGTTTATGGCAACCGCCTTCTGGGGCGGACGGCCGACAGCCTTTGATTTTTGCTTCACGGCAGCAAAAGCTCAGGCAAAGAGACCAGCGGGCACTTTGTGCAGCTGCAGCAGTTGCTAGACAGCACGAGCAGCAGCCCCGACTGTGATTGTGGCTTGTTTGCAACAAACTCGCATTTGGCGTATGCAACAATGTGCCCGCCCCTCCCGTGTGCTGCTAATGGACCGTACGGAAGGTCCTGTATTCTGCTGCTACAGCGTTGCCTCGTGCACTGCTCCGTGACGACACGCAGGAGATAGTGTGATTGCTTTGCTAGATCACTGACGAGCCCATTTTCCGTCTACACTCTTCTATATGTGGCCCATACGGCCTAGACCACAGTGCAGAGCATATTAAGCAAAATGCGGGACAAGTTGAAAGGAGCTGGGTGCCTGGTGGAAGCTGACCTTGTGGGTCTGCGCGCTACCCAAGCAGCAATTGGCTCCTCGTTCTGTGCTGTTTGTAATATACCCATGAAGCCCTTCAAGGGCAAAGAGGGTAAAGAGGCGGAAAAAGCTTGCCCTTGAACATGAAGCAAATGCACAATGCTTGCCTAGTGCAGACAATCGGAACGCCAATCACGGTGGACAAACTATGTCCACAGAAAAAAAAAATAGCTTACAAAAAAAATAGCTTCATTGGACCAGGGACTTGCATGAAATGCTGCCCGGAGGAGGCATCTCATCTGTGTGTTTGGCGAAGAGTGGGAGTATACTTTAAGTGAAGAGACGTGGCGTCAATCGGAACTTTGTCTGTCTAGCCGCCAGGGGTCCCACACCGGCCTGCGGAAGAATGCCGTGTTGGAGAAGAACAAGCGCATCTTAAGCGCCACGACTTCTTCTTCCTCAGGGGCTTCGCCAACTTTAAATTTCATGATCGCTGCGCTGAGCCGCAATGCCAAAGCGTGTAGGTCTCGTGATAACTTCCTATGCATCTCTGGCATCGGGCGACAGTAATCTGATGGAATTATAGCGGTGAATTCTCGCCACCAGGGGTCCCAGCGCACACGGCTTCCCAGGGTTTTCTTTATCGAATACAGCGTGTGCAAAAGCAGAAACCTAGCGCCCAACGCATCGACGGCCTCACCCGGAGAATGCTTTGGAACAGTGGTCATTCGCTCTTGAGCGAGCTTTGCCAGCTTTCCCGCTATCATTAGTAGACGGTCCACGTCTCTCTGCACGAGGTGGCGCTTTTTGCATAAAGCCCTAAAGCGTAAAAGCGGGGCGGCAAGGTACTGCGGAGGAGTCGGTGGAAGTTCTGGCGAATTCATGCAAGATGGCTTAATCTCCACCTTCTCGGTCACCGGAGGAACCCAAATATAAGGATGGCTGGAGATTCGTCCACCGATTGCGCTGCGTACAACACTGCGTATTGCTGCTCTTCTTGCTCTCTTGCGGCTGAGCAAGTCTTTGAGCTTACTAGACGGGGCGCTGGAGCCTTTTCCAGTTTTCTGCTCGGCGCCCCGTTGCATGGTGTCGGAGGAACTGGGAGAAGCAGCGTCAGATGGGCTGACTGCACCACTCGGCAGTGTAGGCGCCGGCTGCGGGGTCACATGGGGTACGCTAACGAGTTGTGGGTACAGTGACGCCGTTCCACTCAATGGCTGAACTATATACGCCGGTACTACAGGCACCAGCAGTTGCTGTGGCGGAAACACTGGAGCGGCCTGTGGAAGGTTCGCCGTGTCAGCTACCCGCCCTGCTATTAGGCTGGGCCAGGTCACGTGCTGCTGAGGGAGCGTCGACGAGCCAAGAGAAGAGGTTGCAGGGGTCACCACCTGGGACTCCCCACTCCAAGGCCTCCACAACGCCGTAGATGGCGCTGGCCCTTCAGCTGCCTCGGATTGCACCCCTTCTGAACCACTTGGCTGCGGCGAGTCGAGATCTTCTACCCAAGCTTCTGCGGGGGATTCTGGAACAGCCGACACCGGGACAAGCTCATGGAAAGTCGGACGTTCCGGAGAATCATGCTGCACTGTGGGGGCGGGGCTGACTTTCTGAGGCTGACCACTCGAAGACCCGAATATTCTGCTGCTGGGTCCGGGACCTTCGTCATCACCATGAACACTGTCAACGACTTGCCGCTGTGCATGTGCCGTCCCAGGTGGACCTGCCGGCGGAAAAACGGTTTCGTCGTCTAAATTCAAGAAGTAATCTTCTACAAACGTCGGTGAAAGACGCCCTAGGGGACTTTCGGCAGCCCATTCGCCGACACTTAGGCAGAGATCTGTGAGCTTTTCCCGTTCGGGCGCACCAGAATCTTCCCCTTCTTCCTTGTTTTCGCTTGCTAGCCGTCGCACGCCAAAGTTCAGCTTTGCGCTGTGCCTTCTTGCAGAGCTACAAATAGAAGCGATGGCCAATAACCCCAAGACAAAGGCAAGAAGGGGCCAGAACAGAGTGAAGGGCGGCTGGGCTTGCGTACGGGGTTTCAAGCCCACTGGCGTAGGCGCTAGAACTCCTCCTCCATATTCGGAAGGAAGTGTGAGTAGGGGCTGATGGTCCGCACCCACATTTCCATAAGAAGATGCAGCAGAGAATACAGGGTCATACACTGCATATTGATGCTGCACGGATTCCTGGTCAAGGACCCTCCCACCTTTCCCCACATGTGATATATTATCTTCCATGGGCACTAGGATAGAGAGCCGTCAGAAGACTCCTATAAAAGACCAGAATTAAGCGATTTCAGGCATCACAACGGAAAGCGGCCCGGCGAGGTGGTCACCGAGAGAAACTGTGTCGGGCGTGGGGGAGGAAATAAACCAGAGTGAAACTCGGTATATTATTTTGTGAAATATAATTTACACCGTATCAATGTGCTTTGGGCAAGTCCAAAACCTTGCTCCAGNAAGCCCATCAGTTCTCTGGGCTTTGAAATACAACGGTGGAGGTACTTGGTGCCCCACCGCAGCGTTGTATTTGTTCAGAATTTAGTATTTCTTATTAATTTATCAAGTTCCACTTGTATACTGCGTCTCCACACCCAATTCGTAGACCATGATCCTTCTTGTTCGTCGCTTCAACCGCAGCGTGGTGCCGGTTACTGCAAGCTGCTGCGGCTACTGCACTGGCGTCTGCACACTAATTTGGAAACAGAAGAAAAAGGAGCATATAAATTGTGTAAAAGGCACTTTTGATGTATATGTGCAGCATAATTAAGTGAAAGATGTATGTGCACGAACTACTGCTGGAGGCAGAACGAAATGAGCAGAGTACGCGTGCACTATGGATGCGAAGTAGATAGAGGGTGAAGACGCCCATAAATTGTTCTAGAGGACAAGAGGAACTGGATACAACAAAAATTAAAAAAATAAATGTGATAAAACTAGTGGAAAGGCTGATACTGCTACACCTCACGGGCTCAGCAGCGAGGCCCGATGTTGCACGGTGTGTAGGAAGTGTTTGCATCTACTTGTACTTGCGTGCAGGCTGGCTATTGATCTCCAGGCGATTGCTCCACAAAAGTCACAGGATTAGTCGATGCAGCGAAGGGACTAGGTTGCTTACATGGGATTGCCTCGTAGCAGCATTTGCAGCACGTTGTGATGCCGCTTGACTTGCCGCCACTACTTTGCGCCAGCCCCAGGCCCTTGTGCCTCTGTGGCCAGAACGCCGTCGGTATTGGAGAGGTGGTCGGCTAGTTTTATGGGGTTGTCCTACGTTGGTCACTTGACTATCTTAGCTCACGGCGGAACTATGCTAAAGTCGACGTCCTCCGCCATTCTTGGAAACCCCACATGGTTCATCGGGGAAGATGTGACCAGTGAGCCGCAACCCACAGGTGGGAGGCATGCTAGATAGTACTGATTAGTAACGATGTTGATGCGGAACAAAAGGGGGGGAATCCTTACATATACTCCTTAGAATACTTCTCAAAAGTTCAGCCCTTTCTTCCGCCCGCACAGCGGTGGATTGTGCAGGAGCTGCATTCCAAAGGACTGGCTACCAACTATTAGGCGCGTCGTCACACTAGAGCTAGCGCAGTGTCGTCAGTCCATCCCGCCGGACATGCTTTTCTCGCGAACCCAATTCAGGAGTAATGCCGCCGCCCTTTGCAAACCGTCCATTTGTGACAGGCGACGAGGTGCTGGCGCAGGGAAGTTATTCGTTGATTTTTTACACTTTCTCTAAAATACACCCCACAAGCTATATTTGATCCCCGCATCCTCTGTATTAGCAGGGAAGAGATGAAATCGGTGCGTATATCTGAGCCTCGGTGTCACTTTTCCGGAGCACCCCAGGTTCATTGATGCCTACCGAGACACGTTGCGCTGTAAGCATAGCCCCATGCCAAAAGGAAAACGGACTACGACAGAATTAAGGAAAATTAAACAAGGGAAGTAATCTATAGAGCGGTACATCGCGATGTATCAGTCCCTCATGAATACCAATCCTGCGATTACAGTTTCTCTCGTTGTTTCATAGCAGGGCTGCTCCCTGAAGCAAGGCAATCATTTACCTCCTGGACCATTGGGAATATACTAGAGGGCAGAAGGGTGGAATTCGCCTAGATGATGGGGGATCTACGCATCAAACAAAGAACAAGCGCCGCACCGGCTGAGAAGGAAGAAGGTTTTGGAGTAGGCACCCAACTAAGGGTAATGCATATTGAAGCAGTGAATGCCAGGGCCTCAACGAGATGACACAAAGCAATCTCTCTGGTAGCCAAAGAATTTAGCATTCACAAATCCGAGGGGACTTACCAAGGGGCTCACCTGCTGCTTCTGCAGCAAATCGAACCACATATGCCGCGAGTGCAGACTCATGAGGCCTAATGTAGTGAATACTCACTACAATCACGGCAACAATGCCGTGCTCGTGGTGGAATGTGTGAGGGTTGATTGAACAGTGAAAGTGTCTGTTAGTGTATACTGATGCAGATTGAGTACAGCATTGATGAGTGCATTAAATATTGTTTACGAAGACACATTGGTATGAGTATAGGGGAGGCTGGCATGAGACTTGGTGCAAAAGGTGTTGCAACATACTACGCCAGCCCCAAATGCCGCAGTGTGGGCATTTGGGGCTGCCAACTCGCTCTACTCAGCTATGGAGTTCTATGGGTGCGCCCCACGGTAGATCTTCAGGGGTGCCACCTACTAAAACGTAAAGCTTACTGCAAATATTTATACTAAAGTGAAATATTCTAAGTTATCGTGAACAAATCTTGGCATTGCATGTGAGAGACTGAGGGCTCTCCCCACATATCATCAGCTTACTGGGCCCGCAGCACCTCTTGTGTTATGGATTCGCATTGCCCCACCGTGTGAGGGGAGTTGGCTCCCTACTATGCTTCACAATTGTGCTTTTCATCTGCGTTTGTGTTCTCATTGGAGGCACAAGACGCAGAGCTGCTGGCATTGACTGGTGCATCTACTGAAGTGAGTGGGATCAAGTTCCCAGGGCTCTATGATCCCTAATGCTCGAAACTCCCCTTAGACTGGCTTTCTGAAGGGGTGTTTCTCACAGCTAAGGAACTGGAGATGCAAGGCTTTGAGCAGAGCATATAAGTGAACCAACAGGGCGACAAGGTGTCGAAATTATCTCCCCACCGAACACGAGGCGAAACAGAATTCGCTGACAGAAATATTAACATTTCAGTTAACGAAAGAGTAAGACCTCTCCAGTAAATGGCCCCTGCAGAACCCTGGGGGTTTTGGAGTGGGTAGATGCAGCGGAAGCTTGTACACGAACTTTTGCTTGCATGCATGTTAGCCACTGAATGTCAAAGGCATGCTTAACAGTTGTATGCAGCCTTAGTTCATCCACCAAAACGACATGGCACGCCTGCATAAGGGTTGAGCAACAGTTGCATGAACGTGCCTTGCAGCTCTCGGTAGGTGGGCCTGCGTTCGCAGCAGCACCAGACCCCTGGTACGCGATCCCCGATGTGTGTAGATGCCAAAAAGGGGAGATCCACTGGCTGGAAGGAACTCTTATCAAATCATTCTAGTGTACTGCAACTCACGACGATCCTGTGCTAGTTTCTGGACTCTGTGTATAGAGCCCCCCTTCTAACCGTTGCATTAACACCGTAGACAGCTGTAAAACACTTAGTTAGCTCTCAGCAAGCATTTGCTATGGCTTCTAATGTTGTTACGTGTAAAACTACATATACCACAGTCGAAGAGAGAAACATTTCGTAGTCTGTTGCAGCGCTTCGATCCGAGAAGCCAAGCCCCGTTACAGAGTAGCAGGAGGGGGGTGTTGCCTAGAAAAATGCAGCCTATCGCGTGTGTAATTCCAATCGTTGAGCTAAAGCAACGTTGTTTTTTTATAAAGGGAACAGAAGCAATACATACTATAGAGGTGCGGTGGCAGCAACAGGGCAGCACGGGTATGGCCCGTAGGCTCGATTGTGCGAGCAGGGGGTATCGGTTAAAGTCGACGTAAAGTGTTCAAATGTGTAAATATATTTTTTAAATTTTGTTAAAAAGGGAAAATTGCAGCTTATAACAGCCGGGCAGCACGAGCCTGAGTGCGCCCAGCTGTAGTCTCATAGTGTCCAGTTGCACCGTTTCTGTGGCGAGCTGTTAAAGCATTTGTTGTAATTTGTTGCTTTTCTGCTGCAGCAGATCTTTTGGTGCTCTACTTAAGGATAAATATTTAAAAATAAAAGTGTCTTTTCTAAACAAAAGCAGAAGAAGCAATACGAGCAAGAGAACAAGCCGGTGTTTCCTGCATCCGCACTGCCTGCGCAGGGTCTGTGTAGAGACGGTGGTTGCGGTTTTGGCTGCTGGTGCGTTTGTCTGTCATTTATATAAACATTTGAGTAAAGAGAAAGTAATAAATTGAATTAAAAGAAAAAAACGTCTAGCAGTTACACTAATTCTTTATTACAGAGTCCCCAACGCGCAGAAAGCGTGCGAGGTGCTGCGGTGTCACAGCCTCGTCCTCTGCTGCAGCACATGCTGCTTGCTCTCGTTGGCAGCGCAGCTGGTGGCGGCGGCGTTTGTTTGTCGCTCATTAAATCAATTTCATGGCGATTGAAAAGAAAGTGCAACTAGAAGATTAAACCCATTAAAAAGAAACAAAGGACCTCATCAGCTAGGTCCGTGTATTCTGTCTCTTTTCTTCTTTNATTAAACCCATTAAAAAGAAACAAAGGACCTCATCAGCTAGGTCCGTGTATTCTGTCTCTTTTCTTCTTTTCTCTTCCTGGGTGGTTGCTGGTCTGCTCGCCTTATGCCCCACCCATCCACTCTGGCGTTGCTTGGCCTTTGTGTTTTTTCTTGTTTCTCTGTTGGTTGCTGAGGTTTTTTGAATTGTTTCAGTTCTTATCAGCAGTAATCAATCAAACTTTCGGTTGTCTTCTTCTTGGCTCGACCTGAGAGCGCCTGTCTCTCTCCCCTTTTTCTCTCTCTCTCTCTCCTGGTGTTGTTGCAACAGCATCCAGGGGCCGAAGGACATCATCAGCACCACCAGCTGCTGCTGCTGCTGCTGCTGTTGGTGCAGCATTTGTATGTCTTTATTTGCTTAGTGTGTATTGTTATTTCTCTTTCATTCGTGTAAAAGGAAATGGAAAAGATTGACGCAACGTCAAAGAAGGAGGTAGACGCCCTTGGGGATGTCCCTCCCCCCCGCTTTACTCCTCGCAGCTGCTGTCTACCTGCAGNAAGGAGGTAGACGCCCTTGGGGATGTCCCTCCCCCCCGCTTTACTCCTCGCAGCTGCTGTCTACCTGCAGCAGCACAATTTGTATTGGTGGCTGTATTGGGTTCTTTTCAGTTTGGTTATAGTTTTTCTTCTCTGAATACATCAAAAGCCATCATCATCGTTGATTTAGATTGGTGCAAGGGTGATACAGACCATATGGTGGATTGCAGCAATGGTGTTCTGTATGGTTCTCTCATCACAACAGCTGTATTTATAGGATTAACTTTTGGTTGTTTGTTAGCGGGGCCAGTAACAAACTTTGGTCGTCGTGTATCTCTGCTGCTGACGAACCTTCTTTTCCTTGTTTCTAGTGCACTCGCAGCAGCAGCAGAAGGCGTTGCTTCTCTCTTCCTCGCCCGTCTATACCAAGGTATGGCTGTGGGTCTTGCAACAGTTTGTGTGCCGATGTATATATCTGAATTTTCTCCAGATAGATCTCGTGGTTTCTATGGAACTCTGCATCAGCTCCTCATCACCATCGGTATTCTCGTTGCTACTCTCCTGGGTCTCGCGTTCGGTTCCCCCCCCACTGACACCGACTTTGACTACCAAGTAACAACATTCCAGCAGTGCTGGTGGCGTTTCATGTTGGCTTTCCCTGCTGGTGTATCTATCATAGCAATTCTATTGCTATGGCTTGTATACACCACAGAAAGTCCTCATTTCTTGATGCATCAGGGGCGCAAGAACACCGCGGTGGCGCTGCTGAAGGAGCTTCTAGGGAAAGAAGATGTTTCAAACGAAATACAAACAATAGAAGTTGCAATATGTCAACAAAAAGTTCTCGAAGCAGAGAGTTTATCTCTNTTCCAGCAGTTCACCGGTATCAACATATTGGTGGCAAACAGCAACAAATTGTATACATCTTTGAATATAGATGCATCTCTTGTTACTGCATTGACTGTTGTTATGGGTTTTGTTAATGTTCTTATGACTGTACCCGCTATATTCCTTATGGATAGACTAGGAAGACGAACACTGCTGCTTGCAGGTTGCTTCGGCCAAGCTGCATCGACGATCGTGGCTCTGATAGCTAACCTTGTGGATAGAAACAATACAGCAGTTCAATGGTTAACAGTTGCATGTATATATTTATTTGTTATTTCTTTTGCTGTTGGTTATGGACCTGTACTTTGGGTGTATTTGCATGAGATATTTCCACCTGAAATCAAGCAAACGGGTGCTTCTGTTGCGTCAGCAATCAACGCTATTGCAACAATTATTGTTGTTCTTCCTTCTGACTTTGTTCTTACATCAGATATGAGAGTTATGTTGGGTATTTGTGGCGGAACATCTTTGATTGCTTTTATAGTTTCACTGATATTCATGAAGGAAACCGCCGGCTTATCGATAGATGAATCGCCGTATTTCAAGGGAAAGCGCAGAGTAATGAGCAAATATTTCGATGTTACTGGACTCAATAACCCAGGACAACAAGTTCCTTCTCTTGCTTCTGGCCATTTCTCAGCAACACAGCTCGCACCAGCACCATCAGGCCACGGCAAGGAGCTCTCCGCGTAAACCAGCAGCAGCAGCAGCAGCAGCAGCAGCAG